TCCTCTCTCCTCTACCCAGAATTCTCCTCATCTCATAAGCCCTGCCTACTCTTCCTGCCTGCCTATCTAATCAGTGTTTTATTCATCAACCAATAAGAGAAACATACATACAGAAGGACTTCCCCCATCAGAGGACAATAATCCCCTTTTGATGTTTTTGTTTTCAGACACAGTGTTTCTCTGTATAACATCCTTAGCTGACCTGGGACTCACTCTGTAGACAGTCTGGCCTTGAACTCAAAGATCTGCCTGCCTCTGCCTCCCGAGTGCTGGGATTAAATGCCTGGCTTAAGCTTTCCTTTTTTGTAGTTTTTTCCTTTAAAGATTTTTCATTGTATAAATGAATTGTTCATAGTATTAAAAAGAACATTTTCATACAATTATATAATGAACTTTGAGCACACCTAACCTTGGCTTTCATCTTCCTGTTTCTCATCTACCTGGAAGTCCCTTTTGCTCTAGACATTTTTCACTCCATATTCATGCCATACGCACAGGGTTTTAGACATCTAAAATCTAGGAATGAAAAAGGAATACACACACTACTTGCCATTCTGAGACTGGCTTAATTTATGATTATTTTGGGTTACAACCATTTTTCTGAAAACGTGACTTCATTCTGCTTTGTGGCTGAACACACATGACTATCTCGCACTGCTCTGCTGTTGGGAACCCAGGTTGGTTCCTAATTAGATGCTGTGGTGCTGCAATAGGCATTGACTCTCAAGTACCTGGTGAGATCCTGCCTTGGGGCCCCAGGGGTGCTGTTAGCTGTGTCATACAGTAGATGACTATTCTCAGGTTTCTGAGTAACCTCTATAATCATGTCCATGGGGGCTATACTGTTCACATTCCCACCGGCATCGTGTAAGGGTTCCCTTGGTCCACATTATCGCCAGTATTTATTTTTTGTTTTTGGTCTAGTTTTTACTCTTGGATAATGTGTATTACATTAACATCATTTAACCCCCCTCCTTCCCCCAAGTTCTGTCCTCTTGTTTTTTTTTTTTAATCCATGCAACAAAACCTTTATTAACAGTTCTAACAGAGGTTCAGCTATTACTGAAAGTTGTAATTTCTAAACTTAAATCGGGGTAAAAGGTTATAGTGTGGAGTAATGCCATGCTTGCACACTGGGAATGCAGAATGAAGAATAGCAAACACTCAGGTGGAGGACCAGGTGTCTCTTTCTGGATGTTGTAATCAGAAAGAGTGCAGCCAACTTCCGGCCACTAACCTGCAGAGATGAGTCGATGCTGGTTTGGGGGGCAGGGATGCCCTCTTTATCCTGGATCTTGTCCTTCACTTGGGGTCACTGGGTTTCATGAAGATTTGCATTTTGTTAATGTGATGAACCCACACACCCACAGGAGTGTAAAAGCACCTAGACACAAGGACCACGGATTGAGAAAAAGCTTCTCATCGCTTTTTGTTTTCTTAATGACCGCCATGACTGGGATGAAATGACAATTCAATGTAGCTTAATTTGCCTTAAGGTATTTTTTTAACTTTTTAAAAATTATTTTTATTTATTTATTTATTTTTTACGAGACAGGGTTTCTCTGTATTGTTTTGGAGGCTGTCGGTCCAGCCTGGCCTCGAACTCACAGAGATCCGCCTGCCTCTGCCTCTGCCTCCCGAGTGCTGGGATTAAAGGCGTGCGCCACCAATGCCCGGCAGAATTATTTTTAATTATGTGTATTTGTGTGTCTGCATCTGGCCATTTGAATTTCTTTGAAAAACTGTTCACTAGTCCATTTCTTTTAAGTGGTTGTATTTCTTTAGATTTGTGAGTTCTGTGACTATATATATTAAACAAATATATTCTCACTCAGTAGGCTGTCCCTTTTCTGTGCAGATTTTAACGCATGAGGCCCTGTTTGCCAGTAGATGGGCTCATTTCCTGAACAACTGAAATACTGTCCAGAAAGTCCTTGCCTTTGATTCTGTCTTTCGGTTTTGTTTTTTTTTTTCCTGTAACAGTTTCAAATTAAGGACTTAACATTCAGGTTTCCGAAGCATTTGGAGTTGAATTTTTTAGATGGGGTAAGAGGTAGGGACCTAGTTTTGTTTCATTTGTGGGCATCCAGTTTTCTCAGCAATGCTTGTTGAAAAGGCTGTCTTTTCTCTAATGTCTGTTTTAGCATCTTTCTCAAAACACAGTGTGAGTTGATACCTGCCTCCCGCTTTACTCTGCAGACCCAGCTGTCTGTTTTGGTAGTCTCACGCCCTTGCTGCTGCGGCTACCGTACGATAAGGAGTCAAAGAAGAGGACGCCTGCACAATCAGGACTGCTTTGGCCAATCCAGGGTTTTCTGTACTTCCATGTGAAACATGGTTCTTTGCTTTTGTCAAGAACGGCACTGCAATCTTCATGGGATCACACTGGATCTGCAGGTAGTTTAGCCTTTTCACACTATTCATAATCAAACTCTTGAACATGGGAGGTACTTCAAGTCTTTCACATTCTTGGTTAGGTTTATTTCTAGGTGTGTGTTGTTTCTTCAGTTGTGAAGAGATCCCCTCCCTGACTGCTTTCTCAGCATGGTTGCTACTAGTATACAGGAAGGCTACTGATTTTTGTGCCCACTTTCTCCTGTGTGTTCTGGGGGTTGAGTTCAGGAAGCAGATTTGACAGCAAGTCCCTTTCCTGCTGCGCCATCTCACTGGTCCACAATTCTGTCTTCTCCCACTCTGCTGGTGAGCATCCCTTTATCAACTCTGTCTTCTCTCTGCTAGTGAGTATCTACTTATCAACTCTGTCTTCTCCCACTCTGCTAGTGAGTATCTACTTATCAACTCTGTCTTCTCTCTGCTGGTGAGCATCTATTTATCAACTCTCTCTTCTCTCACTCTGCTGGTGAAAATCTATTTATCAAAGGGTCGGCTCATTCTCACTTAGGCCGGAGATCTTTTTTATTTCTGAAACATTTTTTTTCTTTCTGGCTATTCATTTCCCCTCCTTGAGGCAGGAGAAAGCAATATGGTGGGTGGAGACAGGAACTCAGTCTCTTTTCGGCTAGGACGTAGAGAAGGTAAAGGCTTGCTCTTTTATCTCTCTCAGCTTCCACTCCTAATATCTGACTCTGGGTTTATATTATTAAGACCTATTAGAACTCATGCTATGTTTTGGCGCCCAATGTGGGTCAGGAATCCACGAAAAAGCAGCTTGCCTGTTGCTTTGCAGTCACTGGCACAGGCCGGGCTGCATATGGGTCCTGCCTTGTCACTTCCTCTCTCCACCCAGCCACCTCACTTCCTGTCTGCCTGTACAGACCTCCAGACCTCTGAGGTTAACTAGTGGCTAACTCGGCATTCTGATCTTCAGGCAGGCTTTATTTGTTAGAGTATAAACAAGATGTCACCACATTTTTCTTCACTTATCAAATTCTGTTGATTTCTTAGTTTGAAGCTCAAGATGGACTGCCAGCTATCCACACACTGCCTCCTCCCTTTCTAATTACTATCCTGTGCAAACATCCACGCTGCAGTTAAAATGAAGGCCATCTGGGCACAGTCAGTGTAACTCAGTACAGTGTTCCCTGTTCACCCGGTGTGTGTAGGAGGCCCTGGGCTAGACCCTAGCATGAAATAACTTCTACCGCCTTTTACTCTCACCATACTTTGTTTATCGTTTCTTCTTTTATCCTGCTTTATTTCCCCTTTTCCCCTGAATATCTTCTCTATCAATTAAACACTGCTTTAGCACCTACTCTGTGCCGCACAACAGACCAGCACCAGGGATACAGGGAATGGTAAATCTCAGTTCTTTGCAAGGTTCATATAACCTGATGGAAGAAGTCAGAGAGAAACAATGACGACAGCTCATCTCCTTTCCTTTAACACTGCTTTTGTTGTTGTTGTTTCTCAAAAACTGTCCAGAAACAGAGCTAGTAAGTGGTTTAGGGCTGAGGGCGCTTGCCTTCAAGCTTGGCACCCTGAGCCTGAGAGCCAGGACCCGATGGGGGCGGGGAGGGAAGAGTCACTGTCTGTGCTCTCTAACCCTTCACATGCGCTGTGTGACATGCGCCACCCAAGCGCATTAGAAAAAGAAAAGAAAAACACTGTCAAGAAAAGGAACCTTGGAGGTCAGAGAGACGACTCTGTGATTAACAGCACTTGTGGCTCTTGCAGAAAAACTGGATTCTGTTCCCAGGACCCACATGGTGGCTTACAAGCATCCCTATTTCCGGTTTCAGGGGATTGGGTGCTCTCTCTGCCCTCCGCACGTACATATGGAGCAGTTCAGTAATACTGGCTCAAGAGGCCAAGGTCAGTGTTCATGGATTCACTTTTTTTAAAAAAAGGTTTATTTATTTCGTATACAGTGTTCTGTCTGCATGTCAGAAGAGGGCACCAGATCTCATAACTGATGGTTGTGAGCCACTATGTGGTTGCTGGGAATTGAACTCAGAACCTCTGGAAGAACAGTCACTGCTCTTAACCCCTGAGCCATCTCTCCAGTCCCCTCATGTATTCACTGAGATATTACACACTGCTTCTACCACTCAGCGATCTATTTCAAAGGGCAAAGACTATTTAATGACTCATACTTGTGTATCATTGAAAATACTAAAGACGACGCAGTCCCCATTTGCAGCTAATGACTCTAGTCATTTCACAGCAATGAAGACTCATCAAGACCCTCAGTGTGGCTGTGTCTGTCTAACTCTCACTGTGCTAGGCCAGGCTGCTATTTAGCAAATCTAGTGCAGATTTTACTCCCTCTTCCAGAATGCTTCTCATCAAATACACAGGAAAAGTTCTCTCTCAATGTCAGCTCTTGTAAGCTTCCTTAGCTAACACTGAGGCACACACGATGCCGTGACTACTCTTGGGAGAGCCGTGGTGATTGTTTTTGGCTCTTAATTTGCTCTCCACCACCTAAGGACCGGGGGCTTCCTTTCTTCCTGCCCTGGAAGGCTCACACACAGAGGTGCTGAGAGCTGAGCAACAGCAAAGCCACCCTGCTCAGGGCCTTTACAGACCAGGCGGGTGAGTGGAAGAGTAAATTAATTTTATTGACTGATGAAAAACTAAAGTCATAAGAAGTCTGGACAGAAAACAATAATCAAGTTCTGCTGGTATTCTATATTTTCTTTTAAGCCAAAAGAACATAAAACTGTAGACTATGAGTGAGCTAATTGCTTTTAGTCCCTTCCACAAACACCGCCCAGTGTAGCAGCTGCACAGCATCAAATGTTCACATTCCCGCACAACCCTGAAAGCGCTGTGTGCGATCTCAAGGCACCGTAATCACCTACACTGCTCAGACTCAGCGTTCCTCTTCCCTTTTCTGCCGCCCTGCAAGGAAAAACAGCACATTATTTTAGACACACCAGCTCAGCATTTTTAGTTTACAAGTACACAAAAGCAAAAACATAGCTAGGTATTCTACCCAGCTGCTTGCACAGTTACGTTTACAAATGCTACATAAAGTAATAATATTTCTGTATAGATCTGTTTAGGCTGATTATGTAAGATCACAAATATATCTCATTTTTCAGAGTTCACTTTGTCTTTTTTTTTCCTTGTATGAACGTGCATCTTTTTTTTTTTAAAGATTTATTTATTTATTATGTATACAGTGTTCTGCCTGCACATATGCCTGCAGTTCCGAAGAGGGCACCAGATCTCATTACAGATGGTTGTGAGCCACCATGTGGTTGCTGGGAATTGAACTCAGGACCTCTGGAAGAGCAGCAGCGAGTGCTCTTAACCTCTGAGCCATCTCTCTAGCCTTGCATCTTTTTTTTTTATTGTTACATTTTTTAAAATTAGAAACAAGCTTGCTTCACATGTCAATCCCAGCTCCCTCTCCCTCCCCTCCTCCTGTACCCCCCCTGCCCCCAGCCTCCCATCTAATCCCCACAGGGGATATCCAGAGTCTGTCATTTCATTCAGGGCAGGGCTGGCTACTTTAAAAAGTAAAAAATGAAGTTCATTCATTTCATATAATCAGAAAATTTGGAAATTAAATTTGCAGTTTATGTGTTTTAGGATTTAACACTTTAAATTTACTTTATTTTCTGTCTACGGGCGTTTGCCTGCACACATGTCTGTGCACTGCTTTAACGCCTGGTCCCCAGGGAGGACACAGGGCAGTGTCAGGTCTCTAGAGCTAAAGGTACAGAAGGCTGTGAGCTGCTGTGTGGGGGCTGGGAACTGAACCCAGGTCTTCTGGAGGAGCAGTTGGTGCTCTTACCTGTTGAGCCAGCCCTTTAGCCCTGGCATTAAAAATGTGATTTTCAGGTTGGGGCTAAGGACAAAACACCCACACACATAAAAATAAACCCTTCAAAGTCTAAGCATACGCTAGCAGTATATTTCTCAGCTGCATCAGGGCGTGTGAGGCTCGGCTGAGGGGCAGCAGCCTCTCTTCACCTCATGCACCCCTGGCCTACAGCTCCCTGTGAAGTCACATATATACATCAATCTTCTAAATGACTGAAAACCCCAAACCCTTGAGTCTATGAATCTGTGAAGTCACATATATACATCAATCTTCTAAATGACTAAAAACCCCAAACCCTTGAGTCTATGAATCTGTGAAGTCACACACATCAATCTTCTAAATGACTGAAAACCCGACACTCTTGAGTCTATAAACACTGCTCTCACTACTCATCACACACAAGGGCCAAAAAGATTTATTCATTTAGGGAAAAATGTACTGAATTTGTGGGAAACGATATGTGTAATCGCACATATTTAAAAAGAGATTTATTTCCTGTTAGTAGGAAAATAAAAATATGTTTAGAAAACATTCTTTTAAGGTAAACAGCCACTATTGTGTATCAAGCTTCTCAATGATAAGAATTACCAATAATACAGCTGGAATATAAGCATCACTGGCTATGATACTGCCAATGTGAAAAATTCAATGAGATTAAAACAAAGAATCCAAATAACGGACATACAAGGACTGCTTTCAACATCTCATTATGATCAGCTTAGCCTCCAACTCAGAGATCCGCCTGCCTCTGCCTCCCAAGTGCAGGGATTAAAGGCCTGTGCCACCATGCCTGGCTGGATTAAACAGCTCTTATATTCTCTATGCCACCAGTGGCTTTTAAGTCTTTTTTTTTTTAACCATGATTTCACATTGATGATTTCATGTATATGTGTAAGTATGTAAAAACAATCTGACACATTAATTAATGAAAATACTAATTATTCTCAATTGTTTCATACAGGAAAAAAAGAGCTATATCATCTTCTGAAGCCTAGCAAAATCCGAAATATCATCAAAATAATAATGAACGCAAAGAACATCAATGAACAGAAAAATCACATAATCTCACAGGGCCAGTGTGTATATCCAAGTCATCAAATGCATGATGCTGTGGTGTGTGTCATCTGAGCCTTCCCGCTACATTATCTACAGGGCTCTAGTGCTTTTCCTGAATCACTTCAGTTATTGTGCATAGCAATATCTAGAATTACTTTTATATTTTTGAAAATGTACATTATCTGGCCAACAACAGAAGCATTAACACGGGGCTGGAGAGAAGGCTCGGTGGTGAAGAGCACTTGCTGCTTCCAGAGGACCCGAGCTCAGTTTCCAGCCCCAGGCAGGAGGCTCACACGTGTTGCTAACACCAGCTTCAGGGGATCCAACACTCTCAGGTAGCTGCCCCCCATACACAAACTCAAACACATAAGTAAAATAAAAATAAATTTATTAATTTTTTACTAAACCATTAATATATCTGGCAAATAACATTTTGCTTAAAAACAGAATAGCATATTTATTTTTACATTGTATCTAATCGAAATGTAGCTATAAAGACAACTTCAAAATTATAAAAACATACCTGGTATTTGGCTAATTCTGCCTGCAATACTTTCACTTTAGATCTTTCTTGTTCCAATGCAGCGTGAAGTGACGTCACCTATAACCAAATGACGAGTAAGAAAACCCTTTCTGACTTTTTAGGCATGCATGTTAATTCTGAGCATACCCTGCATGATAACGTCTGATAATTGTCAGCATCAGACATGCCCTTCCCATGGTTCCCATCAGACTTCAGGCCAGGAACAGGGTAAGCTCTGCCCGCTGCTGGTGTTCATGTTACCTTTTCAAACTCTTTAGGACACACCCACCATCTTAATAGACACAAACTGTCTCTGCTGGTACACAATAGTAATGAGGACTTTCTGCTGCTGCCTTGCCTGCTTAGTGGGCAGTGTTTCTCTTTTGTGACCTCAGAATAGATATGGAGAGTGGCCCACAGGCAGCCCCACGCTCCTCACCTGGACCGTCAGCTCATTCTTGATGCTCTGCGACTCATCCACCTGCAGAAGGATCTCTGCCTTGTCTTTCACTAAGGGAAGGAAACAGCAGTCACTACTGCAGGCACTCCAGTGCTGAGCGAGGCAGACTTCAGGACAGTGCAGTCACAACAATGCACACCCTCTGCAGCCTGACCCGTCTTCTTCCTCACTAGTAAACTCTGGTCATTATTACAGCAACACTTTTTTTAAAGTAACTTAAATTTTTCCGTGGTGTTGAAATACTAGCGGCATAGATATGACCATTAATTTTCCAATTTATAGTACTAGGACAGGCATATAAGCAAGCAAAAAATTACAAGGAAAAAGGTAATATATTGAATATTTATCTATTTATTAGATCATGTTACATCTTATTTTTTTGTTACACTTACTCATTTACGTTTGTGTGTGCATGTGTGCACACACCACATTCTGAGCGTGTCAGGGTAACTTGTGAAAGTCCTTGTTTCATTTCACCATACAAGTTCCAGGGCTCAAACTGAGGGTTATCATATTTGGCAGCTCAGCTTTACCTGCTCTTTACTTGTAGCCCAGGCTGGCCCCTGGACTTCTGATCCTCTTGCCTCAGTTCCCAAGGTTCTGGGATTACAGACACAAACCATTACACCTGGCTTCTTGGCATAAAGCCAGATGCTGTAAGAGGCCGTACAGGGACAATAGTACAGGAAACTATCCAATTTGTATCATTCTGGGAAATTGTGTGTGTGTTGATAAAACATGTAACTTGATTATTTCTCTTCAGATATGAAGACTGTCTTTAATTCTAAGACACACACAAAGGCTGACTGGGGTGCATACCCAAGTACTTGAAGGCAGACACAACTCTGGTAAACACAGCAACTTTCAGGCCAACCAGAGCTACACTTATCCCTAACAAACAAACAAAACCAGGGAGCAGTGGCTGCTGTCATGGGAACCAGGTTCAGCTTCCAGCACCACATGGTGGCTCACAGCTACTGCGACCCCAGTTCCTGGGTTTCTGGCGCCCTCTTCTGGTGTCTGTGGGCACCAGGCACACTCGCAATGCACATACATACACGCAGGTACAACACCCACACACACGCAGGCAAAACACCCACACACATACAATAATTTCAAAAAAACCCCTAAGAGCACATGAATCACTTACTTTCTCCTTCCTGAAGCATTTTCAATAATTGTCCATTTCTGGCTTTTACTTCTTTATACTTTGCCTAATAATCAAAGAAAAGAGATTTTAACTTTTTAAGAGTAATTTATAAATTATGGTATACTTTTAATTTATTGGGCTGTATATTCTATACTTGCTTAAAAACATGAATCATTTATGAAATAAACAGAATAAAGGCAGATGTAATCAGGCCTACTTAACTAGACCTTGGAAAACTTAAAGGGGAGTTAGCAAGGGTTAGAGGGTAGAACCTGCTAACATGAGTTTGATCCCTGAACCGACACAAAGGTAGAAGGACAAACTGACCCCACAGAGCTGAAATCTACATGCATTATGGTATTTGCACACATACAAGCAATAAAATTAAATATAAAAATTCAAAGTAGTGGGAGATTTAAAAAGTCAAGAAAATATTAAAATTTCCAGACAGATTTCTCTTTCTTCCCAAATAAAAACTTTAATTCCAATTAAAAAAAAAACAAAAAAAGGCTCCCAGAGTTTTACAGGACTGCCCTGCAAGTTTTATCAGAGCTCCCGTGTCTGGAACTACTGGATTTTTTCAGTTCCTTTTCCCAAATTCCTTGGTTCTGTCTAGTCCTGAGAAGAGCTGTGCTTCCAAATGGACCATTTGAATTTTTGATAATTATTTCCCCAAACAGTCTTCACTGAGCATTTCTTTTAGTACTCTGAAATACTTTCAAACACTAATAAGCAATTAGTGAAAACAATATACATTAAATGTTGTAAAATGGTAAAAGCCTAAAAATGTCTGTGTAAAAAAGTTGTCATTTTTCCTCTCAGCATGTACCAGATTTCATTTTTATTTCTACAGTGCTGGGGACCAACTTAGGGCCTTACCAAACATACAAAGCAAGGAGCTACCACTGACGATGCCAGAGCCCACTGGATTTAAATATATTTTATTTTTTTGGGGGGGGGGCAGGGGTTGAGACAGGGTTTCTCTGTGTAACAGTTCTGGCTGTCTGTAGGCCAGGCCGACCTTGAACTCACAGAGATCCACATGCCTATGCCTCCCAAGTGCTGAGATTAAAGGTGTGCAACTCCACCTGGCTCACTGAATTTTACAGTATGTATTTTATGACAAAATTTATGCCACTATTTAGACTGTAAGTGAACAGTCAGTTTAAAAGACTGAATAACAATGACTATTCCTGGTAACTGAGTAGTAAACATATATAAAACCAGAAAAGGTAAGTCTTCTGTAGAAGTGAGTAGACACACACCTCCCACTGGGTGATCACAGCTTTGAGCTTCTGAATTTCAGCGTCTTTCCTTTCGAGTTCGAGCTTCAGCCTCTCAATTCTCCCGTCTTTCAGACCCACTTCCTAAAAAAGAAAAACACTGCTTTTGACCAAGACCGTTCCACCTGTCATTGTTCACAAATCTTGTGAAAAGAGCAAGAGAAAAGTAGACTTTATTTCTTCAACAATTTTGAATTACTGTATTTCTACCTTCGTTGGATTACATGATCCTAGTTATATATAGTGATAGCAAGTAAGATTTTTAAGATAAGCTATAAGAATACTCTAGAACAATATCCAAAAACGTAATTCTATCCTCGAGTAAACACATGCAGAGGTTCCCTGACAGGGCCTCTACACAGCCCTGGCTGTCCTGGAACTCATTTGTAGACCATGCTGACCTTGAATTCAAGAGACTCCTGTCTCTGTCTCCCGAGCACTGGGATTAAAGGTGTGGCCATCCATTTTGATGAATGTAAACTGGTTATATTTTCCAAAAAGTGGTGCGCACAGCTGCTCAATGAGTAGTTTCTAAGTGCAGGGAAAGGGGACTAGAACGTTTTTGTACGTGTCAAACTTGTCCAGCACCACATGGGGATTTCACATAGCGTGCACACGACAGAGGAGCCAAGGTTTAAGCTGGGGGGTAAACTGCTGTGCAATGTTATGAGGGAGACGGTACAAAAAGACTTCAAGCTGATTATGGTGACATGCTGCGGTTCTCGTGCCCAGCAGGCTAACGCCAGAGAATTGCTTGAGCCCATGAGTTACATCCAAGCAGGATAAAGGTCAGTCAGTCCTCACTTTCTGAAAACATCTGTTTAGGTGTCAGGCTTGGTGCTCTCTGTGGAAGGGTCTCATGTGCTGTGACTTTCCCACCCGGTGGTTTCAGTATCTTCCCATCTTGGGTAGGGGGATGGGATCCTTTTCTTGCCCAGGCTTGATCCTGGTACACTTACCAAAGCAAAATAAGTTGCCTCTGGGAGTGGCTTCTCTCCTCCCTGACAGGGCTAAGTGGGACGCTGTCCTGGCCCCCTGTGCTGCCTGTCTGTGTTCCAGTGCTTTCTAGTCTCCTTTTCTCTCTTTTGTGGGTTTCCAAAGCTGTTCCTCTCTCTCCCTGCCCCCTCTGGAACAGAATCTATTTCTCCTTACTCTGCTTTTCTTAAAAGCTTCCTGGCTTTCGCAGAGGCACTGTCAAGTCTATCATCTTGTCTGTGAATCTGATGGTGTTACTTATTGCGTGTGTTCACACATGCCTATGCATACGGGAACACGCTGAGGTCAGACGAAACATCTCAGCCTCCCACACACTAGGGTTACAGACCTGAGACATACCTGGCTTATTTTTAATATACATAGTAATCTCACTGAACTATTACTTAATGACTTTTCTCAGTACATGGCATATTTTTTAAATTCACTATACCCCGTATTGTTATTTATAGGTACAATTCATTCATTTTGACTTACTTTGCTACTATACACTGACTTTTACACATAAAATCATGTGTAGAATTATTATTACAGCAGCCAGGCATGGTGGTACATGCATTTAATCCCAGTGCTTAGGAGGCAGAGGCAGAGGCAGAGGCAGAGGCAGAGGCAGAGGCAGAGGCAGAGGCAGAGGCAGGCAGGTCACCAGAGTGTTCCAGAACAGGGAGAGCTGTTGCACAGAGAAACCCTGTCTGGAAAAACATGGAAAAGAATTACTATAGCATACGTCATGCCCATCAGCTAGCTTCAGGGTTAGGATAGTGACACACTGTTCTTCAAACGGCTACACCAGTCTTCATTCTGCCTAGTATGCTACACTATCCTGTCTCCTTGTAATTGTTATCCAGCCCCATGCACACTCTTCGTGTTCCTACAATTTTTTCAGGCTCTGCAATAAAATTATTACTAAATAAGAGTTTATTTTGCTCAAAAATTTCTTTCCTGTCTATTGACTAAATTACAAATTAGTCTTTGAATATCCCACAATCCTTTCCAATCTAACTCATTAAACTTATACAACACTCTCTTTTAGTTATGCTGGTTTCTATTTCACTCTGTCCATATTTTGAGTGAAGAATTCTAGTTTCTTCATCATCATCTGTATGTTCAGATACCTCTCTCCTGTTATCTTCCAACTCAAATTTTAATTTCTCTCTAGAAATCCACCATAATGTCCATTCTTTATTAAACTAATGAGCCTATTTTTGTACTCACAACTCTATATAAAACAATTATTAAATATATATTGTGTAAATATACTGTTAAGTATTTTAAATTGTAATTTCTAAGTATTAATAATCATATAAGAAAGGAAACAATTATGTTCCAGTGCAGTAGAGCGGATGAGCTGCAACACTAACACTAACATTGTCACACTGTTTGATTTCAGCATCTGTTCTTTTTCCATTACATCTACTGCCATTCAGGTTTACGTAGCACTAATGCCGCTCACCACCTAGTTATGGTACATGCTAACCCCTCACGTAGCACTAATGCCGTTCACCACCTAGTTATGGTACATGCTAACCCCTCACGTAGCACTAATGCCGCTCACCACCTAGTTATGGTACATGCTAACCCCTCACGTAGCACTAATGCCACTCACCACCTCGTTATGGTACATGCTAACACGACCAAAAGTGCAGGGCCTGAGAGACAAGGGCCAGCCTCTGCAAAACACCAGTCCTTCAATACCCATGCAGTGTAGCACAAACTCCAGTCTCTAGAAAATCAACTGCACATACATACTCTTTGCAGAATGGTGACTAAGATAATGTCACTGTATACAATCAGAGTTGAAGCCTGCCATTTACATTCCTCTAAAAAGAAAAAGGAAACTTCACTGTGATTTTTGGGGAATTTTATGTTACGTGCCTGGTTGTGCTCGGGAGCAGGACAATGATCTGTTCCATTATATTCTGTAAGTTGGTCTCTTCTTTTTTCTCTAATAAGAATCTTGTGAACATCATCTTCCAGTCTATTGAAGAATCCCCCATCATGTGATAAAGTCTGAGAAGAATTCGATTCCTGTCAAAACAAACCATGACTTACTATCACACACACACACACACACACACACACACACACACACACACACACACACACACACACACACAATCCCGCGAGTCACTGACGGACACCGAAAGGGAAGGAGTGCTAAGAGACGGCCCACCCTCTACTCTGTCTTTAAGGAGAGCAGGAGACACACACTTGCAGGGTCTTTTTTCTTACCCCTCCATATTTAGGAGTGCCATATAATTGGCATTTTCAGAGGCAGAGTCTCACTACAGAGCCCAGACTGGTTTGGAACTTGTGACCCTCCTGCCTCAGCTTCGTGCGTGCTGAAACTAGGGCTCTGTAACATCATGACCGGGCACTGTTTGCCTTTTACATTTTTATTATGCACACACTACACAGTTCACCCGTTAGCATGTGAAGGTCCCAGGTTTAATGTACCCAAGAGCTGTCCAACCGTCATCACAGACAGCGTCACGCTCTCCTCATTCTGCCGCTCATCAGCCGCCGCGGTCCCTGACGCTCTTCTCCACCCTAGGCGACACCCATTTTCTGTTCCTGTGAACTTATCCATTCTGACGTTTCATATAAACAGAATAACTGTGTTTTCTGTCTCACACTCTGATCCATCAATATAAGATTCTTCTATGTGACGACAGGGATTATTGCTTTATTTTTATTACCAAGTAATACCCCATTTTACATTGTTTCTCTTGTCACTGGTAGATGAACATCATGTGCTTACTGGAAACCTTATGATCCTTTTTGAGAAATGTTAACTTAGAGCCCTTGCTCATTTTTAACTGAGTTACTTGCCTGCTCACTTTCCAGCTATAAGGATCTCTGTCTCCTGGCTAGAGCTTTGGCTCCACGGTTAAGAGTGTCTACTGATGCTGCAGATTTGAGTTCAGTTCCCAGAACCCGCTTTAGGTTACTCATAACAGCCTATAACTCGCCGGGCGGTGGTGGCGCACGCCTTTAATCCCAGCACTCGGGAGGCAGAGGCAGGCGGATCCCTGTGAGTTCGAGGCCAGGCTGGACCGATAGCCTCCAAAAAAATACAGAGAAACCCTGTCTCGTAAAACCAAACCAAACCAAAAAAAAAAAAAAAAAAAAAAAAAAAAAAACAAAAAACAAAACACAAAAAACAAAAAAACAGCCTATAACTCCAGCTCCGGGGGATCAGACACCATCTCCTGGCCTCTACAAGCATGTGCCATACCTGTTCCTTAGACATGTCCCCCAGACATATATATCTACAATAAATACAGATCCAAAAGAAAATAATCTATGTATTCTAAAAAGCTGAGCATGGTGACAAATGCCTGTAATCAGAAAGATCTGTCCTGCTGAGGACATGTGACTTTGTGAATCTCTTCCGTCCCCTCCCATTCTCAAGTCTGTGAATGAGATGGTCTGACACCCCCTCAATATGGTAATAAGGTGAAGAGCCACTGAGGAAGACACTGGACACTGGCTTCTGCCCCCCATGCACTAATACAGACATGTACACACACAAAAGCTCATGTTTTTTATTTACATAGACATCTCTCATCAAATAATATTTGCAAATATTTTCTCTCATTCTAAGGATTGCCTTAGCAAGTTTTTCATGTCCTCTACGTAACACATAAGTTTTAGTTGCTTTTTTTAACTAGGGATTGAGTTCAGGATCACATTAGAGGTGAGCACTTCACTGCTTTACTTCCTGTTTCCTTCTGAGAGTTTCTGGGTTCCAGCGCTAACATTTAACAGACCTTTCAACTGTGGTGCTGGGCCATGGCCTTGCTGATGTCAGCAGTGGGCCGTTGACCACAGGAGCTGCAACTCCAGCCTGCCGTTTCCAACTCTCTGTCCAAGCAACCTCCCAGCCTTCAGGTAGCTGGGACGCAGGTGCACACACTCCTGCTGTTCCAGCGTTCACACACACGGTCTGTGATCCACTTTGAGTTAGTTTCTGTGTGGTGCACAAGGCATCCAAATGTATCCCTCTGCTCAGAGGTGCCTAGCAATTATTCAGGGAGAAGACTATTTGTCCACACTGAATTATCTTGGCACTCATATGCAAAAAGTCAAGCAAATACAAATACCAGGGTTTATTTCCATACTCTTAATTCCACCAACCTCTATGTTCACTCCCAAGACTCAATTCTCAGTATAAACTTGACTTGATTACTATAGCTTTGTATCTGCACTGTTTCACATTACATTTAAGTCATTTTGACAATAGGCAGTGGTGGTGTACACCTTTAATCCCAGCACTCGGGAGGCAGGGGCAGGTGCATCTCTGAGTTCAAGGCTGGAGAAACCCTGTCTCAAATCCCACCCCCAAAATTAATTTTGACATAAAATGTGTGTTATGAGCACTCTTTCCCACCAGCCTGGTCCCACAGCCACATCAGTCCCAGATGGACACACAGATGCTATATAAATTATGAAACTGTCAGCCGGTGGCTTGGGCTTCTTATTGGCTAGCTCTGTCTTAATTACTAATCCATACCTGTAGGGAGAGGCCTAGGCGCCTGCCACTGACCACGCCTATCTTGATTTCATTATAATGGTTGTCAGCCACCATGTGGTTGCTGGGAACTGAACTCAGGACTTTTGGAAGAGCAAGCAGTGCTCCTACTGAGCCATCTCTCCAGGCCCCTTTATTCCACACACCTGTACTCACCTGTAGCCATGCCCAAGACAGGTGTGGTCAGCAGCACAGGTGCCTAGGTCTCTCCCTACACATACCTACTAATCTATGTATTTCTGCATGGTCTTACCTTACTGGAGAACGCCTTACTCAGGTCCTCTTGTCCCTGGCTCGCATGACGACTCCTTCCTGCCTATACCTCCCAGAATTTTCATCTCCTAGCCCCGCCTGTCTTCCTGCCTGGCCAATCAGTGTTTTAGTCATCAGCCAATAAGAGAAACGTATTCAGAATAACATCTCCCATCAACTGTGCATACAAATAAAGACACTATACTAGAGAGATGTGATATTAGCACCGACTATCGAATTACTTAGAGGTTTTATAATTCTCTATTAGAAATATAATTTTTTCCCTCTTGTTATTAAGCACAGAGACTGAAGGAAATTTTCCTCCTTTCCCCACAGGTCTCCCCTCCACCCCCACCCTTAGGTTACAGTACTGAGTTTGATCAAGTTCAACTGTATTTGTAAACAGTGATACACAGTAAAATGGCTGCTCACTGCTCTACCTCCATAACACTTAAGAAAGTGAAATGTCTGAATGAAGATTTACTTGTACATTGATACAAACTAGAGCGTTAACCAGCTGTGGGGAACTTCATGTCCTGCAGAGAACTAGACACCAGGAGAGGCTGACAGAGCAGTAAAGCCTTGGGGTGCCTGGCAGCCACCGCCAACATTATTCCAAGTGTTGCTTCCTGAGACCTTCCCATTGTCTTCTGGTAAAGTCCCATTTAAAGCACGAGACAGTGCTGAGCTTCCATGGAAGGAACAGCAGGCTGACGACAACTGACCAGCTTCTGGACTCCCAGCAGCCAGTGGCCCTGCTGACTGAGTTTTGAGACAGATCTCACTGTCCACTCTGCAGCTCTGGCAGCCCTTGGGTTCCCAGAGACCCACACCTCTGTGCTGAGATCAAGGGCATGCACACCATGCCGACCAGCTTCTGATTTCTGCTCCTGTTACCAGTGTCGAGTCTCTCCCCCAAAACAAGTTTAGCCCCCCAGTACTCTGAACGACATACCCATGAAGCACACTTAGAACTGGCAAGAGTTGGGAAGACTGTTCAAGGGTGATCACAGAATTTTGATAAACACAAGAAAATATATTCATTAGTCATCATGAAAATAAAACTGAAATTCAATAAGCTACACTACATTCCCACTAGAGACAGCATTGGGTGCTGGCAAGGACGTGTCAAACTAGAACCTTTCATACATCACTGGTGGGATTAGTAAATGGCACATCCACTCTTTAAACAACCTGACAGGCTCCTAACAGTTCAACAGTTTCAACCAGGTCTCCTGGTGCCGCTAAAGCAGGGGGAGCAGTAGATCAAGGCTTGCCTGGAATACAGAATTCAAAGCCAGCCTAAATAACGTAGTAAGATGGTGTTTGAAAAATTAAAGGCCTTCAAACATAAACTTAGTAAAATGCTTGCTTAGCTGCTCAAGGCCCTGGGCTCAATCCCCAGAACATTACAAAGAGGCAAAAAATTTCAATCCCTACATCTGCAAAAAAAAGAAAAAATACACTATACAACCTAGCCATCTCAGCCCCAGACAGAAGTTAAAAATACAGAACTGCATAAATATTATCAATAGATTATAACTGAATATAAAATATTTCCAGTGTTCAGCAATAAAGCTGAATGAACTATTACTTGCTTGTTTGAGACAGGGTCTCACTCTGTAGCCCAGGATGGCCTTGTCTCAGCAGTACTGGGTTACAGTGTGCAACTATGTTTAGCTGAATGCTCTACTGATACATGCTACAACATAATCAACCTAAAAGCACCATGCCAAGTGAAAAGGCCAATCATAAAAGATTGCACAAAGTCTGTTCATAGGTTACCAGAAAATACAAATCTGTAGAAAACAGAAACAAAATAGTCATTGCCAGGAACTCAATAGGGGAGTACAAAGGAACTCTGGGGGATTAATGGGCAATTCTAAGTCTAGACTGTGATTATGGTCATAAACTACAAAAGGGACTGGGAGTTTAGCTCAGTGGTGTCTTTGTATCTGAGCCCGGGTTTGATTATCTGTCCTTCTGTTTTCACACTTATACACATGCAATGGTAAATGGGATACAAAGTGTGTAACTCAATGAAGCTGCCATTTGAAATTGTGCTCTGTTTCCTGAGGGGGCAGGGGCAGAAGGCCCAGAACTTCTTTTCTGTGAGAGTTAGTGCTCTTCTGCCTCGTGGGTCCCAGGGATTGCACTAGGATCATCAGTCTTGGTAGCAAGTGCTTTCCCACGAGTCACATTACCAGTCAGAAAACTGCTTGTAAAAAAGCCACCTGTGACCTTGTTTCTCTTGAAAACTACAGCATGACCTACCTGTGCCTGCACTCTTTGTAATCTCCCACACTCAGCTTCCTGCCTCCACAAAGTAACGATGACTCCGACTTCAGTGTTTATCACCTCCATCGTGTTATTAAGCAAACAGCATTAAACAACACAACTTCATTCTGTTTGCCTCACCTGGCTTAGGTATTTTGCAATAGGGACACCATGCATGATCTGAATAAGGCCTGCACATTGCAGCTGGTGATCTCTCAAGTCTCTTCTAATCTAGAACACACTCTTTCCACAGCCCACTTTCTCTTCACACATCCTTGTTGGAGAGACAGGTGAGTTGTTGGACAAAACACCCACCTGCCAGATTTGCTGGGAGTCAACACAGGGCCTTGTTTACAGTGGGCAAATGCTCTACTGTCAGCACCGTCTGCGGCTGCTCAAAGGGTTCCTGTTGACAGGGTTTCGGGGCACTTGTGAGCCTAAGCCCCGTGCAGCACCTATGCCCTCTTAAGGCCGACTCACACTAAGGACAAACACTGTCTTGAGCACACTCAGTTTTCTTATCCTTACGCTGTATTATTACTCCATAAAGCTCTGTGTGATTACCCTAAAATAAGGATTCTACCAAAGACAGACAACTAGGTTTATTCTAGTCTTTTTGAGGGTAAGATAAAGAGTAAGCCTGGTCATTGTACACGAAAATACCAACATTTATGTAAATGGTACCCAGGTGGTCACACATGTGAGTTTCTCTAGAATAGGTGGATCTGTGATGACCTGAAATATTATCTTGTGTGTATCTGTGTCTGTGTGAGTACTGTATGTATTTGAGTACGCGTGTGTATCTGTGTCTGTGTGAGTACTGTATGTATTTGAGTACGCGTGTGTACCTGTGTCTGTGTGAGTACTGTATGTATTTGAGTACGCGTGTGTACCTGTGTCTGTGTGAGTACTGCAGCACACTTGTGCAGCGGCCAGGACTAGATCTCAAGCATCCCCCTTTTGTCACACCCTCCTATCCTATCCTCAAGGCAGGCTTTCTCTGACCTGGAGCTTGCACCACCTCTGCCAGGCTGTAACGTGGCCAGCACGCTCAGACTCTCCTGTTCCTACCCCTCTCAGAGCTGGGGTCACAGGGTAAGCACCATCATGACATATGAACTTAGGCCCCATGACTGAACCACAACACTCCACCACTGAGCATTCTCCAGCCTATCATTTCCTCATTTCTAAGGGTTCCATGTAATCTCTTAGTGTCCAGCTTTATAATTGAAACATCTCTTAATGCACTACAATACAGTCTTCACAATGATCCATCTCTACTTGCCAACCCCACGCCCGACTAGTCAAGTGTTTGTAACGTACTCCAAGAAGCCACCAAATAGTGTTCCTGCAATGAGCTACCACAGATCACCCTAGACGGTTCTTCCCTTACCACTTGGCAGCAAGGCTCCGATTCAGGCTGTCAGGCTTGGCAGCAAGCACCTTCATGTGCCAGCCTTTTTGGTTGCCCACCCCCCCCCCGGATTTTTCTGTTGTTTTGACTTTTAGTCACAGGGTCTTGCCCTGAACCAAAATCTCCTGTGTCTGCCTCCTAAGTGTGAGATTTATAAATATGTGTCATCACATCTAGAAGGATAAACATTTTTAAAGATTATTTTTTTTCTGTGTACCACAAGTAGGGTGGCATGTGAACCATGCAGAGGTCAGAAGAAAAACCAAAAATAGTAAGGGTGAGTTCTCCTCTACCACATGGGTCCACAAGGGTGGACAGCACCTAAGGAACAACATCTGCACTTGTTTCCTGTCCCCCACATGAAACTGTGCACACACATACATGATCACACATGAACAAGCACCTGTGCACACACAACCATGCTCACACATGCATGAACACACACAAATACCTATGCACACACACTTGTAAACACCCACCCCCACACACATGCCTTCCCCAACACAAACCAATGAACACATTATAAATACAAAAATTAGCACCAGGCAGTGGTATCGCACTACCTTTAATCCCAGCACCTGGGACACAGAGGTAGGTGGATCTCTGAATTTGAGGCCAGTCTGGTCTACAGAGTGAGTTCCAGAATAGTCAGAGATACACAGAGAAACCCTTTCTTGAAAAATAATGATACAAAAATTAAAATACAGATTTGGAGACTAAATCATGTCTTTGAATTTTAAGCTTATAAGACACAAATTAGTTTAGTAATGCCAAATGAAACTGTAGTTTATGCAAATAGTCACTTTTATTCTACTGTATTTAAATCCTTATAATATCAGAAACATAATGAGTTTAGTCCAAACAAACCTTTGAGTGCTGTGTCTCTAGAAAAAGACTTACTGCTAATCATTATAGTACTATTCTTCAGTGTTTTCTAGACTGTAGGACAATCACAGTAAAACTTACCTCTGTCTTTTTACTAGTATGATCTGTAAATGAAAAAAGAAAAGCTTTACTGGAAAGAATTAACAAGTAGAAATATTTAACATGTAAAAAAAGAATTATCTGAAAGAATGTTAAAATTGTCAAGAGTTACAAACATAATTTTCTAAGATTCACGCCTGATTTACTTTCGGGCTTAGGATGTTAAGATCCAGCCAGACAGGGTAGTTTGTCCAGCAGATGCCACCACACCGAGGGATGTTATTAAGTTTTAAACATGTGAGTTTTATATATGACTCAGTTACCTGGCTTCATTTATTTCCAGGGGACAGAAATTTGAGGAGATATATCTATGTCCAAAATCAAATCACAGAGGATTATATTGTTCTGATTACTGCCTTTGTCAAATACAATAAAAACTATGATAGCAATTTATGTCCTTAAAAGCTACTGGCTATATTATTTTTAAGATACACATAGTGATTTAATTGTACTGTAATACAATCCTTAGCATATATATGTATATATATTTATAGATGTGTATTTATAGAATTCAACAATGGAACAATAACAGATTATAGATAAAACAAACCGTGGACAAGAAACTCCCACGTGACCCTTCTAGTCTGGAGTGACTGAGAGCAGGACAAAGGAGGGAACAGTTGAATCTAAAGTGCAAGCAGACTAAATACTGGAATTCAGGGGTGATCGGCATGGCAAGTACTTGCATCTAAGTCAGGGTGATCAGGACATCTAATTACTCAACACCGCTCCTGTATACAAACAATTACCCCTCCAAAGAGCATGAGTGAATTTTTTCTTTTCTTTTCTTTTCTTTTTTTTATAGACAGGGTTTCTGTGGCTTTGGAGGTTGTCCTGGAACTCACTCTGTAGACCAGGCTGGCCCTGAACTCAGAGATCCGCCTGCCTCTGCCTCCCGAGTGCTGCGACTAAAGGCGTGCGCCACCATCACCCCACATTAACTTTCTCATAATAAGCAATTTGAAAGTTGGCATCATTTTCTATGTCATTTGTTCATCAGAACAAGTATAAGACATGGTCAATATCAAAGCCATTAATTAACATCAAACTACCAAATGACCATTCTTCTGGTCTGTTCTACTTAGTAGCACGATGCCATAATTCAAGGAAAGACCACACCTGTGACCATCACAAAGTACACGGCTTACCTTCGCCACACTCTCAGAGCAGTTAATAAGTGTGCTTACATCCTGAGACAGTAAGCACACGGAAGGACATGTATTCTGTCTCCTGCATCCTGGGCTGACTTCCAAATCATTATGCCATTGAGGATGAAACTCAACTTTTTACCTTCCTACCTCCATCTTTTCAATGCTAGAACTACAGGCCTGTCCTGCAGAGCTCAGTGTGTGGGGCCGGGAATCAAGTTCAGGGTTCCTGCATGGTAGATGAGTCTACTACCGGGTGACCGCTTCCCCAGCCCCTACTAGTATGCTTCTGCTTCTATTTTCATACAGTTTCTTTTCTTTCTTTTTAAATCTGGGCTGGAGCAATGGCCCATTAAGAGCACTGGTTACTCTTACAGAGGACCTGGGTTAGATTCCCAGCACTCACACGATAGCTCATAGCTGCCTGTAATGTCTGTTCCAGGGGTCTGATGCCCTTCTCTGACCTCCACAGGGACCAGCACACATGTGGTGAACAGATATACATCCAGGAAAAAAGCATTCTTACAATGAAAATAAAGATATTTATTACATATATCTTAAATTTACAAAGTTAAAAATTACTATCTTATTGCATGTGCATGGGTGGGTGTTTTGCCCGTATGTATGTCTGTGCACCATGTCTGAGTGGTGCTCAGTGAGGTCAAAAGAGGGCATCGGAGTTCCCTGAACTGTAGTGACAGACAGCTGTGGGTGCTACTTAACTGCTGAGCCATCCCCACAGACCCAAAATTTATTATGTACAAAATTCTTCTTGAGCCAGGCAGTGGTGGTGCACGCCTTTAATCCCAGCAACCAGGAAGCTGAGGCAGAGGATCTCCGTGAGTTCAGGGCCAGCCTGGTCTATAGAGTGAGTGCCAGGTCAGGTTCCAAGGCTACACAGAGAAACCCTGTCTGGATAAACAAACAAAAAATTAAGTTCTTTTTGGTAAACTTGGATATTTTACTGTAATGTGCATGGTTCATCCCTAAACCAGGAAGCCTTCCTTTTTAGTATGCGTGCGTGCGTGTAGGTGCCGGCAAAGACCACTAGAGGGAGTCAGACCTGGCACTGGAGATGGAGTAGTTGGGAGCTGGGGCTGCAGCTCAGCTGTTCCCTAAGAGGAGCAAGCATCCACTTCTGAGCCATCTCTCCAGCCCCAGAGAGAACTTTCTTCATCCTCAAACGAAAGCAAAACCCCTCCAAGTTTACTCTTAGCTTCATAGAAAAGTTACTTTCTCAAAACTATATTTAGATTTTTCATATTTACTTTGAGATTATTGCTATGGCAGCATTATCCTCACAGAACAATGCTCAAAGTCTAACATTAAGGCCAGTGCACAAACAGCTATGATTCTAATGAGTGCAGGCAGGCACTGGTTAATAAAATTCCTGTAGTGAAAGTGAGTTCCAATAGACAGGATAATACAAAAGACACTAGTCACGTGTAGCTACTGGGCACTTGGTATGTACCTCACACTACTAAGAATTTATATTTGTAGGGTATTCATCACCACACGTGGATAGTAGCTGCTGTACTGTATATTCGTTCCCATATAATAAACAGCTTTGAGATGTTTCATCTTCGAGGCCAGTATGATCTTTGCTATTTGACAGTGACTACAATACTATCTCACTCTAAAATTTATATTTTCATTTTCTAAAATATAACTTGAAGAGGTGACCAATAATTGCTAAAACCAAAAGGCTACTATAAACTCAACCAGGTACTATGGCAATTCATTTTCATTTGTTTTACTTGAAAGAAGGTGTGGAGCTCACCATCTTCCTACCTCAGCCTCCCATGATCTGGGTTACAGACTCGCACCACCACAGTTAGAAATACCGCACTTAATTCCTCAAAGAATAACAATGTCAAATTTTACTTTCAGTTTTTAGAAAAGGGACAAATTCAGAAGTATAAAAAGGTTAATTTTCACTAAGTTTTATAGAGTCTTACTGACTTGTTTATTTTTAAGCCCTCAAATAGTTATTTCCAAACAGATTTCTGCTTTAAATTTTTGCTACTGTAAATTTCATGTTGAAATGTAACTAGCACTGGGAAATTATTAAGCAATGGGACTTTGATTTTAGCTTCTGCCCTGCTTGAGAAACAATCTAACAACCCACCACGATCAATTCAAGCTCTGGGAACACATTGTACTTTGTGTTCCAAGAAACTTTCACCTAAAATCTGGAAAGATGGTGGTGAGTGTCTGGAGACCAGGAGTTTGGGTGCAGAATGGTTACAATACAGAGTGTCAAGAGAGAAATGAAAGAGCCCCAGAAACAGAAATGGGACAGCCAATCACAGCCAGCAGCACACGCCACGTGGCGTGGCCTCTGTGAGGGAAGCACCATGACGGCACCTGGGACAGTGAGCCTCAGAGTGAGGGTGTGCACGGCCAGAGCTCACAGGAGCAAAACTCAATGCCAAGGAAGAAAGGACACCACAGCAGACCTCAAGCATGTGCTACAATGGACACAGGCATCTGAAACTGGGAAACAGCCACAGTGCACAATTCCCTTCTCCATGATAGCGCCCTGAGGGCAGGCGGTCTGACCAAGAGCAGGGACTACGTAAGGGACTGGAATGCAGAGGCAGCACAAGGGAGACAGCCAGGAGAGCTGCACCACTCACCTTGTGAGGAGCTCGTCTCCCCATCACAACCCAAAGGAGACTCACAGAAAGCAAATGTTAAGCAATGTGGAGCACAGGACTAAAACCTGAGGACACACACAACAGTTGCACAAACACAACAAAGACTCTCAAAAGCCACAACAGAAGATCCTCTTGGACACCACCACAGTTTCTTGGTACCAGAGAACAAGGATGACCAGGTTCCTGAATTGCCAAAAATACCTCAGAACCCCTCTTTAAAAAAAAGCAACCACTAAAGAAAATCCAAACAAAGAGATAAAGGACTTGAAGATGAAACAATTCCCTAGAGGGAAGAGGGAGACTCCTATGGCTCTGGAAGCCCCACAAGGCCTGTCCCTGAGGTGACATGAGCAACAGAAGCGGTTTAGACAGAGTTGCCTGCAGGTGAGATAGTGATATTCAGGGTGCAGTGTTTATGAGCTATCAAAGAGTCACCTGTGCTCCTATAGGTGACCTCTCACCCATGCTTCTGTAAGAAAACCCAACGAACTCACTGGCTCAGCAAGCTAGGCTGGAAGGCAGCCATCTTTCTGGTCTGTTGCCGGTGCACTCTCCTGACTGAACCAACACTTGTCGTCAGCTCCTGAGGAGGTCACTTTCTTTCTGTCCCTTCTGTCTTTTATCATGTAAGCAGCAGGCACTGCCAGATTCTGACACCTCGACACTCAACTTCCTCACCTCCAGAACCGTGAGCCAGTGTACTTCCGATGGCTGGAAACTACCTGACAGCAGTACAAAGTGAACTAACAAAGGCTTATACTGTTTTCATACCCTACATGGTGAACAAAACAAAGCTCAGTTGATAGATCCTGGGGCAGCTTTCGCAAGCTTCCAGTCTGACCCCCAGCACCACATAAACTAGACGTGCTAACTCCTGTGCTTGTGGTCTTGAGGCAAAAGCAGGAGGACCCTCGGCTACACAGTGAGTATGAAGTCATCCTGGGCAGAAGAGTCCACATCTAAGAAGAGACAAAACAACATGTTAGCACAGCTCTGGTGTAGTAGGCATTGTACATACTTTACCTTCACACTGAAAATCTTTTAGGGACACTGTGAGAGGTTTGTCTTTTCCCTGCTGGTTCTTTCTTTTATCTTTTTTATTTATAACTTTTGACTGAGTTGAAGCATTTTCAGCATTTTCATAATCCTAAAAAGAATTACCAACAGTAATTAAGTTTGGTTTATAAAGCATAACATCAACTCCTTAATATGTTTCTTAATGTTTTACTTTTAAAGATTAAAAGCAAATAAAAAACTGAAAACTTAGGCCAGCCAAATTGTATGAAAAATTCCTATTTAGTTATTGTGTATCTTCTCAACTGAAAACATAAAAGTAAAAACAGAGACTGATTCATAAACCTCCCCCACTGACAACTTCTCATTCTTTTCTTCAAGGCTAAATTTAAGAGAATAATCTACAGTTTCTAGTCTCACTCCCTGAACTGGGGAATCTGTTGTTCTGATACTAACATCAAGATCAGTTTTATTCTAATGACCAAATCTAAAAGACAATACTTTTTAGCCAACTCTTGTTTTTTAAAAATATTTTTATTTTACATGTATGGGTATTTGCCTAAACCTATGTCTGGTGCCCAAGGAGGTCAGAAGGGGGCACTGGATCCCTGGGAGCTGGGTTACAGGCACTGTGAGCTGCCATGTGGGTGCCAGGAATGGAACACTGGTCCTCTGGAACAGCAGCCAGTGCTCTTAACCACTGAGCCAGCCCCTAACTCCACACATTTTTAAAAAAGGTTTTCTCCATACATTTGTAATGACTCAAGTCTCCATTGCTGCTTTCTTTTCCCAATCCTCCTAGTAAGAACATAGCTGTTATCCAGTACACCCATTCTTAACCTATTCTTACACGCTCTTCATTATTCAAGTTTCCACTTTTTCACTAATGATTTTTCTATGTGCAAACATCGGTGCAGTGCTCAACACCCTCTGCCACTCTGTGCTTATCCTTCAACCAGCGACCCTGGCTTCCCACTTGATCCTCTACTACGTGCTTGGTTATGCCACCCTCTGCGCAGCTATCAGTCATAAGTCACATCTTATAAGCAAATAGGTCATTCAAGTCTTGCTGAGTTTTATCTCCTAAGGATCTCTTTGCCCTTTGTATATTTTGTCATTTTCTTTCTCTTCTTTTGCTTGGACAGTGAGTCTCTAATTTCACCTTCTATCATACTATGGCACAAATTTCTAAAATAAAACCCTGAAATCAAAAAGAAACAGCAGTATTTTGGAAGGCAAGCCCACGTGTGTTTGGAAGCCTTTTCTACCTATCCGCATTGAAGCTGTCCTGGTCACTCACTCGCAGCCTCATACCCAGCAGTTCCCTCACACATTACCACATCTTCCCTGAGTGCACCTACGTCTCTCCAGTCTGCTCTGTGAACACTGCACATCCAGGAAGACTAAGAAACCCTCTGAGAGGCACTGAGAGGCTGCCAATGCTTGACTCTCAGAGCTAACGGGCTGATCATTTATTTGCCTGTCTCTTGCACTAAGCTCAAGGGCTGAGACCACCTTCCCGTGCTAGGCAGTGCGCTCGCCTATGGAATAAGCACCTGGTGAGTGCGTAATGGAAGAGGACAAAAACAGCATCCCTCATTTTCTCTTCTCTTTCTCTGTTTGAGATGTGAGTTCATTCCGTGGCCCAATCTGGATTAGGACACACTATGCAGTCCATGTGGACACAGCCCCAACTGGCCTGATGCTGTGACATCCTCCTGGCTTTGTTTCATCAGCGCTGGGATTATAGATGGGAGCCAACGAATGGCCCAAACTTTCGTTATTTGTTATACAAATTCACAGGTGAGGATAGTCATGAGGAGACAGGCATGGACCAGTCGGTGTTTGCTGGGCAAGCATGAAGACTGGCACTCAACCCCTAGCCTCACGTAAAATAAGAACAAGGGTACTGTAGTGAAGCGGTACTGCAGTGAGTTCCTGTGATCCCGGTGGGGGTAGGGGAACAGCCCTGGGGCTTGCGGGCCACCAATCTAGTTGAGCCTGTGAGCTCTAGCTTTAGTAGAGACCGTGTCTCAAAATAAAATGGAGAGAGACTGAAGGAGACACCCAAAACTGATTTCTGGCCTCCCCACATACTTGTGTATGGGCACCAACATACACATCATACATACATGTGCTTGCATTTGTGTGTATATATATATACACATACACACACACACACACACACACACAAACAATTACGGTTATTTGATTGAAATATTGACTTGTAAACTCTATAAACACACTAACACAATTATATAAAACTGCCTTTACATACAAAAGTAACACTTCCATTTTCTTAGAGCCATTATTATCTGATAAATTCAATACATTTGTTGGGTGCTGTGCCTGTGAATTTAGCAAGAAAACTGGCTCGGATCATGACATTTCATCCACACCATTTGTTCCACTCCTGAACCGCTAATCATTTTAGCTTCAGAACAACAATAAAATCTTATGCATAATTCAGAAATAAAGGAGGACCTTGCCAAATATAACCTCCAAGTCCATTTAAATGGTTCAGTCACAGTGAAGTGTGCTGCAATCACTTTAATACTAGCTTCATTTTTATCTAAGTGAACACCTAACCATTCGGGTTACAATCATTCTTTTATTTTTCTCCTAAAATGGTTGTTTTTATGTGTATGGGTATCTTGGCTACAAGTGCAAGTCTACCCGTTCTGTGTATGCAGTGCCTCCAGAGACCCGGGAGGGTGTCAGATCCCTGGGCCTGGAGCAGCAGGTGAGCGGCCCACCCTGTGGGCGCTGGGAACTGAACAGTGCGCATCCTCTGCAAGAGCAGCGGTGCTCCTGAACTCTGAGCGTTGCTGCAGACCTGACTTTGGTCATGACTGTTTCAATTATTTAGCACACAAGGAATAAGGGCACGGAAAAGAGAGCACACTGGGTACACAGACACCTGACTGGCTTTTTTTTTCTTTCAGAGAAACCGTCTGCTGTGGGTTTTAATTCCTGTCTCCTTTCTCCTGGGACAGAGGCGCCAGCAGACTGTGACACTGCAAACATGACTAATCACGAGAGGGGGCATTTTTGATCAACCATTAAGTTAGTTATAAGGTGAAAGAACTAGTGAAAAACAGAGCCCTAAAAAATGTTACCAGTTACGTTACATAAGTCAAATCTCACAATCAGGGAACCGGAACCCAGCATTACTTTCCCCTTACTCTCCTCTAATCAGAGCTGCACAACGGCCAGTGCTCACGGGGAAGCCTTTCAGGGGACTCCTGTGCCCTGCACTCTGTTTCCTTAACTGTTACATCTGCTTCTGAGGAGGGAGCAGTACTAAGGGCTGGACCAGGGTCTCCTGTGTCCTAATCATGTCCACTGAGCATCCCTCAGAGTTCCCTAAATGGGCCTATACTCCATGTTCATTTAAAATGAAAACAAATCATCTGGCATTCATTTCATTTGTTTGCTTCATCTTGGCTGGAGAAACTGGACATTCCACGTCATCAGACAAAGTGTGACCCACTTTTTCTGTCCCTCAGGATCTGAGGAGGGAATCCTTTCATGAGTTTTTAAGGCAAACTTTATTTTTTTGTAGTTCTAGGGAATGAATCCAGCGCCTAACACCAAGTTACATCCCAGACCTAAAGGAGAAATTTTATAAAGTCCAGGAAGGACTGACCTGAGCTTTGGTCACTTAAGAGCTGTAAATGTTTACACTGATAAACATCTAAGTACCTGTTTGTGCTCTTCATATTCTAATTTACTCAGCAACAACGCCTTCTCAAGATCAGCTTCAAACATTTCAGATGTCAGCTAAAAAAGTATCAGAATAAATAGTTTTACATCTCATGCTCAAAATAACCATGATATATGATACTACATACAAGAAAAGAAAAGCAATGTACTTTAAATGAAAAGTTATCACTTCTCCAAACTTATTTAACCATGCTATCCTAGGACCCTGTATTGTATAAAAGTGTAACTCCTATCTATGAAATTTCTGTTTCCTCTTTCATTGCTAATTTGAGTTCATATCTGTGTCTACATATGCTACAGACATCTTCTATTTCTTCTCTCCTAAACCCCTCACTTATTCCAACATCCTTTGATTCAGCAGGACACCTGAGCACCCCACCATTCTAACGCAGTGCCCGCTAACACCCGAGCTGAACCACAGTGACACAGGCAGGGGAGTGAGCCAGGTGTTTTCTGCTCTTCCAGGCCTTGCCTTCAGAAATCTCAAGAAAGGGTTAACCCCTGATATCACTCTGCAGCTTGGGGTCTGCTAGCTCTGGCCTCTGAGTGTTCCAGAACTACTTAGTTTCCATCTTTCCTATGACCTAAGCTTTCAGGTTTTAATCACTCTTCAATAAACTATGTTGCTTAATGTTTAAAAATATGTAGACGTAGGTGGTGAACTACATCACTAGCCAGGCCCACTTTTGGGCATGGCTAGGGGCATTACGGAGGAAGGAATAAAAGACTGAACAGCGGAAGTCTAGCTCTCTTTTTCCGGCTTTCTGGCTTCCAGTTCGGCTGCGGAAAACTACTCAGCTCATCTGGGTTACTTGTTTGTCTCTTGTGAGTAATTTCTACAATAAATACTTTACTTTCAGTAAGTGTGCCGTTTATCGTTGCAGCATCACACATGGCTGCTCCCAATCATCTACAACTCCAGTTCCAGGGGATTCACCCCCTCTTCTGACTTCTGCAGACAGGAGGTACACATGTGGTACACATATATACATGCAGGTTTAACTCCCATAAACATAAAAAAACCCCTAAATCATTATATAGTGAAAAATATAATAAAGTAAAACTAGAATTTATGTATGTTAGCCACATAAAAAGAAAGTATAAATCAATATCTACATCTAAGCTGAGTACAAACTGTTCATAAATTAAAAATATGATGATCTTAACAAAAAAGTAACAAATCTTAATTTACTCTGAACAAAGCTGGTCAATCTGCTATTAAAACCCTATTTTTAACATTTAACTATGGAAGAAAATTTGTGGTTATTTCTAATATGTCATATATTTGGTCTGATATCCCAATGACCCAGACAGCAAGAACAGGTTAGGAAGCTTTAAGTCTTGCAAGATACTGTGACTTTCCACATTAAGTTACAGGACTTAGGTGTTAGGGCATTCTGATATCAGAGCAACAACAACAAAATGGACGAAACCAGCATTTGTTATGTTTTGTTTTTTGGGATGGTCTCACTGTGTTGTAGAATATTCCTTTACCCTGTGTGCAGATGTGCCTCTGTGACTGGCTCACAGAAGGAAGGTGAGGCCCCAGGCAGCTGCAGAGGGAGGAAGACAAGCAGGAGGAGAGGGAAAAGCCGCAGCCACGTGGCCGCATGCCGATGGCTAGACAGGGGTTCACTTAGCACGCTCCAGTGTCGCAACTGTTAGCACGTGGCCCTTACACAGAATGGGTCAGTTTTAGTTATAAGAACTCACGAGGCTAGCCTAAGCTAAAGCCAAGCGTTCGCTATTAATAATAAGCCTCCATGACAGTTTTTGTAAGCCCGACTACACTATGTATAGCTTAGCTGTTCCAGAACTCACTACATAGACCAGATTGGTCTTGGCATAGAAATGAAACTTAAAAGTGAAGAACAAAGAAAACAAGACCACAGCTCTCCCTGAAATCTGCCTGACTTTCTCATGGTGTAGGCAACTGGCCTGAAGCATGGTAAGAAGCAAAGACAGCCCTCCAAAATTTGAAATAAGGTAATTATATTTCCCTCTGCACACTCTCTTCATTTGTAAACAGTAGAAGAATAAAAAACAAAACAAAGCAAGAAAACACAAAGACCAGGGCCAGGGTTGTAGCTCAAGAGCAGAGCACATGCCACGTACGCCCAAGGCCCTGGGTCCAATTCCCAGAGCCCACAACAAGAAACACTCAACTGCTTTGCATGGACAAACCTAACACACAACACACACCAGCCGCAGCTTCTCACCAAAGCCGCACAGACGAATCGTCCAGGACTAACTGCTCTTTAGACAACGGTGACAGGACTCAGGTGTGCTGCCATCCTAACACTCCACAAATGCAAGGGACAACGCGAGGACGTCTGACGTACCTGTTCGTCTTTCTGTCTCCACTCTTGCCAGTTTTCTTCCCGTGACTCCTTCTGTGCTGGGGTCGGCAAGGAAAGCTCAGGCTGAACATTGCAAATGGTATGGGAGGACTTCTGGGGAATTTTCTTAAAAGCAAGGTTCCTGAGCTACAAAATAAGCACAAGATATATTAAATTCAGTGCATCAATACTAATGATTTTAATTTGAAAATATTTCTCATCCAAATACTCATTGTATTAACAACTTATAAAACTTAAAGAAAAGTTATTTCTGGGTTTTATTTATCTGTACTTATAAACTTATTAATTTGTTCGTTTTACAAAGGCTCACTGTGCTTTCTAGGCTGGCTCAAGCAACCCCGTCAGCTCAGGCTCCTGAAAAGCTGGGGCTCCAGGCACGGGCTGCCCCCTTTGGAGGCTTGTCTGTTTTAACACACAAGCTGCCCCGGGTAAGTGTTCCCCACATGTGGGTCAGGGGGGCGTGTTCTCCAGGCAGCTCTGCTCCAGAGACCGGGCTCCCACCATGGCTCAGTCCCGGGAGACCAGGGCTCCAATAGCTACCTCGTTTGCCTCGCTCTGTTGCTGCTCCTTCTTTTTCCTTCTTTTCTCTCTCTTTTTCTCATTTGTAGTTGATTTGTTTCCCAAAGTCTGAGACTTCCCATTATTCCGACCTTTGCCTTTTCCGGGCTCAGAATCAGAACCACTGCCGCTGTCGACTTGTAACAGGGCAAACCGAGAGGCAGTAGTGAGAACAGAGCTGAGGACTGCTGAAGCCATGGCTCAGACTGCTTTCTAATCGCTCTGTCAGCAGCACTCCTGTGGCAGGGAGGAGAGGAGGCAGAGCACAAGACACTGAAGAGAATACAGAATACATTTCTCCCGACATCAGATTTGGCAGTATTTGTATTTGTACCCGCATTTCATTGGCATTAACATACTTTTAGCTTAAGTAAACAACATAAAGTTAAGAAGATGTGGGTTTTATTTATCTCACAGGTAACAATCGCACACGATGCTCATTCCCACATCTGATTTTAACATCCTTGACTTTGCTTCTCTGTAAATGCTTCTGTGGTGTGCATGCACACACACTCATGGGAAAGCCCTCTGTGGTGTGCACACACACACACACTCATGGGAAAGCCCTCTGTGGTGCACACACACACACACACACACACTCATGGGAAAGCCCTCTGTGGCATGCACACACATTCACTCACAGGAAATCCCTAAAACACGGTAGGCTGCCGTGGAAGGGGAGGAACAGAACATTCCATTATACAGAGAACTGTATGGCAGTCACATTTATCCCAGACTTCCAAGAGAACAAAACAATAGAAAAGAACATTCTTATATTCAAAATGTGCAAATTTGATTATAAAGACCGAGGCCTGACAACTAATTAAAAAATAAAGAGCCTACATTCCCTCAAACACAGAATCCATGCCTAGTACTGTCTGTCACCTTTGGTCAAAGACTATGGCTGATAAGATCATAGGCCCTAGGGGGTACTTACTACGGTTGTTTTGCTGAAAAGGCATGCCAGACCACCTTGATCAGTGCTGCTCTTAGCCTTGGTGAGGGAATCTTTTGTTTAGAATGGAGTACAGTTAATAATTGGCCAAAATGCTAAGAGTAAGTGACTTGTCTGCTCAATGCATGCAGGAGCCGAGCCTGCAGAGGCCAGAAAAGGTCACTGCACCCCCAAGAAGTGCTGTGCAGATGTTGTGAGCCCCCCAGTGTGGGGTGAACACCAATTCTGGGTCCTCTGCAAGGGCTGCAATACCAGCTTTAAGCGACTCCGTGTTCTCTCCCTTCTTCTAAATTCCCCAAAGCATATGCCACACTGGGATGGTGCTGGCTCTTTTAGCCAGATTTCCAGAATCTGAAGCCACAGTGAGTTAACCCTTTAGTAACCTGCATGAGGCATGTGGTGTGAACCAGACAGTTGTGCTGCTTTAAGCTCTTGGGATTTTCTGACTGTTACTGCAATATAACCTAGCCTCATGGTGACATGTTTTAAAGGCATTGCCTTTCCATTCTAGAACTGATAGTAAACCCACAAATTTTGTGCTTGGATTGTTCTATGAGTTAAGTGTTTACAAATGTTTATTCTAAAACATTTCTCCAAGGCTCAGAGAATTTTCTTTCTGTGGCATAAAGCAGTTTCCAGTTTATCTTCCGATAAAGTTTCTTTCAGATCTCTGAGAGACCCAGAAAGCCCCAGGGAAGTAACCACCTCTGGGGCGGTCACCTTCAGACACCGAGCCTCGTCCGCTCGGTGTTGGGTGGTTGGTGGTTGCTCCTACACATGCTGTCCTGTCTGTCACCTTGGACAGGCACCTGATCTGGCAGCTGGGATCACGGCAGGCCCTGAGCCTTGGGGCTACTAGAGTTGATGCTGCAGGTGCCCAAGGAACAGAGCACACAGCACAGGGAGGAGCGGCTCAGGGTGCAAGCCCCATTGTCTGTGAGCAGACTCTAAGAAATGGGCTAACCTCTACGTGGTGCTACGCTGTTTATGGTTCTATAAAGCTTGCCTGAGGGTTCAGAATGCAAAGCTAGCCACAAGTCATAGAGACCAGGCAGTGGCCGTCACACCTTTAATCCCAGGGCTCAGGAGATAGAGGTCTCTGTGAGTTCAAGGCCCCAGGGCTACAGTGACTCAGTCTAAAACGAGGAGCAGCTCACACAAAGGAGATCTCAGCACTTGGGATCACAGGCCTTTAATCCCAGCAGCACCAGGGAGGTATTAAAGGAAGAAGCAAAGGGTCTCATGTGAGATTTGCTTTCCAGACCGGAACTCAGGGTTACAGACTTGCTGGAGAGCAGGGCAGTCTGCACTGCACTCTGAGGATTCGTGGAGACAGGATCACCCGTTTCGGTCTGAGGTAGAGGTAAGAGCTAGCGGTCTGGCTGCTTTGCTTTTCTCATTTTCAGCTTGAACTCCAATATCTGTCTCTGGGTTTTTATTATCCGTGTTGCACATCTACACTGACATTTTCCCTCCTTTGCTATTACCATGCCCTTTTAATAGCACAGAAACCTACCTACAAGGTCATGCTTAGACAATACAAACATACTCTGTCAACCAGAGCTTTGTTATCAGTTTGAAACACTTGATGTTAGAAACTCTGATTAAATTTGAATAACTGAATTTATACACATTTAGCATTTAGTGCCTGTCCTAGTAACTTATTGTTCTATTTCTCCTGATAACATTCTTTAAAAAATGTGAATATATTCTTGTATTAGCTCTATATGTATCTCTTGCCAGTTTGGATAGTAAGATGTCTTTTTCCTTTGTGTTAGAAACACCGATGTCAGATAGCAGAGGGTACTAAGCCAAGAGCTCAGCCTGGAGGCCAGGGAGCTGAGTCAAACCCAATGTGTTCCTCAGTGTGCACCCAAGGCAACCGCTATCGTCCTCCTCTGTGAAGAGGGGAGAGCAGCACCGATTCATGGTGTTGCTGTGCAGTCTGAGTAGGTCAGCATGTGCGCACTGTGGACAGCACTTGAACGTCAGCACTTACTGTATGCTTAGCTGCAGTGTCTTGTAAGAGTTAATGCTCATAAATATCTATTCTGAAACACCCCTTGAAGAGGAGTTAAGATCTGGGACAACTAAAATGTGACTACACATGACAATTCCACTGCAAAATATGTTCTGAAATTCAAACCAACATTTGCCCTATGTAGAAACTAAGGCTTTAACCTTTGAAGTGAAGGAAAACAGGTGTTAGGTATTAAGTGGGAATTGGGTACTCAGCAAAGCTCCATCAAGACCTGTGGAGTGAGCTAGCGAGTGTGCCGTCCATGAGCACAGGTCTGCCTAAGACCAGCAGCTACAGCTGCACCGTCTTTTTTTTTTTTTTTCTGAAACAGGATTTCACCATGTAGCCCTGGATGTCCTAGAACTCATTTTGTAGACCAGGCTGACCTCAAACTCAGAGATCCACCTGCCTCTGCCTCCCGAGTGCTGGGATTAAAGACGTGCGCCACCACTGCCCAGTGGGACTAGGCCTTTACAACTGGACGAACAGAGGTATTTCCTGAACAAGGGACAATAACGAAAGGCAAAGCACAAAGGAACATTAAAATAAACTTTTCTACTAAGGAAAGCCAGCAGTAACTGCCAACAGACAAAGCACTGTGACTAAGGCGGCTATACCACAGCAACAGCTCTCATGTTAAAGTCATTTTAAGAGGGTAGGGTACGAAGAGAGAAAAGCTCATGAGTAACGGCGACTCCTTGTTTACTCAAGGTTCAGGGTGCAAAAAAGGACAGTGGCAGTCACCTGAGCAATAATAAATTACTTTAAATATGCTAAATATTTAATATAGTAAATATATTCAAGACAAAAAATGTTCTATTTAGTCTTCCCAAGCTAAGTTTATGTGGTCCTTGTTCTTTTTGAAAACCAGGATTCTCTAGGTAACTAACCCAGGCAAGCTGAGAGGTTACTCTGGCTCAGGTTGGCCTCCAGGCACTGGGATGGTAGGTGTGTTCTGTGACTGACTGTACTCAATATCAACAGTGGCATGTCCTCTACCCCAGCAGCTCCCACACACACATCCCAGGCTCCCACAGCTCCCCCCCCACACACCCCAGGCTCCCACAGCTCACACACACACACACACACACACACACACACACACCCCAGGCTCCCACAGCTCCCACACACAGACACATCCCAGGTTCCCACAGCTCACACACACACACACACACACACACACACACACCCCAGGCTCCCACAGCGCTCTCTCTCTCTCTCTCTCTCTCTCTCTCTCTCTCTCTCTCTCTCTCTCTCACACACACACACAGGCGCACACACAGGCGCACACAGACACACACACAGATAAATTTGTCAGTTGTAATGTGCATATCTGCAGTCTCAGCACTAGAAGGGATAAGGCAGGAAGGTGCTATGTTCAAGGCTAGCCTGGGGCTACACAGCAGGAAATCAGCTCAGCAAAAAGAAGCGATAATGACATCAAGCGTACTGGCTGGGCCTAATTACATTTTCCAGGTACCAAATGCTGCACCCAGGTGTGCACTGAAATGCGTGCTGAACTGGGAAGGGGAGGGTGCAAGTGCACGCACCGGAACAACCGTCAGGCCAAAAGTGTGCAGTAGAGGCGCCGTCACAACCAACTATCCCCAACTGGTTTCCCAGGAATCTTTTTTTTTTTTTTTGGTAGGAGGTTTTTGGCTTTGTGTCAAATGCTGATTTTTAAAAGGTGCGGGTTTGGGATAATCTAAGCTGCAACCGGCAAGACTGACATGCGTTCTGTCTTCTTGGTGTCTGTCTGGGAAGGGCCACAGCCATCATGGATGACCTCACTGGAGTCAGGAAAGAACTCGTCCAGGGGAACTCAATTACATAATTCCCACTCAGGAACCATCATTTTTATCCCTCGTGAAAATGACCAGTAGTTGCGTTACCGTCTATTAATGCTATCAGCCAGTTAGCCTGGTCCAAAAATAATTCGCAATGTAAATGCCTTCAGCGAGGGCGGCTGTATGCTTTGAGACAGGGTCTCACTGTGTAGCCTAGGCTGGGACCGAACTCTCAATCCTCCCGTCCCAGCCTCCCGAGTCCTAGGAATGCAGGCGCACACCACCACATGCAGCTAGAGGCCCTGCTGAAATCTAATGGATCAAAAACAACAAACGGTTGGATTAGACTATGAAAGGTCCTGGGTTTGATGACAAGCATCCCCTCCCCCAAATGACAAATGAGCATGAAATGAACTCTGTTTACCTATCATCTTTGACTTCTTAAAATGTAAGAGTCACAGGCACCAAGGGCCAAGTTTATTCTGAAGCTTTGCTTCCAACACTTACTGCATACCATGAACCCCCCCCATACACACACTTACTGCATACCACGAACCCCCCCCCCCATACACACACACTGATTAGTACCGCCTCCCCTCTTGGAGCTGTTGAAAAACAATCATTTTTATTTAAAAAAAAAAAAAACCAAACACTGTACTAAGGGATTCTGTCACGAAGAATTTTCACAACATCCCTCCGGCCCACGTGGAGGCCCTCGGTCTACCGTGTTTGCTAGAAGGCCCGGGGTTAGTACAAGCAAACTTACTCGGATCTTCAATGATAAATCTCACTACACGGGCTTTTAAGCGCCCACCGAGTGCGGCGGTAGAAACCCAGTGTAGGGAAACCCTAGAGTCCGGGAAAGTTTTTTATCACGAATTTTCAGAGTGTTCCCCAAATGTGTTTGGAGCTACAGGAGCTCCACGTCACTCGGGTCACCGGCGCCAAGGTGTGTCCCAGCGTGTGTGTGTGTGTGTGTGTGTGTGTGTGTGTGTGTGTGTGTGTGTGTGTGGTGGGGGAGCCGGTCTTTTCGCTACAACTCTCTCCAGCGACATCAACCGAGACACGCGGGCCGCGAGAGGGGGCGGGGCAGACAATGGAATAAACTTTGGTCCCAACTGATCGCGTCCGCCGAGCGCCCCAGGGCCGGCGACCCCCGCCGCCGAGGCGGCCGCGGCTCGGAGCATCGCCCGAGAGCCCTGCCCGTCCCGTCACCTCTGCCTGCCGGGGGGCCGGGGGAGGGGGCGACAGGGCGGCGTGCTGTCCCCTCGCTCTCCTCCTCCTCCTCCTCCTCCTCCTCCTCCTCCTCCTCCTCCTCCTCCTCCTCCTCCTCCTCCTCCTCCGGGGGACCAAAGCCAAATCCCACGCGCGAGCGAGCGAGCGAGCGAGCGGTTCCGGGTGCTCCAAAAATAAATAAATAAAAAACTTGTTCGCCGAGTACCCCGAGAACGAGCCCCCGCTGCAGCCGAGACGCGGCGTCCAAGCCTGCAAGCAACTCGGGGCGTCAGGTGGGCGCCCGGGAAACGGGCGAAGGAGCGGGCGAGCGGGCGAGCGAGCGGGCGGGCGGCCGCACCTGTCACTCCCGCGGCCCCGGCGGACGAGGCCTGCGGCCCGCACTCTCCCCGCACCTCCGCGGCCCTCTCACCTTCCCGCCGCCCGGCTCGGCCCGGCCCGGCCCGGCTCGGCCCCCGCCTCAGGCCGCACTCGGCCGCGTCGCCTCAGCCGCGAGCTGCGGGGCTCCGCGGACCGACTCACCGGGCCTCGCCGCGGCGCGGCCGCTCTCCTCTCCCCGCCGCTCCCGCGCAGCCCCGGGCGTTGGGCGCGGGGCGCCCGCAGTAACGGGCCCGCGGCCGGGCGGCGGGCGCGCGGAGGGCGGGCGGAGCGGAGCGGCAGGCCTGGCGCTCGCCCGCAGCGGCGCGCGGGACTTCTTTCCTGAGAGGGGGTCGCGGCGCGGCGGACGCGGACGCCGGACGCCGAGCAGCGAGGTCCGCGGGTGACGGGCGGACCGCGGAGGGCCAGAACCACCTGCTGGAGGAGCCGCGCGCTACGGGGGCCGCGCAGGGTCCAAACGGCTCGCGTAGGCGGCGGCGGCTCCGCGGTCCTCGGGGTCGCCCGGCCGGGAAGGCGGGAGGCCTTCCGGGACGGGATCGCGGGGCTCCCGGGAGGCCCGGGGGCGGGGGAAGGGGGGCGGAGGAGGACCTCCGGTCGCAGGCGGAGGGCGGTGTCGCGAGCCAGGATGCAAACAGCCGGGGCGGCCCGGGATTCCCGGGAAGGAGACCGGGCTGCGGCCCCGGACACTCACCGGCCCGGGGCGTTATGTGCGTGCGTGCGTGCGTGCGTTACTTTTGCAAAGTTAGGCGGCGGCTTACCCACACCCCGCGGCTAGCGGCGGAGCTGCAACCGACGCCGTCCCGCACGGCTCAACTTGGCACGGGTGAGATGCTGCGGGGACGCCGAGGGGAGCCCGAGTTACCCTCGCCCTCACCGGGGAAGGAGCGAAGCGGAGACGCGGGGGATAGGAGACGCCAAAGGCTCGGTAGGGGCCTGGTGGAAAAATACCGACTGCTCCACGGGGATCCGAGGACGGCGAGCATCCGCGGGGCAGCGCCGGGGATTGGCCTCGGAAGAGGTGGAGTTTTGCAGGGAGACCTGGGGCCTTTAGACCGAGGCCATTGGACGCTGCGCCCCGAGTGCAGGAGACGACAGAGGTTGGGGCGCGCTGGCAAGGGGCAGGGACAGCTGCAGACGGAGCACTGGTGGAAGGATCTGTAGTTATAAGGGAGCAGTGTTTTGGTTTTTAGAAGTTTGGAGAAGGAAAAGAAGGACTTTTTTTGCTTTGTGAGCCCTGTCTGCAGGGAAGCAAACATTAGGGACGGGAACCGGCCGGCCCTCTGTAGCCTGGGCAGGAGGCAGTGTCCAGCTGTGACAGCTGTAGAGGTGTGCACACACCTGTGGTCCCAGAGCCTGGGAGGCGGATCCAGAAAGTGAGTCCAAGGCCAAAGGTTACACAGAAAGATTGATCTGTGTTAGGGACCAAGGGGGGGCGCGTAAGACTGACATAAATGATTGAGAGATGATGTGGAGATACATTTTACAGGATTTGACAGCTTGATTAGGGAGAGAGAGAGAGAGAGAGAGAGGGAGGGAGGGAGAAACAGGGACTTGAGACTGGATGATTGTAAGAGTGAAAATAATACTTAGAAGAGAAAGGCAACAACTACTTTGAATTTATTTATTTATTTTACTAATTTATTTTTTACATTCAGGGCTTCCCCTCCTCTCCCCCAGCCCTCCCCATCACCACCACGCCCTGTGTCCCCAGCCCCCCAATCCACTCCTCCATTTCTGTTCAGCAAAGGTTACATCTTCCATGGATATCAAAACATTCCATATCAACTTGCCATAAGACTCTGCACCTCCCCATGTGTGAAAGCTGGGCAAGGTGACCCAGTATTCAGAGTAGGGTCCCAAGAGCCAGGGAAAGAGTCAGAGACAGTCCCCAGACAGCTACTTTTATTTAAAAATGGGCCTGCGTGCTTGTCTGTGTGAGGGTGCCGGGAGCCCAGGGACTGGAGTTACCACAGCTGTGAGCTGCCATGTGGGTGCTGGGAATTGAACCCTGGCCCCCTGGAAGAGCAGACAGTACTTGAAACTGCTGAGCCACCTCTCTAGCCCCCAGACAGCTGCCTTCTAAGATGATTCATTTAGATTTGGGCATTAGGAGGGGTTGGAAGCAGCCACATAGATAGGGTCACTAAGAAGTTAGAAAGAAACGTTCTGCAATAGGCAGAAGAGCTGAACCAGGAAATACACTGGGGGCCGGGGAAATAGTTCAGTGGATAGTTTGAATTCTCTTCCCCAGAGTGAATGCGAAATCTCCCAACACGCTAGCATGCTCTTGTCACAGTGTTCAGCAGGCAGGGACAGGAGAATCCCTGGGTCTTCCTAGCCAGCCTGTCTCAAAAAAACAAAACAAACAAAACCAAGGTGTACAGCTCGAGGAATAGTAAACACAGTTGTCCGTCTACCTCCACATACTCAGGTACACACAAGAAGTAGACTGGAGATTCCTCAGCCAGCAGTCTGTTGCTGTGAGGGAAGTGGGTAGACTCAGTCTTCAAATATATTGAGAGTCTTGCTACCTCAAGTGTGCTCATATCCGTGTCACCAGCAAGTCTGTTAGAAATGGGGGACTCTCAGGCCCCAACACAGACCTGCCAACTAACATCCTCAGCTTCAGAGAAATTCCAGGAGGTGACCAGCATCAGCATTTGGGGACCTCGGATGAGAAGAGCAGCAGAGGAGGAGGAAGGGGAGCACTTGAGTGGGCCAGAGCACCAAAGCAGGGGCCACCTCAGTCTCAGAAAGCTGGGCCTTGCCCGGCAGCAGCGGTGGTGGTGCATCCCTTTAATCCCAGCACTCGGGAGGCAGGTGGATCTCTGTGAGTTCGAGACCATCCTGGTGTACAAGAATTAGTTCCAGCCTCCAAAGCCACAGAGAAACCCTGTCTCGAAAAACCAAAAACAAACAGATAAAGCTGGGCCCGCAGGAGTGCAGGTCAGTGCCATAAACTGTAGAAGCTGAGAAGGACGAGGGACAGCGGTGAGGGACAGCGGTGAGGGACAGCGGTGAGGGACAGCGGTGTGTATGGTCCGAGATTCCATGCTGTGAGCACCCTGCCAGCCATATTCTCGATGGAAGCTTCCGGACTCTTACTTTCTGACTGGGGGATTGCCTAGAGACAGTCCTTGCCGTGGGCTCACCCTTGGGACGGGATGACGTAAGCGGGTGGACTGATGGGTGGATGGCCGAGCGTCTCTAAAGGTGGCTTCTGCTGTCTCAGCAGAGCGAGGAGCAAGGCCATCTTTCGTCTGTCACAATTCGTGTCCCTGGACGCAGGCAGCTTTTCTCCTCCTTTCAGTGAGTACCAGAGCAGTCCGTGCCTGCGCCGTCAGATTGGAGCCCTCACTAGAGATGGACTTCTGCAAGGTGTTTCCTCTTCTGCCAAGTGAACCCTGGACACAGCCGCTCTGCTCCCATCATCTAGATTTTCTCAGGCTCCTGGGGCTGGCAGAGCCACAAGAAGGCACCCAGATGAAGAACAGCTTCCGACTCAGAGCACTGATTCTGTGAATGATGGGGCATGGACTTGGCCTTTGGGGTCCTTTCATTGTAGCCATTTCTACTTAACATGGCACCACCTAAAACTCGTAAAAGAAGAACAGAATCCGGCGTGTCTGAGTGGAGAAAAGCGATCAGACTGAGCTTTCTGGACACCACTGAACCCTTTCGTGAAGGACCACGAATTTATACTGAGGCTACTCACCCAGTCGTACCCTCTCCTGCAGTCCTTGGCCAGGCACCGAGGAGACAGCAGGGCCGGGAGCTGGCCAGGGAGTGTAATAGGGAAGGACACAGTATTGGAAGGTCGACACAAAGGAAGCGTTATTATGTGGGGTAGGGTGGGAGGCAAGGTTGAGAGTAGAGTGAGGAGTGGCTAGAGATATGATAAGGTTGGGCTGGAGAGGTGGCTCAGTTGTTAAGAGCTCTGGCCGCTCTCCCAGAGGACCTGGGTGGGTCTGGTTCCCAGCATCCACAGGTGGCTCACTGGCGTCTAACTCCGATCCCAGGAGATCTTCTGGCCTCACAGGCACCACGCGTGGATGTGGTGCACAGATACACATGCAGGAAAACTTCTGAAAACATTAAGTAAAACAAGGTTTCTAAACTTGTGTGTTTGATCAGGTGAAATCGTTTTTAGAATTTGGGTGCTGTAGAACAGCCTTTGTGCACTGTAAATACGTGTTGCTCTCATTGTTAATAAAAAGCTGATTGGCCGATGGCTAGACAAGATTTAAGGGGCAGAGAGAATGCTGGGAAGAAAGAGGGTGGAGTTGGAGTCGCTGCCTGCCAGATGGAAAGGAAGGACAGGCAGGAGAGGTATGTCCTTGGGGCAGCACATAGACAGAAATGTGTTAACTTAGGCTATAAGAGCTAGTTAGTAATAAGCCTGAGCTATTGGCTGAGCCTTTATAATTAATAATATGTCTGAGTGGCTATTTGGGAAGTGGTAGCAGAACAGAGCTGTTTGTGGTCCCTATGCAAAGATCCTATGGGGCCAAACAGAACAGTCGAAGAGTAGAGTCTGCACATTAAAATGAAAAGGGGATCTGTGTCGAGTCCTTTGTACTGCCCACTCCCGAATAACGACATGACTTTCTAGTTATGAACTCTTAGGCTTGACCCCAACTAGCTCGTATAACTTAAAGTATCCTGCTCCTATTAACCTATGTTTTTCTATGTGGCCTTTGTTTGTCTGCTTGCCTCTCCTCTATTCTGTAGGTCTGATTTGGTCTGAGTGTCGCTGGGTCTCTCTTCTTCCCAGAGTTTTTTCTCTCCCCGTAAGTTCCACCTATTCTCTCCTGTCTAGCTATTGGCCATTCTGTGGTGATATATTACTTATGATCTAAAAAAGCAACTGGAGATCAAATTGCAAAACTATGCAGAGCCACAGAGGTCAGGCAGTGGCGGCACACATCTTTAATCCCAGGACTTGGGAGACAGAGGCAGATGGATCTCTGTGAGTTCAAGGCCACCCTGGGCTACATGAGAGTGAGCCAGCCTAAAAGAGAAACAGCTCACACCTTTGATCCCAGCACTTGGGAGGTGGAGACAGGAGTGATATGGCTGGGCAGACAGAGGAATATAAGGCTGGAGGAGACAGGAGCTCAGGATTACAGACTTGCTGGAGAGCAGTGCAGTCTGCACTGTACTCTGAGGATTCGTAGATACCCGTTTCAGTCTGAGGTAGAGGTAAGAGCTAGTGGCCTGACTGCTTTGCTCTTCTGATCTTCAGCTTGAACCCCAATATCTGTGTCTGGGTTTTTATTATCCATGTTACACCATTCAGCTCTTTATTTAGTCAATTGGAAGGTGCCTTAGGCAGAGACACATCTTTACAGCGTAAAAATGCTCTGTAACAGATCTGTAGTTAGTAATAGCAGGGTGTGGGGGATGGGCAGGCACTAGAGCACACAGAATGAACTAGTGCTAATATTTTCTCTTTAAAAGCTATCGGGTGGGGGCTGGAGAGATGGCTCAAGGTTGAGAGCACTGACTGCTCTTCCAGAGGTCCTGAGTTCAGTTCCCAGCAACGACATGGTGGCTCACAACCATCCATAATGAGATCTGGCGCCCTCTTCTGGTGCGCAGGCATACATGCAGGCAGAACACTGTATATATAATAAATAAATCTTTAAAAAAATAAAAGCTGTCAGGTATTTTATCATACTAGCTGGCCCAAGGTCCTTTGAAGAGATGAAAGGATCAAGGAATCAAGAGGCAGGAAGAGTGTAAAAAGCATTGTCTATTGTCAGTAGCAGGCTCTTTTGGATCACTAACCCCAAGTCATAACACAGAGACTTACATTAATTATGAAAGCTCAGCCTCTAGGTTAGTCTTGTTTCACACTAGCTCTTGTAACTTAAATTGATCCATTTTTATTCGTCTACATGTTGCCATAAGACTCGCTGTTTTGTTGTTGGTGGTTTTTTTTTTTTTTTTACCTTTCCTCCTGCATGTTTTGCATCCTCTGCGTCTGGCTGGCGCCTCCTTCTCTCTTGTTCATCGAGTTCTCTCTGACCAGATGTCCCACCAACACCTCCTGCCTAGCTAATGGCCATTCAGCTCCTCATTAAAGCAATGACGGTGACGCATCTGCACACGGCATAAAGGAATATTCCACAGCAAATACCCATGTGTTACTGTTCATATGTAGTCACGTGCTGTCTTGGTTATCCACATGCCTTTCTGTTCATATGTAGTCACGTGCTGTCTTGGTTATCCACATGCCTTTCTGTTCATATGTAGTCACGTGCTGTCTTGGTTATCCACATGCCTTTCTGTTCATATGTAGTCACGTGCTGTCTTGGTTAACAACATGCCTTACTGTTCATATGTAGTCACGTGCTGTCTTAGTTATCCACATGCCTTTCTGTTCATATGTAGTCACGTGCTGTCTTGGTTATCCACATGCCTTTCTGTTCATATGTAGTCACTGCTGTCTTGGTTAACAACACACCACACACAGCAGTTGCCTCATGAGATGAAGTGCACGGTGCTGTACAGCTGCAGTCCCAGTACTTGGGGGTGGAGGCAGGGAGATCATAACTTTGCTCCCAGCCTAAGCTTACACAGAGAGTTTGAGGCAAGCAGAACCCCATCTCAAAGAAATAAAAACACAACCAAACGACAGCCAACCAAGGTAATGTTGCCTAATGACATGTAGCTGTGCTCGTCTGTGTGAGGGCCCTTCGTGCTGTGCAACAACTAAAACACGTCTCCGTACTTTGTCAGAACATCCGTTACTATACAATATCGGACTTCCCCATACATGTCTGTATGAAAGGGCTCCTCTTTTTCCCCCAAAGTCCCCGTGTTAGAGGCTTGGTTGCCAAAGCAGTGCTGCCGGTGGGTGGTTGAGCCTTAAAGACATGGGGCTTTAGGTCGATGGGGGCAGCTCCTGAAGAGGTTGGTAGAACTCCACACCTTCCCTCATTTAATCCCTGGCAACGAAACAGGAGGTTTTACTTCCTAAATGCTCCTGTCCAAAGGCAGTAGGGCCAGTCACAGTCGGGGACCTCCAAACCCGGTCAGAAATCACTCTTCTCCCTGTAAGTTGTCTATGTTAGGTACTCACTGCCACAACTCAAGGCTGGTTAGCATGCTTTGGGAGCCAGCAATTCCAAGTGAAGAGATCTCTCAAATAGGAAGCTTGCCCACTGCAGTGAGAAGGTGTGACTTTTTAAAAAAGAAAATCTCTTATATAGTGAAGCTATCCACACTATATGAGATTTCTATCACTGACTCTTAAATGTAGGTAAAAGATTTAGGCTATGCATATGTTTGAAGACACCCTTTGCATTAAAGACCAGCCTAAGGGAACAAACATGAAAGTTTAGAAGAAAGAGATGGGAGGGTTGTTACACCAGTGCACAGATAACAAAAAGGTACCAGTTGTTTTTAATTGAAAAACCCAACACGATTTCATGTATATGGGTGGTTTGCTTGCATCGATGTCTGTGTACCATGCACAGCGTCCTCAGAGCCCAGAACAGGGCACTGGATCCCTGGAACTGGAGTTGGAGATGGTTGTGAGCTGCCGTGTGGGTGCTGGGAACCGACGCCTGCTCTGGTAGGCAGAGTCCTAGTTAGGCTTGCTGGGATGAAAACACCATGACCAAAGCTACTTGGGGAGGAAAGGGTTTATTTTACTTACACTTCCCTATCACTGGACAGGAACTCAAGCAGGGCAGGAACCTGGGTGCAGGAGCTGAAGCAGAGGCCATGGAGGGGCGCTGCTCACTGGCTTGTTCCTGATAGCTAGCTCCATCCACCTTCTTATAGAGCCCAGGATCATGAGCCCAAGGATGGCCCCATCTACCATATGCTGGGCCCTTCCCTATCAATCACTAATGAAGAAATGCCCTAAGGCTCATCTACAGCCCAGTCTCACTGGAGGCATGGCCTTAACTTGTGTCAAGCTGGCACAGACTAGCCCGCACGAGAGCACAAGTGTTTATAACTGCTGAGCCGTCTCCCCAGCCCCAAATCTTAGCTATTCTGATTCCTATCTGTTTTGTCCAGGAAACTGCCCGAGAGTACTCTCCACAAATAAGGACACAAATCAAGAAACAGAAACACGAGCATCTGATGAAAAGAAGCTAAAGAGAGGACGGGGCCGAAACTCCCCTGGCCTAGGTAAGAAGGTGCAGCCGGCTCCGGGAAGACCTGGCCAGGGCAGAGACCAGCTGGCCCGCCCTGATGCTGTGGCACAGAGGGCTCCAGAGAGCCTGCGTGGGGTAGCAGTGTGCTTGACCCATGTGAATGAGACTCTCTGACTCTGGTGGGACACACAGATGACTAGCTGACAGGAGGCGAGGAAACTAGGCAGACTAAAAAGGGGCGGTTATGAATGCCAAGGAAGCAGGCGTTCCCAGCAAGTCTCCTGCTCTAGGGTATCAGTTTCATCCATTAGCCAAGGGAGCTGAGGCACCGCTCCCCTGTCTGCTCTGCCACGGCTCTGCTGCTCAGGAATGGGGGTAGCACAGAGCAGACCTGCAGCTGTGCCGCTGCTGGCGTAAGGCATGACTGAAGGAATCCGTTATTGTGGAAAGCTAATCTAATAACAGTGTAGCTGGGGGGCTCTGTGGTTGTCAATATGGTGCAGAAATGGGTCGATGTACGTGAGTTCAAGGCCAGCCTGGTCTACAGAGCAAGTTCCAGGACAGCAAGAACCAAAACTTCAGCAGGGCACTGTCTCCATTCCTACAGAGTACGGGTTTGCTGTAACTTGGCCAATTAAAGTCAGTCATCCCTTTAATATCTAGTTTCCTTGCTCATGGGAGACACTGAACTTTGTACTTTTAGATACTGGGGATTTAACTTAGGGCCTTATACATGCGAGGCCAGCCCTCTGGCACTGAGCTATAGTCCCTCACCCAGGAAGTATCTAGAAGTCGTTCTCCCCCTGTTGGTTCACAATCCCACAGAACTCTTCAGACTGTAGGTTCTACAGCCTGTCTTGTCTTCCCTGTTTGTCTCCTCAGGTCACAGACACTCCAATCTAGAGATGAAGCATTTCTTAACGTTCTAGGTACGCATAAACTAACGGGAAGGAGCTCCCTCTGAACCCATGCCGGACAGGCTGACCTGGTAACGTCTAATTTGATCTGATTTCTTCTCTATCTGGTAGCATAGATCAGGACATACCAACTGAAGACAGGTCTGACTACCTGTCTGTGAAATGAGCTGCCAAATGAAGCAGGCTTCTTCAGCTTCAAGAAATGCCATTTTCCAGCTAGGGTTCAGTTATTCTGAAGCAACTATTGCTAAAGGAAGAAATACAGATAGCCAAAAATGCTGGTCACGATCCCAGTAAAAACATAGTTTTTCACTCATAAACCAAGGGTAGTCGCAAAGTATGACTTAATGCTTATGAAAATGGATTCAGCGAGTTTTAAAACTCCTTTCCTGACAGAAGTCACATGACAATGCAGAGAATATGGCAGCTACTGCTGTTAATATATCTGACTAAAGTGGACATGAACTCATTCAGAAAATGCTTTGCTACGACTTTGGGAAGCTGTGGAAAATCTCATCCTAAACACACAGTGTGCTACTTGTGAAAGTGCTTTTGTGTACTTATCTGGTAAAGCAATAGAGTGCTGTATATAATTTAAAATGGCCATTTTTCCTCTCAAAGTGATTAAAATGTTGTATTTGAAATAGCATTTAAGAGTAAAGGGGTGATAAGTGGCCCTTTTGTTTGCAGGCAGGCTCACTGGTGGCTTAGAAAATAGCACTAATGTCCTCTATTAAGATCATAACTGGGGTCTTGGTGACTGGTGATCCAGAGCCTACTGAAGAAGCGTCCAGTGAGAGGGGAGGCCCTGGTGCCGAGGCCCAGAACTAACAATCCAGACGCTGCTCCAGAGAGACTGGCTTCAGCACAAGAGGCTTCTAGTTCCCGTTCCTTCCAAACAGAGAATGCAACCACGCTAAAAAATAACAAAACTGACAAGTGCAAAACTTACCAAGAGTCCTCTAGTTTCCCATTCCTTCCAAACAGAGAATGCAGCCACATTAAAAAAAACAAAAACAAAAACAAAACTGACAAGTGCTAAACTTACCAAGAGTCCTCTAGTTTCCCATTCCTTCCAGAGAATGCAGCCACATTAAAAAAAACAAAAACAAAAACAAAACTGACAAGTGCTAAACTTACCAAGAGTCCTCTAGTTTCCCATTCCTTCCAGAAAATGCAGCCACGCTAAAAAATAACAAAACTGACAAGTGCAAAAGTTACAAATTAAGAGAACTAATAAATTCTGCTAGGTTCTCAGTCTTGCAGCGCTGGGAAATGCCACTGCAAGCAACAAACAAAAGTGGGCAGTGAGCTCAGCCTCTCAGGACAGACGGCTACTGGCTTTAGTTAGCTCCCAGTGAACCCCTTTCTCCACATGGGTATTTTAATGAAGGAAAAATTAAGCAAAATAGTTGGGATTACACTGGTTAGTAGAGATGAGTCATCGGTTGCCTAAGTCAGATATTTGATCGATCCTTTCTGCTTCTTCACTGTAAAATCACTTCAGTCTTAATGAACTGCATTAGTTTATATCCGACTGTTTCTTGTGTGTGAACTGAATGGCTTCCTGTTTCCCCCAGTTCTGCCTTATCGGGCTTTTTATATAATACTGAGCAAATGGTAACCACAGGAAAAGAAACAAGTATAAAAATGCACTGTGTATTTTCAAATGACAAGTTTAGTGCTCATTATGAGTCTTGAGAGGGGTGCTTGTGTCTGTCTTCTGCAGGAGGGGTACTGTGTGTCTGTCTGTCTTCTGCAGGAGGGGTGCTTGTGTCTTCTGCAGGAGAACCTTTCTGCAGGAGTCTTCTGTAGGCTTAGAAACACCTGGATGTTTTTACGTTTCTGTTCTTTTTGCCAGTGAATCTTTCTGTATTGTCCCTGCCGTTCCTGTCCCTAGTTACTTGTGTTCTCACTCAGCTGGGCCCCAGTGGAGGTCAGTCAGGGTAAAGCACCACAGGCCCCCAGTCTGCGGCTGATAACTGGGGGCATGGGGTCCACGTGGCGATCCTTTAAAACAACACAGAAGATGCTTCTTAGGCTGGTACAGTGACGACTGCCTGCACTCCCACCCCTCCAGAGGGCCTAGACAGCGGAGTTAAGAGCTTGAGGCAGAACTTGCCAGAAGAAGGAAAGAAGGGATGGGGGTAGAGAACAGGGATAGGGTAGGAGAGGAAAGGAGACGGGAGAGGAGAGAGGGGAGGGGATGGGAGGGGTGAGGGGAGAGGAGGAGAGAGGGGAGGGGAGGGGACGAGAGGAGAGCAGAAAGTGAGGGGAGGGGAGAGGGGAGAAGGAAAGGAGAGAGTGAAGGGGAGGAGTGGAGGGAGGAGGGAAAGGAAGAGAGGAGAGCTCTGGGGGAGGGGAGGGGAGGGTGGGGAGAGGAAGGGTGGGGAGAGCTCTGGGGGAGGGGAGGGGAGGGTGGGGAGAGGAAGGGTGGGGAGAGGAAGGGTGGGGAGAGCTCTGGGGGAAGGGAAGGTGAGGGTGGGGAGAGGAAGGGTGGGGAGAGCTCTGGGGGAAGGGTGGGGAGGGGAGGGGAGAGGAGAGCACTTGGGCACTTCTGGAACTGCAGAGATGGTTGGGCTGTTCCCAATGTCCCTGTCAGGCAGCTCACAACTGCCTGTAGCTGCAGAACCGTCTGGCCGACTTGGGCACCTGCAGTATTTGCCTATTCTCTCTCTTACACACATAAAAATTTAAAATCGTTAAAAAAGACACTTTAAGCTCTGTAGCACACACAAGGCCTTGGGTTTGATTCCCCTGCACTGTAAAAAGCAGACACCTCAAATCAAATGGACAATATTTACCTATCTGGGTTTGAAAAAGTCATACTTTATTTTGTATATACTGTAACAAGCTTAAAACATAAAAACATGAATAATTTTAAGGCAATTTCCTTTGTTCTGCTTTAATGACACAAGCATTTAAAAAAAGGTTTTAAACTTTTTACTATTTTCTGAGTGACTCTATTCCTTGAGCACAACGGATCTTATACATTAGAATGAAATCTATGAAATGGTTCTGTCTCTCTTAAAGCAATGTAGTGGTAACCGGGTAAAGCTCTCTGTGTTAAAATTAGTCGATAGAATATAGGACCAAGTCTGCTTTAGTATCTTTGGGTTCAGATTGCATTGCTTCCACTCCAGACAAAGGCAGTTCTGTGACTGAGGACTGCCGTGGGGATCCACCAGGGAAGACTGCTCAGACATGGGGTTAAGCCAATAGAAAGTCTTTATTAGCCAGCTGGTGACTACATGGGGTGTTTGAGATCCCAGTGTAACCCTGAGCCTTTCTCAGGGGGAGCTTTTAGGCACAAAAACCATATTCTGGGTTGTCATACTTCGTTAACAAGACGAGCTAGCCAGAAGCAGAACAGACTACAGAAGCCAAAAGCAAGGGTTAGTGCATTTAAAGACTTGCCACAACTGTGGACTTTGATAGTTTGACCCTGTGACAAAGTTTTGCTAGTGGTGCTGTCTACATGCGGAGTTTTACAGCCTGAATGGAGCTTCCATCATGGAGTCAGTTGTGCTAAGGTCTAATAAAACTGTCTGGAGTGGGGTCAAATGAAAACTACTGGAAACACGAAAAGCTGACATGGTAACCTGAGGTTTTCTTTTTTATAACTTCCCTTGTTCCGGAAGATTCCTCTCACGCTCACACCGGGTTCAACTCAAAGGATGGCATAACCATGAACACCATTTTCTAAGTATCTGGTGGGTGTGAGCAGCTCATCCTAAGAGAAGGCCATAAGCAGGGAGCCCTGTGCGGGTGAGCCATGCATTTCTGTAGGGCCCTTGAAAAGTCAGTTACTAGCAGCAGCAGCAGGGTAGCATGAGACACTGTCTGCCGGGTGGGCGGGGTAGATGTGCTCCTGCTTGTGATAAACTACAGCCCACACAGGCTCAAAACCAGTGCACCCTCAGTGTGCCAGGGACAGCCATCGGGATGGAGACGGCCCAGAGCGCGTTACAGTTTTAGATGTGAAACACACACGGTATCTTTAAAACACCAAAGGAGTGGGGAGAATTGCCACGACCAATGGACTTCTTCTCGGACCCCTGCATATCATCCCACATGTGATGTCTGAGGAGCCGTGCCACGACGGCCCCGCCTGCTGGTCTGGTTCCATTATAGCACCTGTTCTTACATAGAAGAATAACTTCATTGCTGTGGGTTATTATAAACGCAGCGATAGCTAAAGAAGAGAAAGTCTATGTCACTGAAAATCATGTTTCTGCTGACTCTTTGACTCCAAGTTTTTAAGGGTATGAATGAGTGAGCGACCCAAGAGCTTACATCAGAGAAGTCAAAGCAGAGCAGTCTGGGTGCAAAAGCCCCTCCCTCCACCACAAACCTCTCCTAGCAATACTCCAGTTAGGGAAGGGAAGAGCATTGTAAAGAGACGGACCTTTCCCCTTTAAATACTCTGTTACATGTAGGAAATATAAGAATAAAATGAACAACAACAAAAACCTGTTTTGTATAGATTGGGCAGTATTGGTGCACGCCTTTAATTCCAGCTAGGGAGGCAGGTGGATCCCCGAGTTTGAGGTCAGCTTGGTCTTTCCGGACAGCCAGGGCTGAACAGAGAGAAACCCTATCTTGAAAAAAACAAAACAAAACAAAATAAAAAACCCCATTTTCTACCGAGAAAGTCAGGCGGGGGAGATGCTCAGGGGTAAACAGCGCTTGCTGGGGAGATGCTCAGGGGTAAACAGCGCTTGCTGCTTCAGTGTGAGAACCTGGGAGGAGGCACCTTGTGTTCTGATTACTCTATAAGCCAATGACCCGGCTAGAATGGATTGCTCACACCTAAATTACCTGTCTGGGACATCAGCTATGTATGTTTGATTATGTGGATGAAATCTATCAAAGCATATACAAGATACAAATTAAATGTTTACCAAAAATGGGGAAAGCATACCTTTGTTACTTGACAATGAATTCACATTTGTATTATACGATGAAACCATTTTAGTTTTATGTAACTTCTGTTGCTTTGTTAGTGAAAACGAGTTTTATATTTCCATACGTAAAGTAAATGTTTTAATTTCTTGGGCAAGAAGGATTCTTGCATCAAAACACAATGGTATGAATTACTTAGTAAGGCATAGCACGCTACTTAATCTTAAAAGGATTTACAATTATGACCTTCATTAATAAAGATATTTACTAATACATAATTTTTGTTTGTTAATACAGGGTTTCTCTATGTAGTCCTGGTTGTCCTAGAGCTCACTATGTAGACCAGGTAGACAGAGATCCACCTGCCTCTGCCTCCAGAGTGCTGGGAGTAAAGGCATGTACCATACTCAGCTTAATATATAACTTATGGGTAATTGAAGGCACTGACTTTTTACCATGAGATTAATATATGATATAGGGTGTGTGTGTGTGTGCGTGCGTGTGTGTGTGTGCTTGTGCACGCACAGACATAGAGACACTTAAACCCTCAGCAAGGGAGAGGACTCCGCAGGAACTGAGCAAGCATCTGTAGGGTAGCTTTGCTACTGGTGCCACGCAACTTTAACTAATCCAAAACAAAACAACTTTGGCTTACACGTGAAAGTGTGGAAAAGAAATAATACTTCAGGGCAGCATAATGGGATGTTGCCTGTGATAAATATTGTAGGAAAGAATGAATTGCTCGTTTAATTGAAACGTAAAGGGTTAACTAGATTTCATGTCGTATTTGCAGCCCAGTGCCACCAAAGCCTGTGAAGCTGGACGCCAAGGGGGTCAAGTCTCAGCTCTCGCCTATCAGAGGGACATCACCCACGCACTCCACCGGCCACACCACTCGCAAGTGGCATCTTCCTGAGGATGCTGGGATGTTCTGTGCGGCTCTGTGGTCCTTCCCTGTCCCGTTCAGGAAACTGCAGCCACGTCTCACAATTCTGACTTCGTATGAGAGGGAATGTGAAATGCACAGGGCGGGATAAAGGTGGAGATTAGCGTTCTACTCTATTGTCCAACAATATAAGCTAACTATAAAAGCGAAGACACCATGCTAGAGTTAAGGCTGATGTGCCACCTCTGTGGATCCTAACAACTGTGACGCACCCTTGGCCCACAGGCTTAATTCCGGCAAACACACACAGTAGGAAGGTAACTCTTAATTCCGGCAAACACACACAGTAGGTAGGTAACTCTTAATTCCGGCAAACACACACAGTAGGTAGGTAACTCTGGCACAACCGGGATTTATCTGGAGCTTAAAAAATAGCAACATACGGATACTTTAACATTCCAATACTTAAGGATTATAATGTACTTCTATAATATGCCTTTATATTATATAGAACAATATACATTTGAAGAGTGTTTTAGTCTTTGGTTAGTTCTCCAAATGTACTTTAAAAAGTAAAGCAAACATGCCTAGGAAAGAACTTAAATACACTTATTAAGTAGTTCAATGTACCAAGCATTCAAAAATGCATTTATGAAATAGGAAAGCCCTAACATACACAAGAGTACCACCAAGCCCCCTTTCCTGGGTCTTGTGAAGAAGCTGCTGACTCTGGGCTCTCATTCTCCAAGTTAGTAAAAGGGATCTTTTCACATATGTACTAAATTAAAAGTTTTATTGTCCAATGTGTATACTTTGAAGTCACTAGGTTTCCTCAGGTACTTCAAGGGAATCAACAGTCACTGACCGGACCCCAGCTCCCAGACTGGAGCGTCGTAACGACAGCTCCAAGGCAGAAATCTGACGTAATTCTTTGCGACACAGTTTGACAGGTTTGACACCCTGCAGCGGCCCCGCAGTCTTCCCAGGCTGAACGTGGGATGGTGGTGGACTCTGAGATAGTATGAAGGGATGGGTCTCTGGTTTATCGGCGCTGCCCAACAGCTGGCCACTGGAGGGTGCCAATGAGCCCCGGACTGGAAGTGCCTCCGGGCTGCCTTCCAGAGTCTGTGGGGGCAGCGCTGTGGTTTTTAAGCTGCTTGAAGAATCGTCTGCTTCTCTTTCTCTTCCATTCAGCTTTGCATTTTCAGTTCCAGTCGCCCATTTTGGTTCTCCACAAAGCCCTGCCGCCTCTCCTGGGTTGTTCAGGGCTCCATCTCCAGCATCACCGGCTAAGGAGAATCCACATAGAACAAAGCAAAGCAAAGTCTTCTCAGAGCCAGGTACTTTTGCTACAACATCCTAACAAGCTACAGCATTTAACCGAGCATACACACTGCTTTCAGACTTTTGCTTAACGACTTCAGATAGATGTGTGACTACCAATCTTTACTCACTTATAAACATCTGGAAATGGGAATAATGGATTTTTTTTTTTAACTCACTAAAGTTGAAAACCATGTAGTGATTTTTGTACTCTCTAGAAACCTGAGTACTTTGTGCGTCTCTGAAATCTTTTTAAAGGAAGTTATTACTTTTTTAAGTTTAATGCAACGCAATTCAGTATTTTATTTCGTGTGTGCGGGTGTTTGCCTGCATGTGTGTCTCCATACCTAATGTGTATGTGTGACGCCTGTGGAGAGCAGATGTCACACCCTTTAGGACTAGAGTTAAAGTGACTGAGAGCCGCCATGTGGGTGCTGGACCCACACCTGAGTTCTTTGAAAGAGCAGGCAGTGCTTTTCACTGCCAACTCAGTTATTTATTTTTATGTTCGAGTGTTTTGCCTGCGTGTCTGTGTGGGCATCACGGAGTCCCAGGCGAGCCACCTGACACGGGTGCTGGGAGCTGAGCTTTGGGTCCTCTGCGAGACCAGAGAGCCGTCTCTCCACCCTTGACATCTCTCACGTCTGACCCCCGCTTGGCTTGGTACTGGGCAATTCCAAGTCCTGGCCAAGGCAAGCTTGGTGAGCCCCTGTGTTGGGGCATGCGTCATCACATGTATGGAAATCTGGTCTTGGTTGGTGCCCTAACATGATAACAATATTCTGTTATCCATCTGTAGTGTATGATATGCACCGCATCTCCCACTATGGGAATGGAGGTCAGGACATACACCTTCAGTGAGCATAGCCCCTTCAGTGGGCATGGAGAGTTGAAAAGTCTTCAATCGTAACACATCTAATATTAAAAAATTGTTTATGGGAGATCCACATAGTTAGTAGTGATAATAAGTGACATGTGCTGTCAAGTGCTTGGTGCACTTTTCTATCTAGCTTCTCCCTCAACCTGGAGCTTGCTTTAGAGTGACCCACACTATGGGAGGAGAGACCTGACTGCTGCAGGTTGTGTCTCTGCCCCCCCCCATGCTCACACACATGAATGCACACACTAAGTAACAATGGAAGCATCCACGTGGGCTTGCCCAAGTCTTAGTGTGTCTCTCTCTCTCATGTATGATTGCCTAGAGTAAGAGAGCTCGCTCTGTTCACCAGACTGCCTGGGGCAGGAGTGTTAAAGCTTACTGGTGACTAGAATGCTCACACTTTAGGAGCAACTACTTATTGTCAACTTTGTGTCTGTTCTAATTCCATGTGAAGATCTGTGTCAGCGGCTACTTCATAGTTTCTGGTTTGGAGAGATTAAAAGGTAGACAACAAATTCTGCAATGTTTCCTTAGTACCAGAGAAGATCAAAGCTTTGCAAAATCAGTTGTTTTAAACTCTGAATTACAAGATAGGTTATGGTTGTCTAATATCTCCTTTAGTCATAGAAATTATTGTTAAAAATCAGCCCAAGTGTTTCTTTTGTAAATTTCCTAACTTTGAAATCTGGGGTCAAGTTATTTCAGAAATATTGACTGCCCTCCTATTTTAAGGTCTTATAAAAAAAAACCAATATGTTACCTTCCAGGAGCTTTTGCCTTCTGTAGACTACTTTGTCATGTTAACTGTTGTGAAGAATTTAATTTTACATATGTAAATTTAATTATTATACAAGGAAATATCTTTGAATCTGGTCATGTTTTAAATGTCTGGAGGAAACGCCTTGGGACTGCCCTTAGGAACACACGATTTTATTTTTACTTGTATTATTCTCCTTTGGAAAATTCTTTACAATCTTGCTAAAAAGATTTAATTTTTCTTTAGTATGTGTTTGCATGTACTTAAATTGTTCACAATTTTTAAATGTTTCAGAGTCAAGTATATTCTGCACTGGTTAGTAAGAGAATGTTAAGTCTGTAGCTGCAATCATGACTAGAACTTGAAGTGAAATGAACAATTTTGTAGCTTCTCTTCATATTGATAAATGCAGGGCAGATTCATGAGTCTGAGCTGAGGCTAACCCTCAAGAGTGTATACTTGCTCGGTATATGTGAGGTGCAATACTCCTAATACAAGAGGGAAGACGTTTAATTCATTAATTCACTGCACAAGGAAGAATTAAGCCCAGCATTTATACTACCACAAGATATCATTTGAAGCAACCTTTATTTGTAGTTAATATATTCTTTTGAAACATTGAACATATTATACTCTCTGAGCATATTATACTTTCTTTTTCAAATTTGATTTCATATTTTCCATAATGAATAAAACCTTGACCATAAGAAAAAAAATGATCACCAGATATGGCGGTGGTGTACCTCTTCAATCCCAGCACTTGGGAGGCAGAGGCAGGTGGATCTCAGTGAGTTCAAGGCCAGCCTGGTCTACAGGTGAGTTCAAGGACAGCCTGGTCTACAGAGCCAGTTCTAGAACAGCCAAGACTACACTAGGCAGACGTCTGGGAAGGGAGCAAGTTAAGATGGCAGGTGACACAAAGCCTTACGATCTGCTAATGACAGCTGCCATGGCGATGCTCCTCGGGCAGTCTCTTTCAGTTTCTTCTTAAGATCTCTGCTGGTTTTCTTATAGAAGTAAAGATCTTTTTCCAGCTGCTGGATTTTATCTTCATATTTTTTTAAGGTTTCTATAATGCCTTCTCCATCTTGCTCTACAAAGCAAGAATTTACATTTAACCTTAGCTTTAAGCAAATGATTCAAAATTATAGTTTAACATAGCTCCAGACTCACTTTAAAGGGTCACAAGTATGTTACACATATCTGTTACCTGAAGGGGTTTGTTCAGCCACAATATAGATTCTTTTGGCTATAAAACTTTTCCCAAAGGATCAACCCCTTCATTTCCTTTTCTACCTACTCTTGACCAGCCACTTCCTGCTCACAACTCAGCATCTGTGCCATTGCTCCTGAGAAGGCTCATCAAGAAAATAGAAATGGGCGTCTCCTCTTACAAACAACTCTACCAGCCATGTGTGATACATTACTTCAAGCTTGCATTAGGGTCTGTGGATATATGGAACGTTATATGCCAGGGTTTATAGGCCCAAGAAACTAGGAAGAGTAAATAACGAGGAAAAACTCTATGCAATGGGGGTGGGGAGCTTTGGTGGTTGTTCCAGGTAACTTAAGACTTGTAATTATTATTTGTGAATGTGTACCATTGTTCTATAACGGTAAAGTCCAGCTTTCTGAGCTTCAGAAAACACATTCAGACCATGCCCTCCTTTGTACAGCACATATAAACAATAGCTCTATTGGTTTTCAATCTTTTGCTGTTCTTATATCTTATTTAACCCATCGTCTAGCTTTAAGAATTACTTAAAATCGACAACATTCCAATAGTAGAATGCATGACTCACATGCAAAGCCTCAGGCTCTGGTCTTCAGCACCAAAACCAAAAAGCCAACCAATCAAAAGCCACACAGCTTATTGCCTTTATTTCCCATATGAATACAGCTGAAATTAGAAAATTCTCACAAATTGTTAATAATTTTAATTATAGCTATTGTATATAATCTGCATGAGTTACTATAGAAACAATTTGATTTTTATTAGTTTTTTTGTGACATAGTGTCATGAGAATAAGAGGTGCTAAGAATGGAACCCAAGGCTTCATGCATGGTCTGCAAGCATTCTACCCACTGAGCTACGAACTTGCTATATAATCCTGGTCATCTCAAAAAAGCACACAAAAATCCCATTCGGTTACAACTACAGAAAGAACAGGACATGTTTGGATGCAGTGCTATGTGGGATCCTGCCGAGGGAAATCCTGTTCATTAGGTAAAGTGGTTGTTAATTAACATTGTAGAGTTAATGTACCGTCATTTCCTCAAGACACAAATTTGTTTTCCAATTTTCTGTTTCTCTCAAACCCCTTCAGCCCATTGCAGCTCTGTGCTCGTGAGCGTCAGGGCTAAGCAGTCTGATTGGAGCTGCCGCAGGTTCAGCTAGGAAGGACTGTGTTGCCACAGTCCCTGTTCAGACACCAGCTGCGTACACAGGGAATGGGCAGCCAGGCACCACGGCAGCTCTCTCTGCACCAGAGCCTCCTGCTGAACTGCTGCTGGCCACTAATATATTATATCATGAACCCATCAACTGTGGCCTATGATGTAACCCTCATGTATCCAATTTTATAACCAACTAAAACTGTAACAAGAGATATAACCAGGATGACAACAGGATCCATCCCTTCATCTGCACATGAAACAGCCACAAGTTGTCTTACATTTCCACAAAAAACCAGACCAGCAACAAACCAACAGGATGACAGGAGTTCTTGAGTGCCAGGAAGCAGGCACAGGGACAGCACCTCAAGCATGAGTCATCTTGCACCACAACTCCACAAACGAGGCAGCCACACATGTAAGGAGTAACTGTGCACACACACTAGATCCCATTCTGGACTGGCTTCCTGCCTCAGCACTTCCCCTACCCCAGCTGCCACCCACGGTCACCTTTGAAATGATGCAACAGCAGCTGCATCTTCTGCTCATGCTCCTTCTGCTGCAGGGTCAGTCTCCGGTCACACTGCAGTCTCAGGTGCTCCAGGGCAGATTCTAACTCGTGGACCATAGTATCCCGCTCCAGAACCTTCATTTTCATCTCTTTGTTCTGCAACTCTTGTTTGCGTTCAGCTTCTCGCAAATTAATCACCTACCAAAGACTTTTTTTTTTACTTTTAAGTATATTTTACATAGCCTAACACAATAGATCAGTCCAGTTTTCTTGGACTACATGAAGATGTTAACATCGGTATCATCTTCAGTGCCTTTAAAAAATGTTGGATGCCTGGGCAAATGCGTCAAAACATAGCTATAAAGTAGCCTAACAACGTTTTGAATTTGTTGAAGTTCTGAATTGGTATTTTCATTTTCAGTACAATATTGAACTAATGGTTACCCCTCTAAAACTTCTTAGATAAGATCTCTGCAGTTCAGGTTTTATGATTCTCTTGCTTTTTCTTTTGGAGAAATGATTTTTACTCTATAGGTCTGGAGGGCCTTGAACTTGACTCTTGAGTGCTGGCAATGTATACACATGTGCCACCATGCCTGGCTACAATCTAACTCGGTTTCTCTCGTCCACATGGATACTGGGGGTGTTTTCACTTTCGCAACATCTGCTCTGTTTTAAGCTAAAGAATATCAGACCGTGCCTGTGTCTGTCAGGTCTGCTGTGTTGCTGGAAGCAGAGCACTGTGGACAGTGTCTGTGCAGTAGAACTAACAGCACTCTCTAGGACTCCACAAGCAAAGCCCACTTCTACACGGCGGCTTTGGCTACAGCTCCAGATGCCATCAGAGACTCTATCTCCAAGCCTAGGCTACATGCCACCAAAATCCAGCCTTATCAGAAGTAGCTCCTGACTGCTGACTCCTTACATAAGCCTCGGGGGACTGTGCTTAGTATTTTCATTCACTTTTGTTTTTGAAACAGGGGCTCACTGTGTAGCTCTGGCTGGCCTCAAACTCACAGAGATCTACCTGCCTCTGTCTCCCGAGTGCTAGGATTAAAGGTGTGCACCACTATGCAGAGCTTTCATTTACTTTTTGTGTCATACAATTAGACCTTGAAAAAGTCTTTGTTTTACTTCGTATCAACTATTGAACACTCTCGTTAATTCAATTTTTTTAGGGGAAAGCCATTCTTCATGATATATATTTTAAGTGAAAAATATTAGAGAAAATATGAACACAGTTCCCTATGATACAAAAATGTCTGTAACTGCCAATTTTCGGTATGGTGATCTAATTAAAGTACATTCAGATTAGCAAAACTGTCACTGCCACCAGTGCAGCACTCCATCTCCACTTAACTAGTATGTCACGGGGAGAAGTGCACAACTTCAGTCTATTCACAGCAATGGAGGAAAGAAAACTTGAGGACCCTAGACTTTTCATGAATAGCATTTAAATTTAGAATGGATATAAATTAAACTGTCTAAAACAAGACCTCCTATCAAGAGGACCTGCAGTTTTAACCACCTCATAAAGTTGGGCTTATTTGGATAATTCACGAGACTTTTTGATAAACAGTGCTTAAATTTAGACCACCAAATCTTTCAGCCTTTCACTGAGTATAAATAAGGATACCTTGACCCTTTTTGTAAGAAAAGTGTTGTTCCTTGGAAACATACCTTATTGAAATATTTGAAAAGAATAGCTCTAATCTCGGTAAGATTCAGGCAAACTAGTTTTCCCAGAACTTCTGCTTCACTCTGGGAGAGACTCTGCAGCGACGCTCTGAGTGAGTCCTGGCGGCTCCGGATGCTTTCGCTCTTGAATTCAATCGCAGCTTCCAAAGCTTCTATTCCTTCTTCAAGTTGGAAAAGAAGATGCTCTTCCTAGGAGACCATAGAGAGCATTCATCTTTAGAAAATCATAATCTGAACTCTATTGCATGCTCATCTCCCATCTTAGCATGTGATGGAGTCTCTGTCTAAGGGACTAGTCCCGTAGACGCTCACTAATGTTAAGGGTGCAGTGTTTGGGATTTGGCTAAGCTGTACGATGTATCACGTGTCAGTATAAAGCAGGATCATCGAGTCTTCACCATAAACGTTACATAACAAAATGGTAGCTGTAGAAGCTAAGTGAGTTCCATGATGTTCCAAGGTTACACAGCAAACACTGACTACCTAATCCAAAGGGTACACCTCAACATGGCCTCAGCTCTCAGGCTACAATCTGTCATCTCCCTCCAATATTTCTAAAGTGCATTTAAATGTAGACTCCCCACTGACGAGACCTCATGGAGCTGATGTACCTCCAGAGACCTAGCAAAGCCGCCCAGTGCTAGGATACAAGAAAGGGACTCCTGTACTTGGAATCAGCAACTAAGAACTAGTGATGAGAATCGAGTCTCTGGAGAAAACTGCAGCATGGGTGACCAAAGTAGACAGGACTCAAGGGACTGGAGCACTCCCTAAGATCCCTATGAAATGAAACAGCCATCGAAGCGGATGCCTGAAATTCTACTACTTGGAAGGCTGAGGCAGGAAATCATGAGCTTAGCAAGGCTGTATAATGAGACCCTGTTTTAACCCCCCTTCAGAAAAAGAAAAAAAAGATCCCTATGAAATGTTATTTAAATGGTGGCACTATAATATCAGTTAATGTACTATTTGTGTTCCAAGACAAACTAGTTCTTTGAGTTGTCCAAATCAATGCTATCTGGGAGAATGTGTGTGTGTGTGTGTGTGTGTGTGTGTGTGCGTGTGTGCGTGTGTGCGTGTGTGTGTGTGTGTGTGTGTGTTGGGGGGCTCAGATTCTTGGCAACCAAGATGTGGATGTATCTCTGCTCCTATGTCTGTGCTGAGGTCACCCAGAGCAAGTTTCTCCAGGAAGACACGTTACCCGTACTCTCATCCTTGCTGCTGAGCACACTGTTTATCAGGAAATTTAAACCTAGTATTTGTTTAATGAGTTAATGAAAACTATTTTTCCACCACTCCTAAGAGTTGTTAGTGATTCCGAGACCTCCGTTTTTGCAGCCCAAGAATCAGATAATGACCTCATCTAGTAGGAAGTCCAATACTTACTTTAGAAAGCCAAACATTCAATGGCATTTCTCTGTGCAGTAACCATCTTTTGATTATATAATTGTTCTAAAATAAGCAAAATAATATTTTGAAATATTTTTATAATTTTAACATTATGTATGTATGTATATTGTCTGTGCATGTGAGTGCATGTGTCCTGCAGAATCTAGAAGAGGATAATGGATGTCTTGGAGCTAGAGTTACAGGTTGCTGTGAACTGCCCAATGTGGGTGCTGGGAACTGAACTCAGTCCTAATCACTGAAGCTATTTTTTAAACCCCAATAATCACATTTTTAAGGGGAAAAATAAAACCACCTTTAAAGGCACTTAAGTGAATGAATAAAAGGAATCCAGATATACTAGTGAGTTGTCTAAAAAGAATATATCTTTCAATTGATACTCTGATTTATTTGATCAAAAATAAATATGAAAGGTTTGCTGAGAACTATTTAGTGTAATTTTAGTTTCCATAGTTTTGGATATAAGTTGAGGAACTGCTAAGAAAGTATGACACCTAACTGTAGGACGCGGAGGATTACCCATCACTGTTACTTTTAAACTCTGATTTGAACTGAGGCTGCTGATACACTCTTAGATAGCAGGTCTGGCTGAGTCCTGAGGGTCTACTTTTCTAACGGGTGTCCCAGAGGACAAGAGCCTAAAGCAGTGGTCTCTAGTAAAGAAGTAAGACAAAGACCAACAAAGACTCTCATGCAAGTACTGAGTTGTGTACGTTTTGGGTAAATGAATGTTTAAACATAAAAGCAGGAACTAAAATATAAGAGATGGAAGAGACACAGAGGTTTTTATATTTTCTTCCTGTGCACCACTTACTAGAGAACAACTCTGAATTAACAAACTACAGTGTTTGCCGTGTGATCTGCAGCAACATGGATAGAAATGGGAAGAATCAAGTTAATAAAATGAGACAAAACTGGTACGTGGAGAGGACGGTGAGAGGCTAACAGGCACCCACTACAGTTGGCGAGATCTAGTCCTCCCTCATGCTCACAGCAGAGTAGGTGTCCCAGTTAGGTTTAACTGTCAGCTTGACGCAGCTAGTCACTTGAGAAGGGCATCCCAATGGAGGGGTTTCCCAGGCCAGACTGACCTGTGGACAGATCTGTGTGGAACTGTCTTGGCGGCTAATTGGCTGGCACAGGAAGGCTCAGCGGACTGCTGTTCTGGGACGTATACAAAAGCAGGCTAAGTGTCATTCCAGCAAGCAGTGTTCCTTCATGGTTTCTGTGTCACGTCCTTGCTCATATTCCTGCCCTGACTTCCTGCAGTGAGGACTGTGGCCTGTTAGCTGAAATAAACCCTTTCCTTCCCTGAGTTACTTTCGATCAGAGTGTTTCATCAGCAACCAGAGACGTGGGCTGTTGCTGTGGTGACCTGACGGCACAGTGTGAGAAGAATGTACATCTTCCACTGTGGGCTAAAAGCTGCTGGGCACTCAGAGCTTAAGTGTGTGCTGCAGGCAAGGAAGACGTGTGTTATGAGAGATGCAGGGGATGGAGGCCAGAGGGAGCACGGACTCTGCTCAGCCTGGGGATGAGGTCATTGTGGGGCTGGGAACCAGCTATGGTTAACGAGATCACGCCACGGAGTGAAGTATGTCCCGTGGGAGAAGCAGGAAGAAGCATCTGCACAGGGTCACCACACACAAGCTGCAGCCCAAGGGGGCCAACACTGTGTCTCAATTGGCAGCCAAACCTAGCAGTTTGCAAGAGTTCCACAGAGTACTGGTTTGGAAAGCATGAAAGATGCAAGCAAGCCTGCGGGACTCAGAGTGGATGAAGCCTGGTGCCGCGTGGCAGGGACAGAAGGGCCAGGAGAGCCCATCACTGAAGCTGCATCCTCAGTGTTGTAGTGGAGAATAGTAAGAGATGCCAGGACTGCGAATGTCTGCCAAGGAGAGTGGCAGGTGCATAGTGGTTAAGTCACACTGTGTGCCGTGGGTGGCAGAGATGATGAAATGAGACTGCGCAAGCCTTTTGGAGCTGGAAAATGGCAGTGAGTGAGTCCCAGGGGCCACAGGCCAAGCTACAGGATCTCATTTACACTGCTGACTGTTGATATGCCCTACTTCTCTCCTGGGGTAAGAAAGTGTATAACTTTATTCCCCAGGAGCCCACAGTTAAGAGACTGGGCTTCGTATTTTCATTTTAACTTATATGTACATGTATGTGTGTGTGTGCGCGTGCCACGTGTACAGGTGCTCACAGAGGCTAGAAGATGACACAGGTTCCCCAGCAGCTGGAGTTACAAGTGGTTGTGAGCCACTTGAAATGGGTGCTGGGAACTGAACTCGGGTCCTCTGGAAGAGCAGCAAGTGCTCTTAGCCGTCGAGCCATCTCTCCAGTCCTAAGAGAGTTTTAACTTCATTTTTTCCTTTGGCTTTTCAAGGCAGGGTTTCTCTGTGTAGCCCTGGCTGTCCTGGAACTCGCTCTGTAGACCAGGCTGGGTTCAAACTCAGAGAGACCCAACTGCTTCTGCCTCCCAAGTGCTGGGATTAAAGACATGCACCACCACTGCCCAGACTCAAATATATAATTTTTAATTTTTGGAGTTCATCAAAAAATGGAAGTGTTGTTTTCAGTGAATTGTTGGGCAATCTGCTACTAACATGATCTAAAGTCTATTACTTCTTGAAATAATGTAATTAGAAAAATACTGTAAAGTTTAAAGATATCAAAATAGCAAGTTATCCCATACATAGCCATGTCTTGGGCCGCTTTAGAGTCTCCTTCCATTAACTGGCTACCTGCAGACCTATTTGAGAACATTAATCTTGGCTTTAAGAAACACAGCACTGAGGGCAGAGTGCACTTCAAAACTAAAGAAAGCCAAAGAGGAGCTTACAAGGCCAAATGGAACACTACTGTGTTCCACCTGGGACGGTGGTGTTCAGGGAGTGTTGTTGATGTTATCTGCCACAGACCTCCACATCACCATGCAGCTGGCCTTGAACTTGTAGCCATCTGTCCACCTCAGCCTCCCAAGTGCCAGAATACAGGTGTATACTACCATGGCTTCGCTGTTCACTAATAATGGGCTTCTCACTCTTCCATCTGTTCTACCTGATAATGTCCTATCAAAATGTTTACCATGTTTTTCAAAATCTAACTTCTGCTTGCAATCCACCCTGGCAGCATTGACACAGCTTTCCCCAGATGACCTCTGCACTGTTTTGTGCAAAGTATTATTTTGTAGTAAGTACAGCTTTACTGCATCACCTGTAATAGTCTTTTTACTGTTCTTTAGGATTCAGTTTCCTTGTATTTCCATTTTCCTGTTAATACATAACTTAGTGGTTTGTTGACTTCTTTGTTCCCTCTATATGGCTACAGACAGTCCCGGGCAGACAGAACCCATCCCTTAATGTTTACGCTTCCTGTGTTTAGGTGCCTGTCCCTTCCTAGAGGTTCAGGGCTCTGGGGCCTCTGCAGAGTTATCCAAGCTAAGTCATAAAATAGGGCAACCGATGTGGGAAATGTCCCTTCAGCCGCCAGCTAAGACAGCTATCTAATGCAGTCCTAATTCCTCAGTTCATTCAATAGCAGACTCACAGCAGACTCACAGGACACCCTTTCTACTGTCTCTAACATGTCACTCAGTCTAAAACACAAGATCAGCAAGGCACAAGACCCCTACAGTTCACTGTCTTTCAGCACTTGACCCTGCTTTGGAATGATAGGCCCTAATGATAAATATGTGGAGAGAAATTTCAGGTTCAGAACCTAACATGAAATAGGGCATTGGGATCAAATAAAATGTGTTTGAAAAGGCTAAGTCTGGGTACTTTAAAAGCCAATGAATGAATCATCACTTACACATTAAAAACCAGAAAAACAGAAACAGGCCAGGTGGCGATGATGTATGTCTTTAATCCTGGAACTTGGGAGAATGTCTGCGAGTTCAAGGATAGCCTGGCCTATAGCACTAGTTCCAGGATAGCCAAGGCTACACAAAGAAACCCTGTCTTGAAAAACAAAAACAAAAACAAACAAACAAAACAGCAATATGCCCTCTCAAATGGAAACTGTAACTAAAAAGGTATTTTATTGGAAGTTGTATTTTGTTTGAATGGTGGAGAATTTTCTCTGAAAAACCAGCCCTTTCTCAGTCAAATTTCCATGGAAAGAATCAACTCTTAATGTCATAGGCATGTTTTATGTAGTGAACACCTAGCAAAATTATCAAAGGTGACAGATGAGCTGAGGGTCAAATATGACCCATTAGGACCACAAGGTAAAGGGGGAGAGCCAACTCCTCCATGTTGTCCTCTTACTTTACAAACACACCATGGCATGTGCACGTGTACACATGTGCACACCCCTCAAAGTGTGAGAAAGAAAAAACATGTTATCTGCTCTCCTTGAAAGATAAAAGTTTTCAAATTATTTTCTGTGATCAGTGGTATCAGATGAGAAACAGCTGAGGACACCCTCAAGGGCTGTGTTGGTTCCCTAGTGCCTGGCGATGCCAGGAAGAGTCCATCCATGCAGGTGCTGTTCTGTGAAGACATCTATCTCTCATCAAAGCATGGCTTATAGAGTACCAAAAAGATGTCAGATGAACTCATTAGCAGACACAGTCTTGAAACGGTTTATCAGGTTTATGATCATATGACAGGAGTCCAAGAAAATCACCCACATCAGCCATCATACAGCAACTCCAGTTCCAAAGAATACTGACTTACTTTGGGGGACAGCACTCTACCATTCTTAAGCTTTTCGTCCACAATGTTTCTCTGTCTCTGCAGCTGATCCTTTTCTTTCTGGAGAGCCTGAACCTGTTCTGAGATCTTCATTTTATCCTCGGTTGTGCTGCTCTCAAGCTGCAAACTTTTTTCCGACAACTCTTGCTCCAACAAGTTCAGGCGAGCTGATATTTTCAGACTGTCTGTGCTTAAGTCCTAAAAGAAACCCCACCAGATAAAAAAGTGACAAGAAACTCAGACAGCTTAAAAAACAGGAAAAACATCATTAGGATACTAAATGGTTCTATTTTTATCTTTAATTTTCTTCCATAAACTTTCTAAAGGGGTACATCCACTAAAATCGTAAATTTAATGGTTCTTTAAAAATATACATGTCTGAAGTATGAGGTTACGGGAGCTAGAGAGGTGGCTTGGTGGTGAAGAGCACTGGCTGCTCTTGCAGAGGATCAGGGTTCGGCTCCCAGTACTTACTTGGTGGTTAACAATGTCTGTAACTCCAGGTTCAGGGGATCCAGTGCCCTCTTCTGGCCTCCCTGGGCACTGCACACACATTATGCACTATACATACAGGCAAAAACTCAGGCTCATTTAAAAAAAAAAATCAAAGGTTTTGAGAGGCAGTGTTTTCTTTTTATTTCATTATTTTATTCCTTAGCTCGTGACTGTTACAGTTTCTTAAGAGATTTATATTTGGTGTGTTTCAGCATACTCTTTATTCTTATTTCATTACGGTCAGAAAAATTAAGAATCTGGTCACGTTTATGGAGATGTCCATTATTAAAATGATTTGTAAAGATACTGTATTATATACTTTCATATGGTTTCTAACATACATATAAACCTTCATAAAGTTTAATTACCATATCATAATAAAAAGCAGAACCATTTTCCAATAAGTCTCCTTAAGTTCTTTTAGTCTGAACAACCAATGTCTGACACTGTCTGTATACTGCAGGAGTAAGAATTTAGCACTCACACCTCCCCTGCTGTGTGCCATCCCTCTTCTATTTTCCCACTCTAAGTTATATTAGAGCCTCATGAACCCATTATGAATTTGTCACTATTAACTATAGCTGATAGGTCTGTAAAAATCCTACTTCGCCTTGATTTTTTTTGTACAACTCTCCAACAAATATTATGTATTGTTTTATTTTTACATTTATTTTTATTTACCATGTGCATGCACACACATGTTCATGTGTGTGTGTACGTGCATGCGTGTGTGTATGCATGTGTACATGCATGCGCGTGCGCGTGCAACAGCACAAGTATAAGAGTCAGAGGACAACTGAAGGGAATGGTTTCTTTCCTTTGATCCCGTGAGCTCTGGGAATAGCGTTCCTTCTTGAATGCCCACATTGAGTAATGTCCTCAGACACTGCACACTTCAGCAGCTTCCTGAGGCAGGGTTGACGGGAGACACTCTACCTTCAAACTCATTAGGAAATTAGACTAAGAAGAGGGATAGTTGGGATTGTTTTCCTCATGGAAGACTGCTTCAGATGTTTTAACTTCCAATGAAGAAAGTGGAGAAGCCAGTGCCATTCTGGCTTCTAAGATTGACAAGTGACTAGATTTTTCTAGTTGGAGTGCTGAAGATTTGTTTTTCCTCAGTTCACCTAACGCTTTGCTTTGGACACTTTTGTACTGGGTCCTTGATGAGCTTTTTCATTCTAGACTCTCACATTACATTGGGAAGCTTTTCTTTTTAATTTACAATTTATTTTTATTTTTATATGGATGTTTTGACTGTACGTATATATATGCACTGTCTTAGGGTTTCTATTGCTGTGAAGAGGCGCCATAACCATGGAGACTCTCAAAGGAAAAGATTTAATTGAGTTGGTGGTTTATAGAGTCAGAGGTTCGACAGTTATCATGGCGGGGAGCATGGCAGCAGGCAGCTGCAGAATTCCCCATCTCCATCCAAAGGCAACAGGAAGTGAACTGTGACACTAGGAGTAGGTGGAGCAAAGGAGACCTCACAGCCCACCCACCCACCCCCGTGACACACTTCCTCTAGCAAGGCCACACCTACTAACAGTGCCCCTCCCTTTGGGGTCACTTTCTTTCAAACCACTGCATGTACCAGGAAGTACCTGAGGGTTAGACAAAGGCACAGGATCCTGGAAGTGAAGTCACGGATGGTTTGTGAGCTGCCATGTGGCTGCGGGGATGGAACCTGAGTCCCTGCTGGAGGAGCCAGGGCTCTGACCCACTGGGCCAACTCTCTTTGAGGCTGTGTGTTTTCTGATTCATTTGGATTTCCTATTACTTCAGTGCTGGGCTGCCTATATTTATCTGAAAATTTCCCCTCTTCATTTTCTAATGATTCTTTTAATTCACTTTCAAATATTTCAGCTTTTTGTTTACCTTTTCAATTCCTAATGGTTCCTTCATGTCTTTAATGACCTGTACTTCCTGTTTAAAGCTACAGTGTTTTTGTTTTTGGTTTTTTTTTTTTTTTTTTGGTTTTACGAGACAGCGTTTCTCTGTATTGTTTTGGAGGCTGTCGGTCCAGTCTGGCCTTGAACTCACAGAGATCCACCTGCCTCTGCCTCCCGAGTGCTGGGATTAAAGGCATGCGCCACCACCGCCCGGCCTACAGTGTTCTTTTTTTAACCACACTGAAGACATGAAAGTCATTCCTGAAGTTTTTCAGCTTTTAGTTCTATTCCTAGTTCCCCCAAGTTCCCCTTTCCTTCAATTCTAGTGCTTGCATAGCAGGCAGGCAACCCTTTTATTATCAAAGTTTATGTCTCTCTCAATCTCTTACCAGATAGCGAATTTGCAAATGCTTTCCTATATTCTGTAAGCTTTCCTACTTTCTCAGTTGTCTTTTAAACCTCAAATATCTTTATTATTAATTCCAGTTTATTAGTTTTTTTTTCTTTTTCTGTTGTGTTTTAGGTGTAATATCCAAGAAAACACTACTCAAAAGTCACTGAGAGGGCCCAAGAGATGGCTCAGCAGTTAGAGCATTGGCTGCTGCTGCAGAGGATCCCACATGGCTCCCAGCACCACATGGTGCTCCGGACATCTGTGACTCTACTCCAGGGGTCTAACGCCCTCTTCTTGTTTCTGTGGGCACATACATGTAGAAACACACACATAACTAAAAATAAATTATTTTTAAAGATTTATTTACTTATTATGTATTCAGTGTTCTGCCTGCATGGATCCCTGCAGGCCAGAAGAGGGCACCAGATCTCATTACAGATGGTTGTGAGCCACCACGTGGTTGCTGGGAATTGAACTCAGGACCTCTGTAAGAGCAGCCAGTACTCTTAACCTCTGAGCCATCTTTCTAAGCTCCTAAAAATAAATCTTAAAAAAATGCTATAAAATGGTTGCAGTCTAGACTGTGTGTTGTTCTAACAGTTTTATAATTTTAGCTCTTATTTACAGGTCAGTGATATATTTTAATTTTTTGTTTTGTGGCAGGGTATTCTTGTATAGCTCAGGTTAGCCTCAAACATGATATGTAACCCATGTGGGCCCAGAATTCGTAATCTTCTTACCTCAGGAATACTAGGTTTACAGGTGCTAAAACCATGCTTGGCTTGAGTTAGCTATATACAATGCATTTTTCTTTTTCTATCATTTTAGATAAGTATTCAACCTACCATGAACCTTGTATGAAATGCATAATTCAAAGCCTTGTAAATATTTCTCAAACACTAGAAAAATGAAACATTTTAATGTTTTTTTCTTCTGAAAAGAATCAAGTGGGATAGTGTATTATATTAAAAATTTCAAAGAATCAAGATGGTTTTCATTCATTTATACTTCCTGTTTATCTCAGTGAGTCCTTACTTTTTAAAATTATATCTTTAAAGTCTGGAGAGATGCTCAGTAGTTAACAGCATGTGCTGTTCTTGCAGAAGAACCAAGTGAGGTTCTGACACCCAGATGACAGTCGCCTGTAACTCCAGCTCCAGGGGCTCTAACACCCTTTTCTGCAGGACACCTGCATTACCCCTCACACAGACACACATATGCACCTAATTTAAAAAAAATTTAAATTACAGTGCTTTTCCTTTCCCATCTCCTAAAGTAAACTTATTTAAGAAGATATTTCCCCATCTTCCTTTACTTTCTTCTCTTTTCTGAGAATAGAGCATATCTTAAAGACGCAGGTAGTTTTCTCCTATCATTCACTTACATTTTTAATCTTTTGCTGTTGTCTTACATATTCTGAGGGACTGGTTTTATAACTTGACCCTGACAGTTTAAGCGAGTTTCCTGGATGTGCCATCTGGAATCACGTTTGTCAGAGGGGCCAGCCAAGCCCTGTATTCAGTGACCAACTGGACTGAGAAATGGGTGACACAGCAGAGTCAGATATGGGTCCTGATGCGGCAATGCTAGGAACACAGCACCATCAGCTCAGACCCTCAGTCTACATGCTTACTGACAAGTGGTCACTGACCCTGTGTTCTGTGACACGGGTATAGATCCATCTGGACCCAATACCAACTCTAGGTTAAATTATATTTTCAAATCTGAGCAAGTCAGCTTCATTTTTAGATGCTATTAAGTGAAAATGCATGCAGGTAAGTCAAGAAATAGTTCCTGCTGCTTTTACTTCTACAATCATTCCTTCTTGAAAATCTGGGACTGAGGCAGACCTGTACATATAACTACTAAGTCACATAGGAAAAGTATGACATTTCTCAAGTCTTTATAAGTAATAAAATACAAGCTATCATTCTATAATCCCTTTTCTCTTTTATATGAATTTTGTAGCCCCCTAATGTTGATTGGTAGTGACGAAAACATTTTCCAAATTACCAATGTCCACTATAAAATACCATATAGTTGAATTTATCTAAAATGTCTGCTGGCATTACTAACAGAGGGCGACAAGGGAGGAAAGAGGTTACTGTGGAAGGTTGCAGAGCTTCTGCCTTGGAGAAGGAAAAAGTTTTGGAAATATATAGTTGTGACAGTTAAACATTGTACGTATTAATGTCACTGAATTGTAAACTCAAAACGTGGATTTTAAAGTAAATTTTAAGCCAACCATGACCATAGGCACATTCCTATAATCCTAGCACCAGACACTCAGGCAGAAGCTCATGACCCAACCAGGCTACACTGGTAAAGGACAAAACAAAAAAGGTAACCTTTATGTTCTGCATATTTTACCACCGTATGGAAGTCAATGATAAGTCATACTTGAAGAATATTGACCATGTCACTTTTGAGCAGCAACGTTTTGATGACTATCACTTGATAAAGTAACAATGCACTGGGAATAATAACCTTCCTTTGGCTTTGAACTACAGTTCATCTTTATGTGTCTGTGTGTACACGCGTGTGAACATGTGTTTCAAGGCCAAAGGTCAGCATCAGGTGTCTTCCTAAATGACCTTTTCATATTGTGTTTAAGACAGGGTCTTTCAGTGGGCCTGGAACTCAGTGATCCAGCCAGCCCACCCCAGGAACCCCGCCTCTCCCCACCTCCCCAGCACAGAAATTACAAGTGAATGCTTCCATCCCCACTTTTTATGTGGCTTCTAGATATCTGAACTCAGGTCCTCACCCTTGAATGGAAAGCAAATTACTGACTAAGTTTGTGTTTATGTTTATGGGTGTAATAATGTATGTCTGTGTTCCATTTTCATGCCTTGTGCCCAAAGAGGCCAGAAGAGGGCCCCCAGGACAGGAGGTGGATATAAATGGTTGTAAACTATCAGCGGTGTGCTGGGATTAAACCTAGGACCTTTGGAGGGGCAGCCAGTGCTCTTAATCACTTAGCCATTTATCCATCTCTGGGTTTACCTTTCAGAGAGAAAATATCCTAGAAGTGGAATAAAACGACAAACAGGGTACCTGACTAGACCGCAGCTTCTTATTCTCTAGGTGACTCTTCTCCTGTAGCAGGGCTTCCTTCTTGGAGACGATGGCTTCCCGCTTCTTCAGGTCTTCTTCCAACATCTCTAGTTCTTGGCGTTGGTTCAGAACTTTCTCTACTTCTTCATCTAACCATTTCTTTTGCTCATCCAATTTCTATATTAAAAGAAATACTATGGTTTGTTTCTCCTCCCTACCATAAAAGTATATCATTTTAAGTGTCTGAAACCTTTAAAATGAACATTAAAATTATAAGAGCAACTCATACTCCCATTTGGCTCTGGAGATTCTGGTTAACATGTTGCTCTTGCTGTTTTGTATGGAGAAAATTTATTACCCTGCAGTGTTACGCTCAAGTTATTGCTGCCTGACAAAGGCATCACAGTTTACATCTACTGAAATCAGACTGTGTTTTCATGTGTCGTAGAGGTCACGCTCCACCATGCCTCCAGGGGCGGCTGTCCTGACCTGCCGTCCTCTACCCGAGCTACCGACAGGCTGCAAGAGCGGTGCTTTTCAGCTTCCGCCTTGGCCTGCAGATAGCTTCAGATACAAGATCAAACGAGTAAATAAATGTAGTCAGCCAACGGAATACATATTCCATGAAAAACAAATCTGCACTGTCGATTGTCAACTTTAAATACTGCAAGATACAGTGAAAGGGTGGAAGGATATACAAAGTGTGTTAATACTCTGCTAAACACAGCCAGAAGCAAGTACAAACACAAATGAAATGTGACTAAAACATATTCTATCGCAGGCACACTGAAATGCCATTAAGGCCACTAAAACAACAAATAAATTTAGAATAGTCTGACTAGTACTAGTTTCCAGTCCATCATGGGCCCCAGAGAAAACCTAGACATCTATAGTAAGACAGTGAGAAACCAGACATGGTGTCCCGAGCCTGTAAAGCCAGCCAGCACTCTAGAGGTGGAAGCTCGACGATCAGAAGTTTAGCGTCACCCAACTACACAGGACAGGTTTAGAGTAGCCTGGGTTTACCCGAGACCCTGTTACAAAACAACAGCCACAAGATGAGGTGATAAAAATACACGAGAAAAGAGAGCCAAGGCAACAAAGACGCAAAGCCAGATGACCTACAGCAGACCTATGAAGTATGACCTTGTAGGCACTATCAACCCATGCTACAGTGAAGTCCACAGTAGCAGCAGGCCCGCAATTATCAGCAGCGGGAAGGCAAATGTTCAAATACTTCAGTTTAGCTAGACCCAGGAGGCAGCCTTAGGAAGTCCACAAATAAGTTCATATTTACAGTGAATGGTGTGTCCAGGTAAAAAAAAAGACAATTACAATTGTTGAAGATGTTTCTGAGTGCAAATGGTATGTGTGGGAATACATCCATACTCTAAATGTCTCTATTAAAATATGTAAAATGTAAATATTTTTCAAAATTTAAATAAATATATTTGTATTCTGAATATGATTGCAATTTTAAATACACTGTTTTTCTTAGATATCTGCAATTTATTTGACCTTTGAAATTAATTTATGGGTTGTGTTTTTATTTATTAAAATATGACATTAGAATACTCTTGAGTATGCTTAGTACATACACAATATGGTTCTGTTTGAATGTAGAGCTCTGAATTTTAGAAATATACCTGTCTCTCTGCGAATAAATCTCTCTGTAATGGGAATAAGTACTGTTTAGTGAATGTGGATTTTACACAATATTCAAATAAATAATTTCTGCCAACATAAGAAGATAACACATTTCACATTTCTGGATAAGAAATCATTTAATAAAAATTTTTGAAAGAAATACAGGGCATTTTACAAACAAGCAGCAAAAAAATAATGTTTTAAGATTTTATTCAGAATCTGCTATTTTTTAACCTATACTTACTTAAGACTGTCATAAAAACTGAAGAGAATTAGAAACAGTGAACAGAGCTGACCGACCTGGAGTTGGTCCACACTTCTGAAAGGACCTGTTCTTCTGTCCGAGTTAAACCTATCCAGGTCCTCAGCCTTTGAGTTCAGACCATCTCCTTGACCTGTTTTTAACTGCAGCTCCTGTACAGAGAAATTAAAAACGCCTTATTCACTCGTACTACCCATCTCTCACTTAATACACAGACAGACACTCTTTCTTCCCTCCTCCCGCTGTCCTGATCCTTTTCAACGCTAGGTTAGACCCGAGTCACACATGCGCCACGAGCTGCTGATTTCACAACAGGGTTAGAGCGATTTTCTTAGCATTCACACTCCCTGTTACAAGAGTGAAAATAAGATGAAGAGTGAGGTCATTTTAACTTTAAGGCAAAAAGGTCAGGGTTTACTAACAAAACTGATGCTTCTCATTCTTGGTGTTACTAATTTCCACGTGTTTTTCTGCCTTTCTGAGACTGTGGCCCTCACAGGCACCCATGATACCTACCTGCCATGGGTGTGTCTGCACTTACAGTGGAAGTGCAGGCTTCCAGTGCAGAGCAACTCTCGGCCTGGAGCAGTGGTCTGGTAGTTAGGAGTGGGTGCTCGTCTTGCCGAAGTTCCCAGAACCCATGTCAGGTGGCTCACAACCACTGTAACTCAAGCTCTGGGGGTCAGGTGTCTCTGACCTCTGTAGGAACTGTGCTCATATGTACCTATACACCCACATATGCAAAATTAAAAATAAGAGCTATTTTTAAAATGGGGGCCTGTGGCTTAAGAATAAGTCTTATGAGATCAGGCAGAACAAAGCCTTGAAAAGAGCAGTCTCCAACTCCTTTAGCTTCCCTTTATATCTTAAGGACCAAATCAAGAAGCCCAGTGCTCACGGTGTCCCCACAACTGACCCTGGAGTCAGGAAGGAAATACAGGGAGGAGAGACTAAGGGACCTGGCCTTCTAATTCAGAGACCTATGGATCATTTAAACGTTCAGGGTAAGGTCTGAGCAGGTGCTTGATAAATATGGGTTTGTTACTGACCTATGACAGTAATTATCAAGGTTGAAAGTGTTTAGTTACTTTAACAGCAATCCCACCTCACCAGTTAAACCTTGTGCTTAGTTGAGCATAACTTATGCCTACAGTCTTACTACTTGGGAGGTTGAACTAGGAGACTCACATGTTTGAGGCCAACCTGAACAATACATACATACATACATACATACATACAGAGTGTGTGTGTATTCAGTTTTTTAAGTGAACCTTTAATCCCAGCTCTGGGGAGGCAGAGGTGGGCAGATCTCAGTGAGTGAATTCAACCTGGTTTTATACATATCGAGTTCCAGGACAGTCAGGGCTACATAGTGAGATACTGTATTTAAAAAGGCACTGGGCATAACAGCAGCACACACCTGTCACCTGACCCTCAGCCATGAATTTGAGATCAGTCTGAGGTCCTGTTGCAAAAACAGACAAGTAGGGCAAGCAATTGAAAGTAGGGGGGGCTTTTATTAGTATAATTTTACTTTAGTTTTCTGTTAATTTATGTTTTACAAAGTGTTGGGCTGTGACAAATGTATAAGGAAGTAAAAACTGCTTCTCAAAGATAATTTCAGAGTGTTATCAGAAATGAAGTAAACGAAAAGATCAAAACTTCTGAGTCTGAGCTCTGAGAATGAAATGATCAAACAGAAACAACAAAGATCTGTGCTGTGACTTTGTCTCCTGAGTTCTGGCACAACAGGGTAGGAAAGGGATCAGGGGAGCAGAAAGGTGTAACCCCGGGTGACAGCACAGGATGCAGCCCACATGGGGCGCTCAGCCTCAGGGAAGGAGAAGACCCTGACAGACTTCTTGGCAGCGTGGCACAGATTCTGAGTGGAGAAGCATGAGGCCAATCATTAGGGACAAACAAGGACACAAGATTGAAGGCAAGCAAAGACTACTGGGCTAACTAGATAAAAAGACTCAGTGGCTTCAACACAGCTTACAGTGCCTTTGCAGAGAAGAAGAAATAAAGGCGTGGTCTAAAGCAGAGGCCAGAGCTGTCTGTAAGTTATTCCAGCAAGGGCCCCACCATCAGGAGCCAGGGCTAACAAGGCCCGGTGGGCCAGATCCTAGCCAGAAACAGCCTCAACTCTGTGGGTTGCAGCCTGGGAGATCCATACAGTCCGCTACCAGATAAGAAGACACCATCAAGGGCAAGAAATACAGGGCAGCTAATGGACTGGACCTCCTTACTCAAGAGAACTAAGAATTAAAGGAAATGCTTGTGTTTCAGTGCACGCTCTGAGTTCATGGTGTGTGTAAGTTCTTATCTTGTTTCCAGCATTAGCGTGGCATCGAGGGCGCTGCAACACTGAGCTCACAGAGAACCTCCCCTTTGGTTCTGGTTCCCAGTGTTAATTTACCGTCATACCCCAGGAATTGCAGAACTCTGAAAGAGGCGTCTTTTGAGCAAAAGCATCTTCACCAGGAAGTGAACCTCTACCCCTATTCACCTCTCCCAAGTGATACTTTAGAAATGACTTTTTCTTTTCTCTCTTTTAAAAGATTTACTTATTTTGTATACAGTGCTCTGTCGGCATGCATGCCTATAGGTCAGAAGAGGGCACCAGATCTTATTACAGATGGTTGTGAGCCACCATGTGGTTACTGGGAATTGAACCCAGGTCCTCTGGAAGATCAGCCAGAGCTCTTAACTTCTGAGCCATCTCTCCAGCCCCTACTGCATTTTTTGTGATAACTGTAATTCCTGTCACAATACAAAATAATGATGAGATTGGTGCCTGTGACAGACTTGAAAAACCAACCACCGCATTATAGTATTTTAACTGTTGCATAATATTTGTACACTGTGTGGAGACGTATTGCTGTGATTGGTGTGATGAAAGTTGAATGGCCAGTAGCTCGGCAGGTGGTATAACTGGGATTTCCAGGCAGAGAGAAACTGGGAAGAAGAATCTAGGCACTCAGAAGACACCAGGAGACACAGAACAAGTCAGACACACAGAAATGGTAAAGAGGCTAAAAACTCTACATGGTAGAAGACAGATTAAGTTATAAGCGCTTGTTGAGGGCAAGCCTAAGGTAAAGGGAAAGTTTTCATAAAAGTCTCCGTGTTATTATTTACAGGCTGCAGTCCAAAGATAGTCCAACAAGAAAGTTTGCTATAGCTAACCCTTGCAACGGCAGCATGAGAACAGGGCCACTGTAAGCCCTATGTAAGAAGGGACAGATGCTTATAAACAAAAGCCAGGGTCACAACACAACACAAGCTTTTACAGACTCCCTTACCTCACTGCATGAGCTCAGTATGCTGCCCTCTGGAGGCTGGGGCAGAAGGAACGATGCTCTCGGCCAGCCTGAGTGAAGAGACACACTCTGTCTCAAAGCCAAACATGGGACACATCTTAGCCATGGGGATGTGGCTCAGGCACTGAGTGCCTGCCTCATACACCAAAGACCCTGGGCTCCAGCTCTAGTGAGGACAAGACAAAACACAGACTAAAGGCTATCTCCAACAATTGTCAAGGAATTCTTTGGGACTGAGCATGATTCTTTGTTTTACAGGAATGAATGAAATGTTACTACACTTGGAGCAATCTGTTTCTTACCTACAATGAACAATTGCTGTGAGTGTGAAAGTTTAAATTATAGGTAGGTTGCATTTCAGCAGGTTATAGCATGGAGTTGACAGCACTATGTCTGAGGTAAGCCATGGCCTGAGTTACATGAGATCACCAAACCACAGTCTGGACATAGGCAGGCCTGATCCTTATACTGATGGAAGAACGTAGAGCAAGATCCTGAGTTGCTCACAACAGAGACAGAATTAGAAATGCTACAAACGAGCAACTGACATTCCGGAAGACGGAGGATGGCAGCTAACACCCACTCAAAGCTACATCATTCTTGAGTCCACCACAGGGACAGTTGGAGAGCAGCTGCCCTCTGAGGTGGTGTGTAATGCAAACATGGGTTTCAGTAGCAAAAGAAGAATGGAAGGGACTAGAAAACAGAACAGAGGAGAAAGTGTTGAGTGTCCTAGGGGGCTTGTCCCTGACTGGGTGCTGTCTTTCTGGTTAAGGACAAGCACAGGCCACAGAACACAGAGCAGGACAAAAGGAAAAGCCCCAGAGACTGAACACAGATAATCCTAAAGGAGAGGGTGGGGAGGAGGGAGGAGGAAAGGAGGGAAGGAGAGGGGGAGGAAGAGAGGCACTTGCAGGAGCCACAGTGGCAGCGGGAAGGATGCCAGGAAAACCCTCTGCTCTCGGCACCCAAACCGCATTGGCACGCAGCAAGTTGGCTGTCAGGCACATTAAGTGGCAAAGGTCCCTCCTAGGATGCCTCACCCTGAAAACCCAAAGCAAATGTCACAGGACTGTATTCTGGGACTTGAGCTGGAGAACGCCTCTAACTAAAGAGGGAAACTGAACCATGGTGTTCCATGAGGTGGGGATCTGACCCAATGGCATCCAGAGAGAGGTGCGGCACCCATGCTCACATGAAGAATTAGTCAGGGCCAGCACCTGAGCACAGCAGGGGACAAGTACAGACTTCGCAGCACGGCATGCGCTTCCCATTCCTTCATGCTCGCACCTCCCACCTTTAACATGGAGCTGTGAGGCAGCACGCCAGTGTGTAACCGCACAGGGGCTGCTGCTGTGTCTCTCCCCTCTGCCTTCCACCTCTAGCCACCTCGTCGTGTCACAGACCTGCTTTTCTCTTATGTCCTAACACCGACCCTGAGCTCTGTCTTCCGGCCCTCCTAACCCTGGGAACCAGGATGAGTACACTGTGCTACCTTGTTCCCTTACTCTTCCAAATCACTGGAATTGGACAGCCAAGCTTTTAAAAGCAGGATCTCAATCTGTAGCCCCTTTTGACCTTGAACTTGCAATCCTCCTGCCTCAGACCCTTGGATATGGGGATTCCAAGTCTGAGCCATCAGATCCAGCTTACGTTAAAGACAACACTCTGACTGTCGTCAGTAGTCTACCCACTGGATGTCTAGATTTATAATCCAGCCTTTTACTCTTTAACCAGCATTCCCCATTTACCAATCCAAACTCAGTTCCGATAACGCCCTTGTCAGTTGCATCAGGAAGAAAGAGCAGTGTCCCCAAGAGGTGGAGCTGGTACAACTACGTCTACATGCAAAAGAACGAAGCCAACCTGTGTGCCACATCACACGTAAGAACGGACACCAAGGAGATTAGCAATCTGACATATAAACTACAACCAGACAACTCCTGTGAGCAGAGACAGGCTAACTTCTTCACCACCTTGGACTTGACACCAAAACCAAAAGCAATTTATAAAGTGAACTTCAAGATGTAAAGTTTTTGTGCATCAAAAACATTACAGGGATGTAGTGAGGATGTAGTCAATTGGTAGAAGTCATGCCTAGGCTGCAGGACGTCCTGGGTTCAGCCCCCAGAACCACATAACTGGTCATGGCTGCACATACTTGTAATCCCAGTACTCAGGGAGTGGAGCCTATATGATCAGAAGTTCATCAGGGCTGTCTTTGGTTACATAGTGAGTTGGAGGCCTTGTCTTAAAAAAAAAGTGACATTATACCCCATATGATTGGGCCTTTCAGCACCCTCCCATGGAAAGGGAAGGTACTCATGGACCCTACTCCCAACAAAGATTTATAAGCGGCTAACAGTTGACGGTCCTTCAGTGGTGTAGCCACTGGTAATAAGTACATGCTCCTGCATACAACCCAATGAGTCACTGAGTAACAACAAGAAAAAGAAGAGACATGAAAACGGCGGTGGAGTGAGGTGAGGTTGGAAGGGGATTAATGGAGTGAGACGGGGTAAAACAGGGTAGCAGCGGGGAAGGGGGAAGACATTCAGATACAGTAGGTTCATGTGTGAGAGTGTCAAAACACTCACCAAACCCACATCTGAAAGAGGGCCGTCTCCAAAATATATAAAGAACTCAAGAAACTAGACATCAACAAACCAAATAATTCAATTAAAAAAATGGGGTACAGATCTAAACAGAGAATTCTCAACAGAGGAATCTCAAAATGGCACGAAACACTTAAATGTTCAACATCCCTAGTCACCAAGTAATACAAATCAAAACAACTCTGAGATTCCATCTTATACCTGTCAGAATGGCTGAGCTCAAAAACACAGTGACAGCTCATGCTGGAGAGGATGTGGAGCAAAGGGAACACTCCTCCATTGCTGGCGGGAGTGCAAACTTGCACTGCCACTTTGGAAGTCAATATGGTGGTTCCTCAGAAAATTGGTAATCAGTCTACCTCAAGACTCAGCTACCCTATTCTTGGGCATATACTCAAAGGGATGGAGGAAGAGAGTACTGAGAGAGACAACTGGAACTAGGGTGGGGGGCACTTGGGAGGACAGTGTTGAAACCTAGAGCAGTGGAAACTCCTCAGAAGGCTAAAAGAGCGCCAACACTTGTAAACTGAAAAGACAGCAAATGCCATGTCAATGATCTTAGCAGCACTGTGTGCCACAGTAGAAGGCACAACCTAGCATTCACTGATGGATAAAAATAAAACATGAATCAAAAGGCTGGGCACAGTGGCGCACACCTTTAATTCCTGCCCTCGGGAAGCAGGGGCAGCCTGGTCTACAGAGCAAGTTCCAGGACAGCCAGGGCTACACAGAGAAACCCTATCGGGGAAAAAAGATGGAGTCTTGCTATGTTGCCAAGGCTGCCTTCAAACTGGCAAGGAACCACCCTGTGTCAGTCAGCTTCAGAAGCTGGCACCACACACAGATGCTACTGCAACCAGTGTCACAGGGAAAGTGAGGCTCTGACAGACCCTACAGCACCAATGAACACAGAAAACATGCTGCGTAAGCAAGCCAGATGCCAAGGGACCAATTATCCCACATGGATAATGCAAATTCACAGAGATAAGATATATCAGAGCTTATCAGAAGATGAAGGAAAGTGGGGACATAGAATTATTATTAATAGTTACAGTTTCTCTTTGAAGTCCTGAAAACATTCTAAAACAACTATGACAGCTTGTACCTCACTGTGAATATAATTAATACCACAGAATTAAACATTTATAAGGGTAGGATGGTAAGTTTTATATTATATGTATTTTGTCATACTTCATTAAAATTGACAGGGCTAAGAAGCTGGCTCAGTAAGTAAGGTCCTGTCATTAAGGAGAAGCAGAAGGAAAGAGCAGACTTCTGGGCCTTGTCCTCTGACCTCCACTCATGCACTGTGCCACACGCTCACACGCTCACTCTCTCTCTCTCTCTCTCTCTCTCTCTCTCTCTCTCTCTCTCTCTCTCTCTCACACACACACACACACACACACACATACAGAAAAATACGCGCAAAAATATCATTTAAAATTATAATAAAATTAAATACAATAACAAAAAATTTAAGAATGAGCAAATACTTTCCAAATTCCATAACTAGGTTGTGTGCTGGGTTTTAAATGGTCTAAAAGCAGATTAAAACTACTGTTAAAATATCTCTAATCTGGGAATGCTGATAATGGAAAAAACTGTGTTTCAGGAACAGATGGCATCTTTTGTTTCCAAAGACTCTAAAACCAATCTAAAAAGAAGTCTTAATTAAAAAAAAATCCTAGGGAGTTTCTAAATGTGTTGTAAACTTGGGTTCTGCTTGCTGTTTAAATGGAACAAAACTGGGCACAGAGTTAGGAAGTATTTTTAGGATTGTCTACTTCTTATCCAGAGAGTCCCACAGCTAAGTATAATGAAGGCAACTTTAGATAAGAATAAACAAACTCAAAGAGGGCTAATACATCTCCTGCAGAAACAGAGGAAGCCGGGCTTGAACACAATGCCAGCCTGGCTCCAGACCCCAGGCTGACCATGCTCCTCTCCGCTACCCACGCTGTGGAACCACTGGGTGCACAGACTAGATCACTCGCACTCTGACGGGGTGCTAGCACTCCATGTGGAACTTCTCCCATACAGCATCAGGAACAATGAGCAACCCTCTACAAATGATACTGTGTAGAAAGTAACCTTTATAAGCTTAACTCTTGCCGGGCGGAGGTGGATCACGCCTAGGCAGAGGCAGGCGGATCTCTGTGAGTTTGAGGCCAGCCTGGTCTACAAAGTGAGTTCCAAACAGCCTCCAAAGCCATAGAGAAACCCTGTCTCGAAAAAACCAAAAATAATAATAATAATAATAATAATAAGCCTAACTCTTTGACATCTGTGATCAAAGATCTGAGGTTTTGCCACTGTAACTTATTTGTGATGTCATAACCTTCAAGAAAGTGCTCAGAATTGAGAAAACAGGTTTTACTATGTGGCCCAGCAAAGCTTGACAGGGATAAAGACAGCACTGAGACACTACTCAGAATGGCTGAGTGAGCCCGAGCCTGCACAGTTTCACACAATGCTAAGCAGGAAGTATGGACAGGATTACTTTGATTTTTTGCTGCTCTCTCTTAACCTCTGCATCCAGGTGCTGCTTCTTCTCGCTCTCTTCTCGAAGCCGTCTCTGCAGCTGCGCTTTCTGGTGTTTGAGGTGGCCCACGCTCTGCTCCAGCTCGCTGGCACGCTTCTCGCTCTGGATGGACAGTGATGCCAACTTCTTACTATCTTGCTGCTTTTTCTGTAAGACCTGGGATCACATGGAATATTCCAGAGTGAGAAGGAGTTTTCTCTCATTTCCTAATGACAGTGGTGAGGGTGGCCATCTTCTTGGATTTACTTTAATTTTTTGACAGGCTCATCAACGCATGCTTACTTTTGTACACTTTTTAAAACTTTTTGTGATAGCATCTCTCAGAACCTCATTTTTGTAACTGAAGAAAACATTGTACTTATTATCAGACTCACAAAGAATGATGAGATTTTTGTTGCCAGAGGAAACAACCACTTTCACTTTTTTATGAAGAATTTTAATCTAAAATATATATAGCATGAAGTGTTTAGTTACTGCCTGATCTACAAGCTCTTGGAATGTATTTACTAAACTATATCATACACATATATGCACACACGCACACATGCACACACGCATACACACACATACTATACACACACACAGAGACAGAGGTATACACACACATATTACCACACACACACACATACACACACATACTATACACACATACACACAGAGACAGAGGTATACACACACACACACACCACACATATATATACCACACACACACACACACACACACACATACTATACACACACACACAGAGACAGAGGTACACACACACACACACATACTATACACACACAGAGACAGAGGTACACACACACACACACACACACACATACTATACACACACACACAGAGACAGAGGTATACACACACACACACACATACTATACACACACACAGAGACAGAGGTACACACACACACACACATACTATACACACACAGAGACAGAGGTACACACACACACACACACACATATATACACCACACGCACAGCAGTTCACAGGTATAATCTCAACACTGAAAAAGCTGAGCCATCCTAGCTTCAGAAGGCAAAAACAAAAGGATGACCACAAGTTCAAATCCAGCCTGTCCTACCCAGCAAGTTCCAGGCTACCCAAGGCTACAAAGCAAAACTCTATCTCATAACCAAACCAACAAAAATTAAGGAAATTATTAATAAATTATGCAAGTCATGAGTAATTATTATCTTTATTATAGAATAGATTGTTAACAAACATTTTGTTCTGATTTAAATATTCATGAAAATAATGAAGCTCATAGCAGTGCTATTCAAAGTCAATCAATGGACCAGCATTAGTCAGACTGTTGCCAACACTGCAAAGTATACTATTAGACTTAGACAATATTATTTCCATGCAAGATATGTTGTTTACTTCAGATAGAGAATAGTCCAGGTTGGGCTTGAACCCATAACCCTCAGCATCTGAATGCTGAGGTATAGCAGTGTGCCATCTGATCACTCTTTTAAAGACTTTTTCTTATATAGTTTTTAAATTAAAACCTAATCGCATCATTTCCTTCCTCACCTCCTCTGTACTCCCCTGATCTCTCTCAAATTAATTGTCTCTATTTCTTTAAGTGCTGGTGTGTGTGTGTGTGTGTGTGTGTGTGTGTGTGTGTGTGTGTTACTCTCGGAACTGAACTTAGAGCCTTGCACATACTCACTAAGCAACACACCTAACCCTAGAAAAGAAGGTTTTAACTCTTCCTAAAGTTGTAGCTAACTACAAAGAATTTGGAAATGAAATCTGAGTTGTAGTACTCCAAGTTATTAACCTTTTAAAACCAATCAACTATACTGAAATAGTTCATATTTGCAGACTATCTACAAAGTACACTGGTACCTGATCAGCACTTAACTTAATCTTTTGTTTTGCCCTTCAGAAAAGAATACAATTTCTGTTACCTTCATGTCTCATTCTATACAATTTTATGTCAATATTTAATGTTTACAGAAATACACTACCCAGACTGTAAATACAGAAAGGACACACTAGGCAATAGGAAATGTCATACAGCTCTGATGACTGAAAAGTGAATCCCGTTTCTCTCAATACACGAATCAATTCCTTTTGTGATGCTGGGAATCAAAACCAGGGTCTCACACATACTAGGTAAGGACTCTACCCCTGAGCTTCATCCCCAGCCCAGAAGGATTCAGAGTTAAGAAAAGATGGTTTGGCCAGGCATGGTGGTGCACGCCTTTAACCACAGCACTCAGGAACCAGGCAGGCAAATCTCTGAGTTCCAGGCAAGCCTGGTATATACAAAGTGAGCTCCAGGACAGCCAGGGCTACACATGAGACTGTTTCAGAAACACAAACTAGACAAAGAAAAGGAAGGATGGCTTTATGAAGTTTTGTGACTTACCTGGGCTCGCAGCTTTGCAGCATCCATCTTTCTCCGGAACTCTTTCTGTAGTTTGACCTTCAATGCAACGTCAGAAAGGTCTTTGCTCTCTAGCTCCTGCAGCTGCTTTCGGGTTTCTGTGAGCTCCACTCTAGCCTGCTCAGCTTCATGTTCCAGTTTCGTTACCTTCAAAGAGTACTGTCTGCTCACAGACTTGGCATTGTTACCTTCACCGAAGCACAGCAGTAACAACAGTTACAAATGACAATTCCAACCGTCTACTCTACACGGCGGGCACTTACAACTAAGGTGTAACATTAAACACCCCGCTTGACCTCAAGCACTCCAGCAAACCCAGACTGCGAGCATCCCTCTAGATGACTGCTCCCATGTGGTTCTAGCTGATCTCTTCACTGGTTTACCCTTCGTGGTTTAACGCTCTATGTGAGATCCATTCCCTAATGAACGAGTGTGTGTATCTGTATATGTAGATGCCCATGTCTGTGGCACCCACTGGGGGACAGGAGAGGTCATCTGCAGCTGGAGTTACAAACGGTTGTGAGCCACCCAGTGTGAGTGCTGGGAAGCACACCCAGGCCTCCAGCCCCAGCGAGCTGCTTTTATCTTCCGCATCTGCAGTTGAGGTTTGTTTGTATCAAGCTTCAATTAAGAAATGAAAAGGCCAGAAAGGTGGTTCAGAAGTTAAGGGCACTGGCTGCTTTTCTAGAAGACCTGAGTTCATTTTCCAGCACCCATGTGGAGGTTCACAAAAATCCACAACTGCAGTCCCAGGAGACGGAGGCGCGCTCGTGGCACGCGCATGCGCGCAGCTGAAACGCCTCACACAGTGAAATAAAGGCTATCAGATGGAGGCGCACTCGTGGCACCGCATGCGCGCTGAAACGCCTCATACAGTAAAATAAAGCTATCAGAAGGCGCATTTGTGGCACGCGCATGCGCGCAGCTGAAACGCCTCACACAGTGAAATAAAGCTATCGGGAGATGCTTGTCCTCTCACTCAGGACACCTGAGCTTCTTTGCCGTCCATGATCTGTGTTCTTATTTTAAAAACAATTACTATGAAATATTTTTCTTAAGAAACTTTTTTACGCCAGGTAGGATGGCAAACACTTCAAACCCAGCCAGCCTGGTCTACAGAGCAAGCTCCAGGATAGCCAAGGCTGTTATCTAGGGAAATCTTGTCTCGGAGGAAACAAAAAAATCCCGGCTGTTGCTTAAATTAGCAGAAACAATTCAATAGACTTTAGAATCTTGTTTTTTTTTAATAAAATGGACTTCTTAATCTAAATGCACAGTGAAACATCTCACTCTAAAATTCTATAAATATATAACAATAATATACACAATTAGAGAGCTAGCAGTCTCGCTTAGAGATAGAGCATGTACCTATCGTGTATGAGGCTCTAGGTTTAAGCACCACATGGCCCCAATAAAGAAACTATACACAGCTACTGCATATTTTACCAAACTGATTGGTTGTCCATTAATCAGTTATTAAAAGGCTAATATTTTATGAACTACTCATCAAAACAGTCATAGGGCCGATTCTCTCATGAACCATGCTGAGCTGCTATGAATTATGGCACACTGGCCACGCATGGGGGTGTACGCCTTTACTCCTTGCACTGCCTTTACTGTCTGCACTGCGCACTCCTGACTGGGGACATCTGAATAAGCGGTCCCCACAGGCGCATGTATTTGAATGTTGCTTTGCAGTTGGTGAAACTGGGAAGAATAAGGAGGTGTGACTTTATGGAGGAGTTGTGTCTCTGGGGGTGGGCTTTGAGGTTTCTTGTGCTTGTGAATCGAGATGTGAGCTCTCAGCTACTAGTTCAGCGCCATGAGTGCCTAAATGCTGCTATGGTCCCTGCCTTGACAGTCATGGACTCATCATCTGAAAGCATAAGCCTCCATTAAACACTTTCTTCTGAGTTAACTTGGCCATGGTGTCTCTTCAGAAAAGTAACTAAGACAGCTGGGAAGGCAGTAGATCTCTATGAGTCTACATAGTGAGACCTTGCTCAAAACGGAGAGACACACACTGATTTCATAAGATACCAAGGCATAAAAAGCATATTGGAGTAGATGAGGTACAGTACCCGTGTCCCTGTCATTACTAATGACTAGCGCCGGTGCTGTTTGGGAGAAGTCTTCACTGGGAATACTAAGAGTAAGCATGCACCATTGATTTTCCTAATTTCCATCTCTGAAGATCTTTAGGGCTATAAAAGCACGGTGAGCTCCAGGGTGAGTCCCCTCTCTAGAGATCATTTATTCCGGGAGGTAGTAATTGTCTCAGGCTCCCCACACTCCTGAGGGGTGTGGCTGCACATCACGAGGGAACAGTCCCTTAGTGAGACATCTGTGACCATGGAGTGAGGGTGACACAGAGCGTGGCTGTCACTAACAATGAGGGAGGAAACAGACTTTGGAAAGCAGAAGGAGGACCAATTGCTAGACAAGCTTACAAGGAAGAACATGGAAATGGGGAAGCCACACTTTCCCTGCTGGAACACATCTGTGATTCAGCATAACTTACGCAGTTGATAAAAGTGCTGGCCTTGCACGGAGGACCTCAGTCTCCAGAGCCCTGTAATGAGAGCTGGTATAATGGCATTCACTTGTGCCAGACTAGCCTACTTGTGTGTTTCAACAGTGAGAGACTCTCAAAAACTAGGCAGAAATGCCTCAAGAACGCCATGGTTGTCCTCTGGCCACCAGAGTTAGTTTGCATCACAACTAGGAATAAGTGCTGGTGTCTCTTACACCTCCAATTCTTTACTGAAGTTCAAAGTAGTCATAGCTGATTGTTTAGACTACCGGGAAGAAAAAGACCAAAGAGCCTGAGTTGTCCTTCTTTAAGGCAAATGTAAGCTGCCTGATGATGGACATGGTATCCACCCTAACCTGACAAAGGTCACACAGTGGACAAGAGCTAAAAGCTTGGCTCACTAAAGAAAATAACTCTTAAGAACAAATCTTTACATTTCAGATAAATAAAAATCATCTATATTCAAAGTATAATATTTAATGTTAACAGTAAACTATCAGGCTAGGGATACAGCTCATTGGTAGAATACTTGTGTAGTGTGTTCAAAGCCCCAGGTTCAACCCCCAATTCAAAAAAAAAAAGAAATTAAAAGTGAACTATGTAAGTCAATGGTGACTAATAATTAAAAATAATTGTTGTTAAGGCATAGCTTATTTGACAGTTGCCAGTGCATGCAAACACCTAGGCTGCTTTTGCTTTGGTTTTGTTTTTACTGTTGTTTTATTTTATAGGGAATGTCACTCTGTAGCCCAGGCTGGCCTGGAATTCACTACCTAAGCCAGAGTGGCCTTGAACTCATCTTCGAAAGTGCCAGGGTTACAGAAGTGAGGCCCTACTAAGATCCTGGGTTTAATCCCCTGCGCTATAGGAAGAAAAGAAAAGTAAGGTAAATTGTTCCTTTTCAGTACACACATTAAGTACCATAAAGTTTCATCCAACACAGAGCTAACACTAGCTGGAATAATTCAAAGGTGAGTCCCAGCCTCACAAAAGAGCGCACGCTGGCTCTGAGACACAGCAGAGCTGCCGAGGACAGCTGGGAGCTGTGGACCGCCACATCATGGGCAGTATCAGGCGCTTTTCTTTCTCATAAGTACAAGCCACTATTATTACCTGTTTTTATTAACTCTTTGATCAGATCTTCTTTCATCCTGATGTTAATTGTAAGTTCTCTCACTTTTTGTTTAGCTTTATTAAGTATGAGTTCCGAAGTCCTTAATTTTTGCAAATTTAACTCCTGACTCTCCTGGAGACATTCCATCTTCAAATCTTTAAAAACAAAGACACAAAAATTCAACTGAAGTAGAATTTTAAAACAAAACAGAAAAGCAATTAGGCTGTCCTAGCTACTTTTCTATTGCTGTGAAAAACATCATGACCAAGGCAGCTTATAAAAGATAGCACTTAATTTGGCTAACAGTTCCAGAGGGCTCCAGCTATGACGTAGAGCAGAGGCATGGTGGAGGACGGCTGAGAGCTCACTCTGACCAGAGCAACAGGCAGGGAGAGCAACGCGGATGGTGGAAGTCTTCTGAAACCTCAAAACCTGTCCCCAGTGACACACCTCCTAATCCTTCCCAAAGAGTTCCACCCATGGGGACACCAAGTGTTCAAATAAGCCTATGGGGGTTGTTCTCATCTATACCATCGCATGGAGGAAGCAGAAGAGCAAACAAAAAGAGAATGAAAACAGGAACAATGTACAGCAATTGAGGTCTAAGCTGTGGCTTACAGGAAGTTTGTAGTTTAGAAGTTTTTAAGTTATGATATACACCCTTACACACACATACACACAGCTATGCATGTTTTTATCATAAGCCACTAGGGTGAAAGATAGTTTTCATCCCCTTTACTCAAAGTTATTTGAGTTAGAGATGAGACCTCCAGGTGAGTAGAAAGGTGAGCGTTGTCCTATTAATCTCTTTTGCTGTAAGCAGAGAATGTTGCCTTTAGTTTGCTCTGTCATGGAACAATCTTTTTGTACACTACGAGGATTGGTTTAATAAAAAGCTAAATGATCAATCACTAGGCCGGATTTAGGGGGCAGAGAGGATGCTGTAAAGAAGAAGGGCAGAGACACGGAGAGTCACCAGCCAGAGACGGAGGAGGCAGGGAAGCAGGATGGGCCATACAGAGTAAAGGGAATAAAGCCATGAGTTGGAAAGTCAATGAATAGAAATGAGTTCACTTAAGTTATAAGAGCTAGTTAGAAACAAGCTTAATCTATTGGCTGAGCTTTCATAATTAATAAGAAGTCTCCATGTCATGATTTGGGAACTGGCAGAGGGACAGAGAAAAGCCAACATTGCTCTTCAAGAGTGTGCTCCAGTACAGTATGCTAGCGTCCTGAGCAGAATACAGAACATGTTGTCTTTGTCTGGGTTACTTCATATTCATAACCTGACTTTCAAAGAAGAACCTAGTACATGCACTCATGTACATTCTGGCCTGAGTTTCTTTTGTTGCTGTAGACCAGGGGCAAACAACTCAAGGATGGGTACTTGACTAGGACTTATCTTTACAGTTTCCACATTTTAATTAAACTCTTAATCCTCCTGCCTCAGGGGCCTGAGTGCTGAGACTTCAGGTGTACTAGTACATCTATGCTTAAAAAATTATTAAGGTACCAGGCAGTGATGGCACACATGTTTAATCCCAGCACTTGGGAGGCAGAGGCAGCGGATCTCTGTGAGTTGGAGACCAGCCTAGTCTACAAGAGCGAGTTCCAGGACAGCCTCCAAAGTGAAACCCTGTCTCGAAAAATCAAATATATATATATATATATATATATATATATATATATATATATATATCCCAACAATCAAGAGGCAGGCGGACCTCTGTGAGTTCAAGGCCAGCCTAGTCTACAGGGTGAGTCTAGAAAAGCCAAAACTAAAAAATTATTAAGGAATAAATATCTTGAAAAGACAGATGCTGACTGAGAATGTAGAATTAGCTCTACCAGCACAGAGAGCTCTGCTACCTGCTGGTCCTGAGGCACAGATGCTTCTAAATGACCTGGAAAAAGCACCACCATATCTACCCCGTCTGAGGAAAACACACACCTCCATTTTCCAAATAGGACTTCTGTGTTTCATCTGTAGTATCGGTTAGTTCAACAAGAGAGCAAACAGAGCCTGGCTCTTTGACCCATGAGTGACTTCTAGATCTAAAAGAGAGAATTTTTAAACAATTAGGATTAAAGGCAACTTCCTTGTCGGCATATCCTAGGCTCTCAAATCCTCCAAAAGGTAACCCAATATTCTAAAAAGGTAATTGTATGGAACAAGCAGATTTTTTAAAAGAGATTCATCTCCCTTTCTTTCTTTTTTTTTTTTTTTTAAGATTTATTTATTATGAATACAACATCCTGCCTCCATGTATGCCTGCACGCCAGAAGAGGGCACCAGATCTCATTATGGATGGTTGTAAGCCACCATGTGGTTGCTGGGAATTGAACTCAGGACCTCTGGAAGAGCAGTTGGTGCTCTTAACCTCTGAGCCATCTCTCCAGCCCGGAACAAGCAGATTTTACTAATATTCTTTAAAATAGAGATCACCTCCCATCTTGGATCCAATGTTTGCAGCCACTGTAACAGAATACAGAAATTTAAGGAAAAAACTCCAAATGCTTAAATCTAGGGGCTCAGATGCTGAGAGCCCTTGTTGCTCTTGCAGAGGATCCAGGCTCTGCAAGATTCCCCCACCAACATGGCTGTTAGCAATCGCTGGCATCGCAACTCTAGGCCCAGGGAGTCTGAAGCCCTCTTGTGACCTCCTTAGGCACCAAGCAAAAACACTCACACACACATAGAACAATAAGAGTAAATAAACACTCACACAATAGAACAATGAGTAAATAACTCACACACATAGAACAATGAGTAAATAAACACATACATAGAACAACAGAGTAAATAAACACACAATAGAACAATGAGTAAATAACTCACACAATAGAACAATGAGTAAATAACTAACACACATAGAACAATGAGTAAATAACTAACACACATAGAACAGAGTAAATAAAACTCACACACATAGAACAGAGTAAATAACACTCACACATAGAACAATGAGTAAATAACCCACACACATAGAACAATGAGTAAATAAACACACACATAGAACAATGAGTGAATAACTCACACACATAGAACAATGAGTAAATAAACACACACATAGAACAATGAGTAAATAACTCACACACATAGAACAACAGAGTAAATAAACACACAATAGAACAATGAGTAAATAACTCACACAATAGAACAATGAGTAAATAACTCACACACATAGAACAATGAGTAAATAAACACACACATAGAACAATGAGTAAAACACACACATAGAACAATAAAGTAAATACATTTTTAAAAATTAAAAACATGACTTCTGTTCAAATACTAGTTTCTTAATAAATTAGACAGCAGATTTAGCAGAAACTACCCACCGTTTTATTAAATGGAAAACACTACAATGAATCAAACCATTAGCAATTATAATAATGGTTACTAAGGATTTCTATACAACATACCTAATTCTAGATTTATCTTGGCCTTCTGACTCTTCATCATCACTGTTGTCAGAAAACTGGCAGTGGACAACTTCATCTTGTTCTTCTAAGTGACCCATGAGCATCTGGCTTCGTGTCCGGAACCCATCGAATACTTGGTCCAGAGTGTATATAGGAGGACTTGAGTAGACCTTGCAAGTGACCCCACCCAACAACAAAAGAGGTGACTCTTTAAGCCGACTTTTATCCTAGGACTCAAAATGGTTTAGAGGAGATATAGGTAGGTACTCTTGGGTAGCCAGTACTGAAAATATGCTCCCTGCAAACACCAAAATTAATTCTACAATACTATCATGTTTCACAGACACACATTTCTTTTAGATACTATACAGTTCCTTCTTCTATTTTCAGTGCTGGTTTTATGGAGAATAGTATTCAAAAATAAAGTCGAAGAGAAACATGATCACATTCTCTGGCATAGCAGAGAAGGGGTATCATTATATTCATGTATGAAAATTCAAATAGTAAGTGAAAATTTAAAAATTCAGTTAGCTGACAGTAGAGCCCTCATGGACCTCATTCCTAGGGTACGTACTTGTCACTTGTCACTGATTTTTGTGTTCCTGTGGTTGGTCACCTAATGGGACTATCAACAATGAGGTGGACAGGAAAGAGAGTTTGCTGAGGCACAAGAGAGGGCACCTGGCCCTTCCCTACAGTTCCCTCCTCACACCCCTCCCACTGTGGCCTGCAAACATCAAGCCAAGCAAGGACTAGAGCCCAGACAGAGCGAGGCAGAAGCCCGGCACTCTTCTGTAAGAGCCCATGGAGACTGTCACATATCCAACCACAAGGCAAATGCAAATTGCAATCAGTAACTAACGTGGTTCACAAGACATAGCCCATCAACTTAAACCCGAGATGCTACAGGCAAAGATAACATTTGCCCTGCAGCAGCACAAGCCTGGGACGTGTGTGGTGCTGGTAGAGCGTAGCAGCACTGTCAGAGTCACACTCCCATAAACTCTGTACCCACCAGGGTCCCCATGCTGGCTCTAAGGAAGCTGCCATCACTTAGGTTTATCACATCCACACCTGCCTGACACAAAGTCCATCCCTCACTTACTCCTTGCTGCTTCACCTATTTCTTATCCTGCTGACTAACTTACTATACAGATCTCAAACAAGTTATTTCCATTCATAAAATTCAATCAGATAATTGCATCTTCTTCATAATAAATTCTTTGATGCTTTAGTCAAGGTAAATCTGCGCTGGTGCTGGAGATATGCTCAGTGGTTAGAGCAGTGGCTGCTCTTGCAGAGGACCTGGATTTGGCTCCCAGCACCTACATTGCAGCTCACAAGCAACACAACTCCAGCTTCAGGGGCTCTGATACCCTTTTCCAGCCCATGCAACACCAAGCAAGCATGTGATGCACATACACGTATGTAGGCAAAAACACCCATACACACAAAATACAAACTTTAAAAGATAATTAATTCTGCCAGGTGTTGGTGGCACACACCTTTAATCCCAGCACCCAGGAGGTAGAGGCAGGCAGATCTCTGTGAGTTCGAGGCCAGCCTGGTCTACCAAGCGAGTTCCAGGACAGCCTCCAAAACAATACAGAGACACTCTGTCTCGAAAAAACAAAACAAAAACAAAAACAAAGATAATTAATTCTACATAGACATAAATTTGGTACCTATATCTTTACAAATAAAAATTAAAACTAAGTTTCATGTGATGCTTATGCCATCTTATCTTGACTCTCAACTTTACAATGCCGAATGACACAAAAGTTTAGCTTTGAAAACAAAGGCAGACAAATTCAATAAAACAAACAAGCAAAACTGCTGGAAGCCATAATGTCATAAAAACAGGAGGTTATTCAAGGTGTCAACCCACCAGGCACCCTCTTATTTACTAATTTTTATCTGAAAAAGAAATGTACATACAGAAGTGTCCATGAAAACAAAAGGAGAGAGTAAAAAAAGACCTCCCAAGACTTCACACTCTGATATGATAAGTAACTTGCAGACCTCAGCAGGACTGATGAAGGCTTGACTCACCTGCTTGGAATCCTGCCTTGGTGGGATGTAAACACGGTGTCCCCAGTGACTATCAAATGGTACTGTGTGAGGTCTGTTTTCAGAGATTCTGGCATCAGGCCCGTCTCCACAGCTCTCTTTAACTGACGACGTCATCGACAAGTTAAATTTTGCTAGTTCTTCACTCAGCTGACTGACAAGAAGTTGCTGTTTTATTATCTTTTCATTCTTTGTAGATGAGAGATAATAAGAAACAGAGATCCTCAGTATCCATGCAATGGCGAATAAGAACTAAGTTCACGGGTCAGAACCACGGCTGCCCAAACGGCACCTTACCACGTCCCTCTGTACCCATCAGTAACAAGTGCTGGTATCAAACGCAGTCTCTTGTGCACACCAGGCAAGGCAAGGACCCTGCCACTGAGCTGTAGTCCCACCCATAGAAACTTACTGGATAGTAAGCAGAAATAGGCAAAAAAAAAAAAAAAACCCCAAAAAACTACAGAATAATAATGTTCCATTAACTGTGATTGCATATTTGGACAATGTGACTTTAAGCATCTACTTAATTAGCCATTTTTACAAAAGTCTGAACTTTCTGGGTGAAATACAAGATGTAGCAGACAAAGCTGAGAAGCACAAAAGTATTGCACACAGGAGATTACAGCAAAGGAGACAGAAAATGGTAAGTTCAGCAAAGTGAAACTATGTGGCAAATGAAGCCCGATGCACAGAGGCAGGAGACAGTGAGCTGACAGCACAGCCGGGAGAGACTGGACTGTGACAGGAGTGTGCCTCCGGCCTATGGACAGTTTGGGTTTGAAGCATGGCCAACGCAGAGACTCTAATGTTGTGTGAGATTTTGTTTGTGTTCTTACAAATAAAGCTTGCCTGTAGATCAAAGGGCGGAGCTAGCTAACCACAGCAGTCTGCAGGTCTGTACAGACAGGAGGCAGGAAGTGATAAGGCTGGGTGGAGAGACGTGGTGATAAGGTAGGCTGTAGACATGACCTCGACCCCTTTTCGAAGGAAGGATTCAGAGCGGTTGAGGGGTGACTGTGGCTGCTCCTCCTTTGTTTCTCTGATCTTTCGGCTTTTACCCTGATATCTGACTCTGGGTTTTTATTGCTGTCATTTCTGGGGTCCCATGGCCACCCACATTGCCATCACCATTCAGGTAAGATGCCCAGTCATCCCAGGTGTTAGTATTTCTGGGTTGGCCGTGCAGGCATTTTGGACTGATCCGATGGGACAGGTATTCTAGCACTTGTGAGTCACAGAATACTGAGTGCTACACAGCTCAGGTGGAAAGGTATCCTGAGCTCGGGAGCCAAGGACTACCACAGGCCACAGTAAGCGTAGCAGTTTACAGCCCTGCTTCAGGGAAAGGCTTCCCCAGTGTATCGGCTCCTTCCAGCTGGGGATGTTTGCCCAGTGTAGCAGTTTTGCTCCAGCAGGAGAAGGCCTCCCAGCAAAGTTGCTACAGGAGAGTGGAGTCTGGAGTTCAAAACTCCGCTCTGTCAGGGGAAGGCTTCCCCAGCAAAAGTGTTACAGCTCTGCTCGCTCTGCTCTGCCCAGGGTCGAAAAGAAGGTCTTCACCCAAAGCTCATCAATGGGGTTTATTGGGAGGGAAGGATCCAGGAGAGTGGCTGCCTCTGCCAGAGGACAACCAGGCAGCGCAAACAGCTGCAAGCTGAACAGACACAGGGTTTATATAGGGCTTCTTAGGGGACAGAGTTTTCCAGGGTGGAGACTGGTCAGAATGCAATCCCTGAGTTTAGATCTCCTGCTCAGGGATTGGTTAGTTTTCTGCACAGAGTTAGGATCAGATTTGGCTCTGATTCCAGGGACAAAGTGTGTTCTTTTGGCACTGGTTTCAGTGTCAGGGTACATTTCTTTGGTTCTGGTTGCAGGGCAAAGTGTGTCTCTTTGGCTCTACTCAGGGTGTGTTTCTTTGGCTCTACTCAGGGTGTGTTTCTTTGGCTGGACCCTTTTCCCTACAGGCCAAGCATGTGCTATTAACATTCAGGCAAAATGCCTAGCCATTGCAGCATTTTAAGCCCATGCCCAGTATGGCCGTGCAATTCATGTGCATGTGTGAGGTAGCTATGTAAACCCCTGTATGCATGCGCTAAGTGACCTTTAAAAGAAGATATGCCCCACCCACTTCCTCTCTCCTGCCACATTTCTCCAGACAGGCCTGTGCACACCCCCTGTCCCCACTCTTTACTAATAAAACTCTAAAGTGGGTTTGTGTATCTGGTGGTCTGCTCTCGTACATGGTAAATAGTTACTAAGACTAATTAGGGTCACACTTCCATCTAACTTCAGTATTTCTCACAACCATAGAAACTGCACCAGTGGTGGCACGTGTCTTTAGTCCCAGTGCTCCGCAGGCACAGGTAGCTGCATATCTGTGCGTCTGAGGCCAGCCTGGCCTACAGAGCAAATTTCTGGTCAGCTATAGCTACATGAGACCCTTTCTTAAAAACAACAAAACCACAGAAAGTATGTGAACAAAAACTTATTAGACAAGGCTGGGAACGTAGCTCAGTGATGGGACTTTCTGAGCACATACAAAGCCCTGGATTCGATCCCAGGGCCACATAAACCAGGCCCAGTTGCTCCTGCCTACAATCCCCACACATGGGACATTGAAACAGAAGTTCAAGGTCATCCTTGACTATGTCATGAGTATGAGGCCAGTCCAGGCTACATGAGACCCAGTCTCAAACAACTGAAGCAAAGGTCTGCTAGGTGTGGTGGGTCCTGCTGTCTGAGAAAAAGGAAGCACATGTTCGAAGTCAGCCTCTCACTGTGTGATCTAGTCGAAAAGAGCGAAACAAATAGATAAAAAAAATGTCACTCATCTCAACTTCACAGAGAGACATTGAAACTTCATTTTGTTGCTATAGAATAATAAAATACAATCTTTATTTTATTTTAAAATCTCCTTGTAGGATCATTGAACTATGCAATATGAGGGCTGGGAGTGGTGGCTCACACCTTTAATCCCAGCACTTGAGAGGCAGAGGCAGGTGGAGCTCTCAAGTTAGAGGCTGGCCTGGTCTGCATCTGGTCTACATAGCAGGTTTCAAGTCAGCCAGAGCTATAGAGTGAGATTCTGTCTCAAAATCCAATAAACAATGAAAGGACTGGGGACAGCTGGATCTATGTGGTGGTGCAGGAGACGGAGACAGGAAGACTGATTCCGAGCGCAAGGCCTCTCTGCATATAAATGAATTCAAGATTGATCTTGGTGATGTAATAAAGTCATGGCTCAAAATAAAAAGTACGGTGTTAGAGAGATGGTCACCCAGTTAAGAGCAGCGGCTATTCTTCAGGTGAATAAGTTCCATCCCCAGTGTCCAAATGGCCGCTTACAACTGTCTATAACTGTGCTCTCCTGGGGTCTGATGCCTCTTCTGATATGCACACATGCATGCAGACAAAACACCTACACACATAAAACACATAATTTACTAAAGTAAAAAGTAAAAAGATGATTGAAGAGTATAGCTTAGTAGTAGTGTTTTTCTAGCATGTAAACATGCTAGGTTTAGGTTCAGTTCCCAGTAACACACACACACACACACACACACACACACACACACACACACACACACACACACACAGAGAGAGAGGGCAGGGGAGGGAGAGATGAAAAGAGGAAGCTGCGGACTCATGTACAAACGTAGAGAGTGTTTGTCTAGCGTTCATGAGGCCCTGTTCAGGTTGCTGGGTATGTATAAATGTATGATAATCAACACAGTTCCACATACCAATAAATAATCAGAAAGATGAAATTTTTGTAAGGCTGCATTGGCAGTTACACTTTCAAAAAGCACTTAAGAATAAATCTAGCAAGGCACGGTAGGTCACATCTCTAACACCAGTACTCAGAAGTCAGAGGCAAGGAGATGTCTTGAGTTCCAAACCAGCCTGGTCTGCACAGTACATTCTAGGATAGCCAGGGCTACATAGTTAGGTCCCATCTCAAAGAACAGAAACCATCAAAATGAGACTAAAACTAACAAAATATGTATAATACTTACACAAAATAAATTATTGGGAAGAGAGGAAACATAATATAAATAAATGGAATAAGATGCTTATTCTTGCCAGGCATGGCAGCCCAGGCCTTCAATCCCAGCAGAGGCAGGCAGGCAACCTCCCACATACATGAATAAAAATGAGTCTTTCTGTAAAATGATAATTATAATCAATTTCCTTGATGAATATAGTCTTAGTTAGGGTTTCTATTATTGTAAAGAGACACCATAACTATGGCAACTCTTCTAAAGGAAAACATTTAATTGTGTAGCTTAAGGTTCAGTGGTTCAGTCCATTATCATCATGGTGGGACACTGCATCTTGCAGGTAGACATGGTTCTGGAGAGGCAGCAGAGAGTCCTATATCTTGTGCAGGCAACAAGAAATGGTCCCACACTGGAAGTAGCTTGAGCATAGGAGACCTCAAAGCCCACTCCCACAGTGACACACACTTCCTCCATCAAGGCCACACCTACTCCAACAAAGCCACTCCTAATAGTGGCACCCCCTTTGGGTGGCATTTTCTTTCAAACCACCAAACACAGACACAAAAACACTCAATAAAATATTTGCAAACAATTCAAGAACACAGAAAAGGAGTATCAAATCCACATATAATTCCACCACCACCAACCATTCCAAAACAAACAAGAATGAACAATTAATGGTCATAAATATCCCTCAATATTAATGGCCTTTTTTTTTTTTTGGTTTTTCGAGACAAGGTTTCTCTGTATTGTTTTGGAGGCTGTCCTGGAACTTGCTCTGAAGACCAGGCTGGCCTGAAGACCAGGCTGGCCTCGAACTCAGAGATCTGCCTGCCTCTGCCTCCCAAGTGCTGATTAAAGGTGTGCACCACCAACGCCCGGCTAATATTAATGGTCTTAACTCATCAATAAAAAGACACAGGCTAACAGAATGGATTCGAAGACAGAATCCATCCTTCTACTGCATACAAGAAATACACCTCAGCTTCAAAGACAGACATTACCTCAGAGTTAAGGGTTGGGAAAAGATTTTCCAATCAAATGGACCCAAGAAACAAGCAGGGGTAGCAATCCTAGTATCTATCAAACTAGACTTTAAACTGAAATCAATCAAAAGAGATGAAGGAGGTCATTTCGTACTCATCACAGGAGAAATCCACCAAGATGAAGTCTCAATTATGAACATCT